TAAATATTGGAAATTAAAACTATTTATGGATTTAATTTGTCACTGACCTGATTATAATATACATTCATACCACAAATATCGGCCGGAAAAGCGCCGAACGCATGTTGTGATATATGGAACAGAGACATGGTAAGAAGCGTTTGTTGGGATAAAATTTCGTCGGGTCTTAAATTCGTGGATTGACCTATCCACGAAAACCACGAAAATTCGTGCCCCACGAATAATGATGATTTCACAGTATGAATTTGATCCTTTAAGAATTAAGAAGTAACAGTAAAAAATAGTATTTTTTCAGGAAAATTCTAAGTTCAAGGGGAGATAAACCTGATGATATTGGTGTTAGAGTTATGAACCTTGTCACATAAGATGTGGTTGATGATAAGTAACATCTATTTGAAGTATGAAGTTTATCCCTTGAGAAGTGAAGAAGTTACCATAAAAAGTAGTATTTTTTAAGGAAGATTCTAAGTTCAAGGGGAGATAAATCTGAAAATATTGGCACTAGAGTTATGAACCTTGTCACATAAGATGTTGATGATGATAAGGAACATATATTTGAAGTTTGAAGTTGATACCTTAAGTTCAAGGGGAGATTAATCTGAAAATATTGGTGCTAGAGTTATGAACCTTGTCACATAAGATGTGGATGATGATAAGGTACATATATTTGAAGTATGAAGTTGATCCCTTAAGAAATAAGAAGTAACAGTAAAAAATAGTATTTTTTCAGGAAAATTCTAAGTTCAAGGGGAGATAAACCTGATAATATTGGTGTTAGAGTTATGAACCTTGTCACATAAGATGTGGTTGATGATAAGGAACATCTATTTGAAGTATGAAGTTTATCCCTTGAGAAATAAAGAAGTTACCGTAAAAAGTAGTATTTTTTAAGGAAGATTCTAAGTTCAAGGGGAGATAAATCTGAAAATATTGGCACTAGAGTTATGAACCTTGTCACATAAGATGTGGTTGATGATAAGGAACATATATTTGAAGTTTGAAGTTGATACCTTAAGTTCAAGGGGAGATTAATCTGAAAATATTGGTGCTAGAGTTATGAACCTTGTCACATAAGATGTGGATGATGATAAGGTACATATATTTGAAGTATGAAGTTGATCCCTTAAGAAATAAGAAGTAACAGTAAAAAATAGTATTTTTTCAGGAAAATTCTAAGTTCAAGGGGAGATAAACCTGATAATATTGGTGTTAGAGTTATGAACCTTGTCACATAAGATGTGGTTGATGATAAGGAACATCTATTTGAAGTATGAAGTTTATCCCTTGAGAAATAAAGAAGTTACCGTAAAAAGTAGTATTTTTTAAGGAAGATTCTAAGTTCAAGGGGAGATAAATCTGAAAATATTGGCACTAGAGTTATGAACCTTGTCACATAAGATGTGGTTGATGATAAGGAACACATATTTGAAGTTTGAAGTTGATACCTTAAGAAATGACAAAGTTATATTGAAAAATATTTTACTGCACCAAACTTTAATCTGAAATCTGGACGCGGACGCCACGGCCGACGCCGGGGCAAGTAGGACAGCTCTCCATATACTTCGTATAGTCCAGCTAAAAATTGGAATTTTATTTTAAAGAATGAAAATATGAAACTTAAATTATGTATAGATTTTTTGTGTGCAATTTTGGCATATACGTTCAGTTTTGTATCTGGTTACCGTTAATCTTACCTTGCATTCCTACTGTAAGCCCTCTACCTGCTGCCATTGGTGGATAATCTGCCTGATTTACATAAGCTCCACCTATTGGTGTTGCAACCCCTCCCATTCCTCTAGCTCCACCCCAAGCAGGAGCAGACGTCTGACTAGCTGTAAACTCTGGAACTGAATAGTATTCAAATTTAAATATAAAGGGATTATTCTACTGAAACCTCAGAGTGTCTTATCAAGCTAACAGAGCACAAAAACAATGATATTAACTTTAATGTACATATCAACAGATAATCATACTGATGTATCTTTTTTGTACATATTTTTTGTTTTTCTTGTTTTAAATCACACAGACAGGGTCAGAGCAATATCTCAGGAGTTTCAGGTACAAGGGGCCACTGTAGTAGAACCAATGAACTTCCAAAAACTAGAATTGATGGTTTTATCACAATTTAAACCCGTGACTGTGAAGGGTAAACATTTTACTGTCATAGACTTTTACCACTTGGCACAATACTGATGTCTACAATGCATAACCTTAGTGCAATAAGGAAATAAGTCTTTCTAAATTTAATAGGAGTTAATCACTAATTGCACTAAGGTGAAGAATGATACAGAAAAAACTACTAGTCACTAGTCAAGATATTTTATATTTACTTTAATGGTTTATCTACTTTAATCTACCCCAGTTTTGATTCCACTTTAAATGTTTCAATTATCATATTCTAACAACATGCCAAATTTAAACAAATACTATTGAAAAGTTTTAATTTCCCTATATATCTACATTTGTATGTAAAAACTCCCAAAAATATCCTTAACTAACACAAGCAATGATAATTCAAAGTAGCATATAACAATTTGTGACACAATTGTAAGAAACTGTGTTGAGACTTAAAAGAATATAAAGTATGAGTGACAAGTTTACCAGGAGGATTAGGTCTGCGTAGTTCTCTGTAATCTTCCTCGGGGGGAGCCGGTCTTGGCTGAAATAAATCATAACTTACATTGAGAATAATACCAACACTGCCAATGTGAAATAAACATTGTGCATTAATACATCATCACTTAATTTATCTTATTGAAGTGTTTCAGTCAAATCATTATAAATTGGTAGATAGACAGAATTTAGCAAGATATTTCTTTTATATTTACAATGTATACTTTTCAAGTTTAAAATATCGACATGAATAGATTTGTTACAATGAATTTTTTGCTTTCCTTTAGCTTATGTTAATTTCTTTAACATATTTATTACATTAATTTTATTTTGATGCATCTTTAGTCAGTAATAGTCAGTCACATTAGCTCTGTATAAGTCATATGGCGACTTCCCAGCTTTGATGTTGTAGGAAGACCTCAGGTGACTCTCTGTGCATTATTTCAGTTTAGAGGAGGCACCTGAGTAGAGTATGGATTTTTCATTAAACTCATACACACGTGTTTTTTTCTTCCTTTTGGAGTGTTTCTGATGTATATTTAAATAAATCTATTGATAAAAACATCTCTGTAATTCTGACATGACTAAACTTTAAATTTCCATTTGTAACATGTACTGCACACAAACCCGTCAGTGGGAAGCTAACTCACTACCGATAGTGGTTTATGCCCTTATATATGGGATACTTCCCTATATGTAAATTCACTACCTTTAGTTTTGGCATATTATGATGCTCATTATGAGTAGTATGTAATAACGTTTACCTTATGCTCCTTCACTTTAATTCTTGGGTCGGACGTGTTTGGCAGACGGGAGTCTTGCTTGTTACAGACGGGCATACTAGAAGGGGAGAGCACTTTGATGGCACCGGTATCATCTCTTGTTGGTAAATGGTTCTTTGTTGGCAGAACATCAAAGAATGGACACAAAGCATCAGATATGGCATAGCTGCAATGGAAATGAGCAATACACAAAATTCATATACATTCATCCCTGATATTCTTTTGATAAAATAAATGAAATAAGAATGATAACATGCTTTTACAATTCCAATATCAAAATAATAAAACTGAACAGTCTAGAGTACAGATCCTGGTCAGATAGGCAGTCTGTGACACACGTTATACACTGCCAATCTCCACACAGTGATCTCCCCTTAATTCTTCGGCGTAGATCTCTGCCACCAAGGTCCCAATATATCAGAATTTCTGATATACTATATTTTTTCAAAAATTGTTTTATTTACTGCTTTTATCTATCAGTTAAGTTTTTCCTCATTGATTAAACAATGTTTATGGATAAATAAATAAATAATATGAATATTTAGAAATAATTTTTAAAAATATGAGAATATTTTCTACCGAGACAATATTCTGATATTTTATATTTTTTAGCTTTTGAATTTATTTTTCGTTATTTTGTATACTTTTGATAATTTTTTGATAAACTAAATCGATCGTAGGCACTAAAAGTTAAAAATAAAACCTAAATCGATAGTAGGCACTAAAAGTTAAAAATAAAACAGAAAGAGAAAAATGACGTTATATTTTCTAACGGTCGATATTTACATTTGAATTTCGACGTTACGTCATGTGACTTTCATCATCATGTGACGTCTTTGAAGGCAGTGATTACAATTCTGCCAAGGGAGGTAATCACTGTGAGGAGTTTGATACACTGCAAGTGAGTATTCTACCTTCTAGCACATCAATGGTGTTAAATTCTATTGTAATTAACTTACGCATATCTATGTACAATCCCTAAGGCACAGTCTTTGACCTCAAGTTCTTCATGGTAATCACATCTGAAACAAATAAAATATGTATATATCTTATAATATGCTTGTTGTTTTGATGCGCATGCTTAGTATAACAGTATTTGAGTGATATCTTGCCAGTGTATGCATAGTATAACAGTATTTGAGTGATATCTTGCCAGTGTATGCATAGTATAACAATATTTGAGTGATATCTTGCCAGTGTATGCATAATATAACAGTATTTGAGTGATATCTTGCCAGTGTATGCATAATATAACAGTATTTGAGTGATATCTTGCCAGTGTATGCATAGTATAACAATATTTGAGTGATATCTTGCCAGTGTATGCATAGTATAACAGTATTTGAGTGATATCTTGCCAGTGTATGCATAATATAACAGTATTTGAGTGATATCTTGCCAGTGTATGCTTAGTATAACAGTATTTGAGTGATATCTTGCCAGTGTATGCATAGTATAACAATATTTGAGTGATATCTTGCCAGTGTATGCATAGTATAACAATATTTGAGTGATATCTTGCCAGTGTATGCATAGTATAACAATATTTGAGTGATATCTTGCCAGTGTATGCATAGTATAACAATATTTGAGTGATATCTTGCCAGTGTATGCATAGTATAACAATATTTGAGTGATATCTTGCCAGTGTATGCATAGTATAACAATATTTGAGTGATATCTTGCCAGTGTATGCATAGTATAACAATATTTGAGTGATATCTTGCCAGTGTATGCATAGCATAACAATATTTGAGTGATATTTTGCCAGTGTATGCATAATATAACAGTATTTGAGTGATATCTTGCCAGTGTATGCATAATATAACAGTATTTCAGTGATATCTTGCCAGTGAATTAGGGCTGGGGCGAGTATTCGAGTACTCTGATAATCACGAATCAAAATGAAAAATCGAGTACGAATATTCGTCAGTCCAGAGATCGTGGATTGCGATCTTATTTGTTTATTATACATTTGTTTTTTTCTTACACTTTAAATGTCAAAAAAAAAAATCAATTTGTGTATGAATTATGCGACGTTTACCTAAATACAATTTTCTCATTAAAGACAGGAACTAAACAAACATGTATACCATGATGCTGAGCTAGGAAGTCATTAGTTTCGAAAAAGGAATCACTTTATCTTTATTGAGCACTTGTTTTTAAATATTTTAGTCGCTATGTATAGATCTATAATGACGTGAAATCTATTGAAGACTGTTTTATTTTTAGGAATCCACAATTTGCTAAACGCAAGTTAATACGTCAGTGTGACATTACATGTATTGGCTGAAAAGGAGTCGCGCCAATATAAAAATCCCACCAGCAAAATTTACTTCCAATTTTTGGAAATACACAAATGTACAGTCAAACGTGTATTAAGCGAACGAGCAAGGGAATCACCCAAAACGGTCGCTTAATGAAACGGTCTCTTAAGACAGTCATATGATATAAAAGTCAAAATTTATAAATGACATCTTTCTTATGCCGTGGGAATGTTTTTCAACTTCGTTTTTATATACATGTTGAATAATAAGTACGCTCCGATAATCTAAATGGATGCAAATGTAAAAAATAACTTTCTGATATTTATTGACAAAACAGTTTTGATCCATTACGTACATGTTTGACATTTTTTCCAGAATTTTTTAACTTCTCCGTTGTTTTTCCTTGTCTCCAACACGAAAACCCTATTAGTGAAGATGTTTTCTGTTGTGCATTTTTTCATTTGAAATAAACAAACTACATCTATTTGTTACGATTAATTTAATGGCTGATCAAGTTCAAGGTCAATTCAATGCAGTCTAAATGTCAACAAGCGAAGCGTATACACCATCTCAGTATGGGCGGAGCGTTGCATTGTTTATCCGATATTATTGGATAATACACGTCACGCGTATACTTAACTTCATTTGCATACGCTAAAACGGTATGGGAAATAGAGTTTTTCACATGTTTATTGTTGTGTTTTGATTGTTGACACGTGTGACATAACGAGGTGGCGTTCTCTAAAAACACAATTACTTGACAGGTAAAAAAAGTGGTCGTTTAATGAAAAGATTGATGTAAATTAGGTGGCTAATTAGCGGTCGCTGGTCGCGTTGAGCAAAAGTCGCTTAATACATTAAAGATAAAGAGAGAAAATGATCGGGGGGAATTTAAAGTGGTCGTTTAAGACAAAAGTCGCTTAATACATGTGGTCGCATGGGCAAGTTAGACTGTACTGGTCTTTTCATGTGATTAGGCAAGTTTGTTGTACCCCCTCTATATAAGTCAATTTGCCATGGCATGTTTTACAAACTGCTTTTTCCTCATTTTCATTGAAAGTAAATTTTGCTGGTGGAATTTTATATTGGGGAGACTCGTTTTCAACCTAGTTTATATTTGCATTGCATATATGTTTAATGAATAATTAAATTAATGTTTAGTATTGTTTTAAGAAAAATTAACATGTTTTCAGAACTAATGTTCATGTTTTTTTTGGTGTCTTGATAACAAAAGATTTGTGGTTCGATTTGTGAATCGCATGTGCTGAATCGTGGATCAGATCAGATCGTCACTTACCGGACGATCCACACCCCTACAGTGAATGCATGGTATAACAGTATTTGAGTGATATCTTGCCAGTGAATGCATAGTGTAACAGTATTTGAGTGATATCTTGCCAGTGAATGCATAGTATAACAGTATTTGAGTGATATCTTGCCAGTGTATGCATAATATAACAGTATTTGAGTGATATCTTGCCAGTGAATGCATAGTATAAACAGTATTTGAGTGATATCTTGCCAGTGAATGCATGGTATAACAGTATTTGAGTGATATCTTGCCAGTGAATGCATAGTATAACAGTATTTGAGTGATATCTTGCCAGTGAATGCATAGTATAACAGTATTTGAGTGATATCTTGCCAGTGAATGCATGGTATAACAGTATTTGAGTGATATCTTGCCAGTGAATGCATAGTATAACAGTATTTGAGTGATATCTTGCCAGTGAATGCATAATATAACAGTATTTGAGTGATATCTTGCCAGTGAATGCATAGTATAACAGTATTTGAGTGATATCTTGCCAGTGTATGCATAGTATAACAGTATTTGAGTGATATCTTGCCAGTGTATGCATAGTATAACAGTATTTGAGTGATATCTTGCCAGTGTATGCATAGTAATAACAGTATTTGAGTGATATCTTGCCAGTGTATGCATAGTATAACAGTATTTGAGTGATATCTTGCCAGTGTATGCATAGTATAACAGTATTTGAGTGATATCTTGCCAGTGAATGCATAGTATAACAGTATTTGAGTGATATCTTGCCAGTGTATGCATAGTATAACAGTATTTGAGTGATATCTTGCCAGTGAATGCATAGTATAACAGTATTTGAGTGATATCTTGCCAGTGTATGCATAGTATAACAGTATTTGAGTGATATCTTGCCAGTGTATGCATAATATAACAGTATTTGAGTGATATCTTGCCAGTGTATGCATAATATAACAGTATTTGAGTGATATCTTGCCAGTGTATGCATAGTATAACAGTATTTGAGTGATATCTTGCCAGTGTATGCATAATATAACAGTATTTGAGATATATATAAGAGATTGTTTCAAGGAAAACTGACAGTTTTGACCAGTTCTGTTTACAAGTAAAATCTGAGCTTGTTATTTAAGTAACTGACTATGTCAGAACATTTCTAATGAGGTATTTTTCTACAAATTCACCTAGTACCACTTCTCTGCCATACTGACACATATATCATATACAATTTGCACAATACATTGATATAAAAGAGATAAATCTGTGATCTGCAAACTGGTGATTAAGGAATTTAAAATTTCCATCTTCCACCACCAATTATACAATGGAATATTATCAAAATTTCTTGATCTGGAACTTGTATTCTTCTATGTAAATGTTTCAAGAATATTATTTAAAGATTTCACAATATTCTGACAACATGCCTGAGTGTGAGTGGAACAACAAATGCCATCACAGCAAAACATATGTACCAGAAAATAAATCAATCTCTAAATAATCTTATTACTATAGTAAAATTAAATAGACTTACTCAAAAATTAAGAATATTTTGGTCTTTCTCAGCTAATCCGTAGGTACAAACAAACTTTTACAGCTACAGCTTCAAAATAAGCGCAACAGGTTGACTGATATATTGTGATAGACAGTGCAACTAAAGCTATAATGGAAAAAGTTTGTTTGTACCAACGGATAAGCTGGGAAAAACCCTAATTTCCTGAGTTCCCGATAACATCTATAATACGATAACATCTATAATACGATAACATCTATAATACGATAGCATCTATAATACCAGATTACACAGTATACATGTTCATGATATTTATTTTCATTATCTAATCAGAATGTTTATACTATAAATTTATTAAGAATTTTCTTCTTTATTTTTTATAAAGGCAATGTACTGAATTATAAATTGATTTTGAAGGCAGTATATTAACTGTTTTTACAAATAGCCTTCACCTAGGGACTTTGGTAATAAAAACTTACAACCAGTTTTGACTGGGTCATATAACCTGACAAAAAGTCTGTTTTATACATGTACTTATAAATAACATTTTCATTTCTGTCCAGATGTATTTGTTCATACCGCTGCAGAAAATATATAATAAAATGAAAGAAAGTGACTTCGAATGTCAACATATCATTGCTTTATAAGTAAAAGTCTTACTTTATATTAGGCTCATAGTCCCACTCGGAGGATGTTAGGCTGTCAATACAGGAACTTTTGGACACCTGATTACCGATGTGGGCCTGCATCTCGTGAAACAGACTCTCTATCTCATACACTTTCTTGATACGATTCGGTTCACCCAGACATGCTTTACCATGGATCCAATCCAGACAGTACTCTATAGCCTCATATCTGTGACCTGCACCCTGAAAGTCCAGAAACCATCCACATTACAAGCATTTGCTTACTCTTCAAAAAAAATAAATATAAATATAAATATAAAATAACAGTTGCATATAATATTGAATAAGAAAATCATGTATTTTGTAAAAATGTTTGGACTATGGCTAAAACTGTAGTGTTTTTTTTGTAATTCTTCATAATGGTTTGATTCCTAACAAAAATATATCACAAATTGTTCCTGGTTAAGGTAATTTTCTAAGATTGGTTTGTTATTTTCTTCCCCTGGTAGGGAAGTGGGCCGATCCTGGAGGTACTGCAATACCAGGCCAACCCGTGGCAAGAGCGGAGCAAGCCCCTGACATCTCACCTGTGTCCAAAAATCAGTTTAATATCGAAGTCCCCCAATGGGGGACGTATCAGATATTAAGCTGATAAGAACAGATACTACACTTTGATCTTAGCCAAAAGGCCGAGAAGCGATACCTACATAGTGTTTTCTGATGGTTTTATACGAAAGCAAATAGTAGATATAGCGACTGAAGAAATAGCATGTAAACCGGCCAGAAATAAACATAATTATTAATAAAAGAAAGAAAAATGTTTACATACCAGATATTTAATAATAATATAAACTATCATATATTCATTATTTCAAGTGAACAACAGTGCAAACCCCTATTTTAATCTATATATTCATATATTTAGAAGTATTTAGATCAAAAAATAATACAGAGATAGGTTTTTCTAAAAATAGACAACATTCAGGGGAGTTTACACTGATCATACTGGTAAGGGAGTTAACAGCATATAAATGTGACGCTTAAATGAACACAATGTGTTACTGATAATAGGCGTCCCAAATTACTATGTTAACATTCTCTACATTTAATCTTTGTAACATGAAGATGTATAGTCGAAGGCTTAACAAATGTTTTAGATTGTTTAACAGACCCAAGCTTAGTGGATATATACAGTAGTGAGAACATCAAACTTCTCTGTCAGTTTTTCTGACCTAAATGGTCAAGAATTAAATAATAAAATAAATGTACTAAATGACATAGAAAATACATATACATTGTCTCTGTGTTAATACATGCCAAATACATGTATATTGACAATCGGTTTGATCATATCACTAAGTTATGTAGCCTACATGAGAAAGTTGGAAAAAAAAAGTAAGAATTTTAAGAATTTCTTCCATATTTAAATTCATTTGAACTGACATTTAAAAGAATGACAGAAAGTATTAAATTATTTCACTCCTAAAAACAAATAAGTAAAAGGCACACATACTTTATTTTCAATACCATTTCAAAACGTGTTCAACAATCTTGAGCAGCTTTTATAGTTTTAACATCTATCAAATAATCAAGATGTTACCTGTGTTGAAAATCACACACCATATGGTTTATACAAATGATCACTATCAACAATCATTCATTTAATTATGGAAACAACATACTTTTACCTTTTTTTTCAATTTCATAAAAAATACTTAATTAGATTTTGCTAACCCTAAGAAAAAATAATGATTAAAATCTTCATGAAGTGAGACTGCATACTGTTCTATTGTGTAAGAAAATCACAGGTGACAATTACCTGTTGATACCTACTTTTAAACTATCACAACCATCATTAACAAATTACAGCTTATGATGGATGCAACATTTCTATATAGGAGACTCATAATTATAGTGAAAGTGTGGTCTTCTTACTTTAGATATCACAAATACATGATAATAATTATAATAATAAATATTGTTTACACCCTTTGTATTTATAAGGCAAAGGTCAAAACAACAGAGACACACATTGTGATAGCTTGCATGCTTTGATCTTTTCACAGACCCTTGGTGAAAGATTACTTTCTAAGATTGGTTTGTTATTTTCTTCCCCTGGTAGGGAAGTGGGCCGATCCTGGAGGTACTGCAATACCAGGCCAACCCGTGGCAAGAGCGGAGCAAGCCCCTGACATCTCACCTGTGTCCAAAAATCAGTTTAATATCGAAGTCCCCCAATGGGGGACGTATCAGATATTAAGCTGATAAGAACAGATACTACACTTTGATCTTAGCCAAAAGGCCGAGAAGCGATACCTATACAGTGTTTTCAAATGGTTTTATACGAAAGCAAATAGTAGGTATAACAGCTGTAGAAATAGCATGTAAACCGACGCAGAAATAAACATGAATAATAATAAAAGAAAGAAAATGATATAATTATTATTCTTCTCAAATTATCAATAACATAATTATCTTTAATAATCAAAAGTTGATTTATGTAAAAAAATCCTTATTACTCTTTAACTGTCAAAAGAAAGTAAATTTTAAGCAAACGTAAACGAAGAATCTACAACACTGAATAGTTAAACTTGGTTGTCTAAAAATAGACAAACCTTCAGGGGAGTTTATTATGACATAATTATTACACTGGCCAAGGGAGGTAAAAACAATTTTAGTGAAACATTGTCTTGTAAACCTAAAATGTTTTTTCTGTAACAGTATCAATGAAAATCAAAATAACTCATTTTTTAAATTGACAATAGCAAAATCAATTATGTATTTAACTTAAAATTGCAAAATATACATGTTGAAATCGCGCTTTTTGACCATGTTTTTTTCTAAACTAATGACTTAGTGTTTATTTTCACGTTAATTTTAAAAGAAATCTTTCTAGTGTTATATTTATAAAATTTGCTACATGTATGTGTTATAACAGATAAATTACTAATAAAATGTACCTAGTATATAAATCATGTTTAATTTCTATTGCCTTAAATCATTATTGGAGACATGTGTGAAGAAAAGTACACAAGATTTGACTTTGATAAGATGAAATTTGTCACTGTTGTGTTTATAATAATCATGTATCTCATATCTGCCGACAACATCTTCCCCATTCATTTTAATTTAACCATTAGGTTTTGATTACAGAAAGAAATTTAATCCTTTCCACACTGAATATCTTACATGGACTTTTCCATCTTTCAATCTGGACTAAACCAGGAAAAATTTCAAAGTATGTACTGAGTGATTATAATAGCCAACAATGCAGCGGTGTAACTTACCAAACAGTACAGGGGTGGGTTTTCATCTTTAGTTCTGTTATAATTAATGAAGTTTTCAAGTTGTATCCACAATCCCCTGTAATTATTGTCAGCTCTCTCAAAATTCTCTACTGGGATTTTGTGAGTATCTTCACCTGAAAAACAGATCGCAATCTTTACTGTTACCTGTTTTCCAGCAGAAATGATGTAACAAGACTTGTCCTTAGCAAAGAACAGTCAATTGTGAATGCAAGTGGCACTGGTATCAAAATAAAACAAGAGCCGGTTGAACCGGGTGATGCTCCCCGACTAGGATTTGGACACAGAAAAGTATATCTTTTGTAGTTTCAGGGTTATGTCCAAGACAAAGTTCAAAGTGTGATAATTCCAAAATAGTTCTAAAATCCGACTTCAAATAACGACTTTATGGGCCGGACACAATTTGCTTCAAGGTCATGCTGTGACCTTGACCTTCAAGGTAGCGACCCAAATGCTGCGCGCGACACATCGTCTCAATATGGTGATCATTTCTGTAAAATAGTTGTAAAATCCGACTTCAAATAACGAAGTTATGGGCCGGACACGATTTTGCTTCAAGGTCATGCTGTGACCTTGACCTTCAAGGTAGTGACCCAAATGTTGTGTGCGACACATCGTCTCAATATGGTGATCATTTCTGTAAAATAGTTGTAAAATCTGACGTCAAACTAGACCTATCACTGAAGGTGATTAATACCCCCACCAGCAACTCTGACTTTTTGAAAAAAAAGTAGTCTAAAGAAAAATTTGAACACAAACTATCAACTGTGTACAAAGAAATATTTCAATTAATTGTAATCGCAACTGGGGTTGCTATACACCAAGTTTGATTACAATATCTCATTCCTTACTCTATTGTCCGGAAACAATTTTTCTATTTTTAGTAACACTTTAACGGTGACCTTGACCCTAGGGGGTCCAAATGCAATACCAACCCAGGTCTTCATATAAGCTTCCTATACACCAAATTAGATTACAATATCTCATTCCTAACTCCAGTTATTGTCCAAAAACCATTTTTCTATTTTTTGTAACGGTGACCTTGACCTTGACCCCAGGGGGCCCAAATGCAATACCAACCAAGGTCTTCATATAAGCTTGTTATACGCCAAGTTTCATAACAATATCTTATTCCTAACTCTAGTTATTGTCCGGAAACCATATTTCTATTTTTAGTAACACTGTAACGGTGACCTTGACCCTAGGAGGTCCAAATGCAATACCAACCCAGGTCTTCATATAAGCTTCCTTTACACCAAATTAGATTACAGTATCTCATTACTAACTCTAGTTATAGTCAGAAAACCATTTTCCTATTTTTCCTTACGGTGACCTTGACCTTGACCCCAGTAGGCCCAAATGCAATACCAACCCAGGTCTTCATAAAAGCTTGCTATACGCCAAGTTTGATAACAATATCTCATTCCAAAGTAAAGTTATTGTTTGGAAACCATTTTTCTATTTTTCGTAACGGTGACCTTGACCTTCACCCCAGGGGGTCCAAATGCAATAACAACCCAGGTCTTCATATAAGCTTGCTATACACCAAGTTTGATAACAGTATCTCATTCCTAAGTCAAGTTATTGTCTGGAAACAATTTTTCTATTATTAGTAACGGTGACCTTAACCTTGACCCCAGGGGGTCCAAATTCAATACCAACCCAGGTCTTCATATAAGCTTGCTATTCACCAAGTTTGATTACAGTATCTCATTCCTAAGTCAAGTTATTGTCCGGAAACCATTTTTCTATTTTTAGTAACGGTGACCTTGACCTTGGCCCCAGGGGGCCCAAATGCAATACCAACCCAGGTCTTCATATAAGCTTGCTATAGGCCAAGTTTGATAACAATATCTCATTCCTAACTCTAGTTATTGTCCGGAAACCATTTTTCTATTTTTAGTAACGGTGACCTTGACCTTGACCCCAGGGGGTCCAAATGCAATACCAACCGGAGTTTCCACATAAGGTTGCTATATACCAAGTTTGATTACAATACCTCATTCCAAACTCTAGTTATCGTCCGGAAACCATGATGTGGACCGACCGACGGACGGACCGACCGACCGACCGACCAACCGACCGACCGACAAGCTGACTCCTATATACCCCCCCTAAACTTCGTTTGTGGGGGTATAATAATCAAGTTATGGGCCGGACACGATTTTTGTTCAAGGTCAGGCTGTGACCTTGACCTTCAAGGTAACGACCAAAATGATGTGCGTGACAGATCATCTCAATATGGTGATCATTTCTGTGAAATAGTTGTAATATCCAACTTTAAATAACCTAGTTATGGGCAGGACATGATTTTTGTTCAATGGAGTGACCTTGACCTTCAAGGTAGTGACCCAAATGTTGCGCGCGACAAGTCGCCTCAATATGGTGATCATTTCTGTGAAATAGTTTTAAAATCCAACTTCAAACAAGCATTTGATAGTATTGCGGGCAATACAGTAGTCCCCTACCGGTCCCTCAAAAAGTCCTGTGTATTGCCATTTATAATGAATTTGAGGATGAAGTCTGTATTTGAAAATATCGACCACAAAACATAATAAAATAAGTTTGTCTATATCACAGTAATGTGTTAAGTTTCCATGCTTAGTAAGGAAATTATGTTTATACAACCTTGTCATATTATTACGATGTGTGATTTTAAAGTAAATCCTATAAGGAATGAAGAAGTTGGAGTGAAAATACCAGTTTCTCGAAAAAAAATCTAAGTTCAAGGGGGACATAATTCTGGAAATAGTCTTGCTAGAGTATTTAACCTTCTCAAAAATGTCGAGTGATAATAAGAAACATATATATGAAGTTTGAAGTAGATACATTAGGAAATAAAGAAGTTATTTAAAAAAGACAACATTTTTTCCCCTAAAAAATCTAAGTTCAAGGGAGGTAATACTGATATTTTTTGTGCTAGAGTTATAAACCTTGTCACATATGATGTGGTTGATGACCAGAAACTTATATTTAAAGTTTAAAGTAAACACCTTAAGAAATAAAGAACATATAGTGAAAAATCTGAAAAATTTAAATCAGAAATCTTGAAATTCAGGCTATTTGTTGCCATAGCAACCAGAATTTTCAACATAAGAAGAAAAGAAAAAGATGTGCATAACCTCCAGACTGCCATCTACCCATATTTCAAGTTTCATAAAAATATTTTCAGTACTTTTTGAGTTATCACTGGATCCAGTTTATGTGTTAAATTTGCCATATTTTCAGACTATTTGTTGCCATAGCAACCAGAATTTTCAACATAGGAAGAAAAAAAAAAGACGTGCATAATCTCCATACTGCCATCTATCCATATATCAAGTTTCATAAAAATATTTTCAGTACTTTTTGCGTTATCGCGGGATCCAGTTTTGTGGACGGACGGACGGACGGACTGACGGACTGACAGACAGACAGACAGACGGACAGACAGACGGACGGAGGGTAAACCTAAAGTCCCCTCCGGTTAAACCGGTAGGGGACTAATAACAAAGTTATGGGCCGGACACAAATTCGGGATGTACGTACGTATGTACGGATGGACAGACGGACAACCCGACGACTATATGCTCCCCCGAAATTTTTCGGGGAGCATAAAAATTAAAAAGCCAACCGTATAAAACCTAACCTGACTGCAAAGATGTCCTTAAATAAGTCATTTCTATGTTAAATGTAGGAACTTTTTATGCCCTTTCTGGAAATGTTAATAATAAAGCTTAATGTACATGTATGTAGGGTTGTGAAGAATTTAAGTATTCCAGTACCATCAAGTATATTTTTATACTATAGCCCTACAATGTTTCACCTTACAATAGCCCTACAATGTTTCAACTCACGACCTAATTTTTCTTACTTAAATGACCTATTTCATAAGACATCTTGAGATTTTATGGATATGGTCATTTTGAGCAAGTATATAAAATGTGTCAACTTTGTCACCTCTTAACAAGGTCTTATTTTTGCTTGAACTTGATCAATGTGGTTTTTGAACCTACAATGTGTATGACCTTTATCAAATTGACCTTGACTTGTATTTCATATTATCAAGGGGAGTGTTCTGATGAAATATCAAACTGAATAAACAATGTTGCTTGTAATTTAGTGACCGGCATGTGAAGAGATCACAGAACACAAGTGTCAAATATGTTTCTTAATTTGTCCTTGAGCTGTATAATATTAAATATATCTGTCTATTTACATTCTCAAAGATAAGACACGAAAACACTTACTATTCTGTATACAGGTAAATCTGTAGCCAGTAGGTATCTTTCCTGAAAAATAAAAGACAAATTTCACCATCATGTAACCCACTCTTTAAACAAAACTTCCATACAAAACTTTGCATATTAATGGTCTGCACTTGATTGATTTGAATGCCTTACTGATAAGAAATGGTTATATTATAAAACTAAAATTCACAGTGTTTTTTTTAGACGACAAACATGTTTGCAAAATGACTTTTGGTGGATATTTTTTTGAAAAATAAAAAATTATCACTGCCAATATTTGACAGAACATTTTAGTTTAAAAACCCTTTTATTTTTTTTAAGTGAGATTTACCTTTTAAAAAAAAAATCCAATTTTTTAATGACATAACATTTTAAAACCAAATTATACTCGGTTCCCTGTTTTTTATTCAGTCTAAAATTTAAAAATGGCAACATTAAAAGTTCTTTTGAAGAGACAAACCCCATATATCTTTTACACAGCAAATAGGAAGAAAGAAAAGTAACAAAACCACCCCATAATAGTACCCCATATTTTACAGTCAGAAGAAAAAATGTGTGTCATACATGACACAACCTACTGTTGGAACAGGGGCAAAGAGAGGGAAGATAGAGTGGTGGTTTGTATTACATATTACATGTATATCAAGACATAATTAAGAAATTTAACAAATTATGGCCAAAATAACCTGATGAAGACTCGTGAGAATCGAAACGTCGGTTATCACCATTAAATAAAACCTTAAAACTTATCCTGTGTTGACTTTTTGTTCCATTTTAAAAATTTTTCTTATAAAATTTTAAAGAAAAAAAAAAAACAAAACAAAATAAACCACACATGCCCCTTTTCTGGAGGAGGGGTCAAAGACTAAAAAAGAAAGGGGGGATGTAAAAATTTTTTGAGGGGGAAAATACCTTTTCAATAATCTATGAAGGTCTCTCATAATTCTTTCTCTATATTTTAAACAGCGATCTCGAGTGTATTCCCTTTGGTTTTTAAAGGTTTTTGTATTTTGATAAAGTAAAATACCACTCTTCTGCGAAAAAAAAATTTAAAGGGGCAAATTACAAACATAATTTTATGAATAAAATCAATACTGGTCGGGGACCATCAACCGGACACTTTTTGAACATTTTTCCATACAGTTTTCATAATTTCAAGCCTAGAGACCTAAAAATTTGACACAGTACAGCTAGGTTCTTCTCCTAAATAACAAACTAGGTTGTTAATTTTTTATTGTATTGACTCCTTTATCTGAAGCTCATCAAGGCGGGTATCAAAATTACCTAAATTGTCTACACTACAGTACCATGTGTCCGGACAGATATGTACATGACATGATTTAATTCAGATAAAAGCTTGGGTGTTTTAATTTTTGATTTTTAACATGATATACAATATTTCAGCAACAAATGCTGAAGTTTTGGTTATTCTTTTGTTTACTCTGCAAATGATTATAGCTGGTATATGAGGTCAGGCATTGCTGTCTTGGCCCCCAAATTTCAACGTCAACATTCTTGAAATAGACATTAAAATATTACCATTTACGGTTGAAATAAATTTATTTAATTAATTATAGAAGAAACGTGAATTTATTGTTGATACAAAAGTGACTGACAACCACTTTACAAAGAAAATACTAAATTAAGCATTTTCCGGACCGTCCGGGTTTGGTGGTTGTCCGGTTTTGGTGGTCCCCAACCAGTATATATTTCTTTTGAATAACAATCACAAATCAAATTTACTGAATATAATCAATATATATTTCTTGCATATAAGATAAGTAACTACCCATCTACAGATGAAGATAAATATTCAGCATTAGTTTTTCCCCGTCTTGAAAGGGGAACCTATTTTTAATTTCTAAAAATTCATAATTTATACATGCATATTAAAAAATAAAAAATATTTAACATATAACAGTCAATTTTGTTCAGCAGCATCATCCATTATCTGAATTTCTTCCATTCAAACAGAAGGTTTAACTAGAACTATCGCTGTATGCGATTCATACCCCAACCAATGTCCTTGACAGAAGACGACTTGGAAAGGTGGTTAAGGGAATAACTTTAGTGGCACAAATACATATACATAAAAAGAAATTATCTCTGGTGAAAAAAAAACAAATTGTACAGGTAGTAGTATAAATATATATTGTCAAATCATGTTCGAAACAGTTACAAATAACCTTTCATTTTCCAAATGTACTAAAACAAACAAAAGCAGTGAAGTTAAGAAAATAGCATAATTATGTCCAAATGTAATTAAGAGTGGAAAAACTTTACATACTGAGCTTACTTGTGACCCTTCATATATTATATAGTTTCAAGTGAATATCTGTTCTAGTTTCAGAAACATTTAAGTATTAATGGTTATATCAGAACATTTTCTAAGCCTAAAAGGGGCATAACTTGTGTCATAATTCAATGGAATTGTAGAATTTTCGTCATCCTAGCTTGCTTGTAACCATTCATATAAGTTTTAAGTTTCAAGTAAATATCTGTTCTGGTTAAAGAAATATTATGGTAAATAAATTTAAAGACATAAAAATGAACTTAACTTTGTCAAAATACAATACAAAGTTATCCCCCCCCCCACTTTTTTTAGTTATGAAACTTGACCTGCATATCTTACTTGCGACACTTCGTATATATTTTAAGTTTCAAGCAAATACCTTTTCTAGTTTCAGAAATATTCAAATACATGTTAAAATTTAAGAACATTTTCTAATTCAATTTTTGACCTTCAAGTGTGACCTTGACCTTGAGCTGACACATGGGCAACATGGGTTCTGCACATCCCCTTGTTGAGGTGAACACTTGAGCCAAGATTGAAGAAAATCTTTCAATTAGTGTAGGACTTACAGAGCGGACGCGACATACTGTCTAATATTTGATTGTTTGATATTTGACCTTCAATTGTGACCTTGACCTTGAGCTGACACATGGGCAACATGGGTTCTGCACATCCTCTTGTTGAGGTGAACATTTGAGCCAAGTTTGAAGAAAATCCTTCGATTGGTATAGGATTTATAGAGCGGACACGATAATGGAGATGGACTACATTGAATGGTAAATATAACATAAGAAGCAGACAAAAACTATGGTAACCTACCTTTTCCAGCAGGCCAGTTTCTAATCATATTTTTCTTTTCTGCCATCCTTCTTTTCTCCAGCTCTGTGTATTTGTCAGTGCGATGCTGTAACCATAGTAACACAAAATAATAAATAAGTCCCAACTAGTATTTTTGGCTTATTCTGACACACTACTTGTAAATTTTGCCTGTAAATGCCTTTGATTTGTTTAAAAGAACAAAATAATATGTCTTATTAAAATTAACTTTCTACTCAGGTGCCTGAAATAATGCATTCAGGGGCAGCTGAGCTTTCCCTATACTATAAAAGCTGGGAAATTAATATACAACCTCTGCAGTATCAGTCAGGATTTTGGGAATACGACCCATACCCATGGAATTGGGAATTTCAGCATTGTTTTGTTAAAATTTGGGAAATGCACGACTGAAATTTTGCAGTGATTAAATAGATGCAAACAATTACCGTCTATGATGGCATCTTCAAAGATTTAAGCACTTTTACAGTGAAGAAGCCCTTATTTGCAAATATTTTACAATTTTTATTCAACATTTTTATTTTGTAACTTTCAGATGGGAATTTTTTCTTGTGGATTGGAAAAAAATATACTATTTTCAATTGGGAATATGACCCGATAATGGCTAAAAAAACTAGAACTATCACTAAATGTGATTAATACCCCCACAAGTCTGCTTGGAAATGAGGATGTTACTAGTAACAGAATACCTTGTAAAAGAATTGAAACATAGAGTTATGGTTGTGGGCAATTAAAGATAATTGTGGTTCATGTATGTTGCATTTCCTTTCAATGTGGTTGGCCATTGATGAAGTTTAATTGAATTACTCTGTAATAAGTCCAGAAAGACAAAGAAAAAGAACAAAGGGCAAACACTCTATAAATACTGAAGATAGAGTTATAGTTCTTGTGCACTGCACTTCCTCTTATTGTGCTTGACCATTGTATGAAGTTGTTTTGAATTCCAACCAGTAGTTTTCAAGTCATGCTCTGGTCAAGGAAAAGTAACAAAGGGCAGTAACTCTGTAATTAGTCAAGATGGAGTTATGGTTCTTATGCACTGCACTTCCTCTCAATGTGCTTGACCATTGTATGAAGTTATAATGAATTCCAACAATAAGTCTTCAAGTTATGGTCCGGACAAAAGAAAGCAATGGAAAAGTAACAAAGGGCAATAACTCTGTAATTAGTCAAGATGGAGTTATGGTTCTTGTGCACTGCACTTCCCCTTATTGTGCTTGACCATTGTATGAAGTTGTTTTGAATTCCAACCAGTAGTTTTAAAGTCATGCTCTGGACAAGGAAAAGAAACAAAGGGCAGTAACTCTGTAATAAGTCAAAATGGAGTTATGGTTCTTGTGCACTGCACTTCCTCTCAATGTGCTGGACCATTGTATGAAGTTATAATGAATTCCAACAATTAGTCTTCAAGTTATGGTCCAGACAAAAGAAAGCAATGGAAAAGTAATAAAGGGCAATAACTCTGTAATTACTTTAGATAGAGTTATGGTTCTTATGCACTGCACTTCCTCTCAATGTGCTTGTCAGACCATTGTATGTAGTTATATTGAATTCCAACCATTAGTCTTCAAGTTATGCTCCGGACAAAAAAAAGAAGGCAATTGAAAAGCAACAAAGGGCAATAACTCTGTAATTACTTTAGATAGAGTTATGGTTCTTGTGCACTGCACTTCCTCTTATTGTGTTTGACAATTGTATGAATTTGTTTTGAATTCCAACCAGTAGTTTTCAAGTTATGCCACGGACAAGGAAAAGTAACAAAGGGCAATAACTCTGTAATTAGTCAAGATAGAGTTATGTTTCTTACGCACTGCACTTCCTCTCAATGTGCTTGACCATTGTATGTAGTTATATTGAATTCCAACCATTAGTCTTCAAGTTATGCTCCGGACAAGGAAAATGCAACGGACAAAAAAAAAAGCAATGGAAAAGCAACAAAGGGCAATAACTCTGTAATTACTTTAGATAGAGTTATGGTTCTTGTGCACTGCACTTCCCCTTATTGTGTTTGACAATTGTATGAAGTTGTTTTGAATTCCAACCAGTAGTTTTCAAGTTATGCCCCGGTCAAGGAAAAGTAACAAAGGGCAGTAACTCTGTAATTAGTCAAGATAGAGTTATGGTTCTTGTGCACTGCACTTCCTCTCAATGTGCTTGACCATTGTATGCAGTTATATTGAATTCCAACCATTAGTTTTCAAGTTATGCTCCGGACAAGGAAAATGCAACGGACGTCTGGACCGACCGACCGACCGCCCGACCAACCACCGGGTGACTCCTATATACCCCCCCAAACTTTGTTTTTGGGGGTATAATAAGCTGAAAAAAAATCTCTGCAGTTTGACCTAAGAACAAATACTGGGAATATTTAAACATACCGCAAGTACATTGCCAACATTGTCCACTTTATATTGGTCACCAGCTCGCCCTCTTAACCTTGCTTTTTCTTGTTTCGCCATATTTTCAAATCTCTGCTTTTCTTTCTCAGGAAGTTGCTGAAATTATTACAAACAAAACTATCAATAGACAAATACTCTTTTTAATGATCATCGTAATTGTACAAAAATAAATCTTAAAAGTTTTCTTTTATGATTTAACATAGAACAGTCACAAAACAATGTAGGAAATATTCCATTAATTTTAGAAAAAGAATGAATTAAGGTATTAATTCCAGGCCAATGTTTCAAGAAAATATGCTACAATAAAATTATTTGTTTGTGTAAAACAATTGATTAACAAAACTGTTGTTTTGGTTGCTGGCAATAAACCTAGGAGGAATGAAGATGTTAGAATGTTACCTTCCATCGTGGATGAGCAATGGGCACTATATCAGCCATTCCATTAGGAAAGACACGTCCTTCCCTTTTAAGTGTTGGTTCTAAGTCCTTCATAAAGAAGTAAAAGGCATTTCTCTGTTGTTTCTTAGGCATTGCAACTTCTTCCCGGCAGTGACTACTGATTAACTGTAAAAATAAAACATGTGATTGTGACTTATTAAATGCAACATCACAGTGACTTAAGTAACAGAATAACACTTCTCCTTCTGAAGCTTTCTCTTGTTTGCTCAATTTCAGTATTTTGAAATATGTTCAACTTAAAATGGCCCTCTCTCCAAATTCTATGAAACACTGTGAAAGGAAAATTCAGTACAGTGTCACAGAGTGAGAAAAATGTGTAGCCTGACCGGGACTCGAACCCTGGACCCTCGTAATACCGTTCCGCGGCTCTACCGACTGAGCTATCCGGCCGCGTACACATCTTCTCCCCTAAATAGTGAACAGTTCTGAACCGTGACATACTCCCCTGCTATAATGAAATTCGTCCTCGAATTTCACAGAGTTACAGAGCAATGTAAATTAAACTCTGAGCTATATTAGCCACAGCCCCATTTTGGGCGCCAATTGTCGCAGCTCAAACGAAACAAAGGGCTCGTTGACTCTGCTGTGAGTTCTGGACCTGGGGTAGAGGGGTCTGTAAAAAGACAAGTATGCGCTACTCAAAATATTTATTCTTCCCTACAACAAAACCGTGGCCTGCGCCAACAATTTCTCAATTCAAGTGCAAAATATGAAAATTGCAAAATCGATGAATGGCAAAATATATATGAATAATAATAGCATCATCTGAAAAGTCTATTTACCTGTAAAAAGACAAGTATGCGCTACTCAAAATATTTATTCTTCCCTACAACAAAACCGTGGCCTGCGCCAACAATTTCTCAATTTAAGTGCACATGCGTTGTTGCAGATTAGCCGGAATTGAAAATATTAGCGAGAAAGTTAATCGACGATATTAAAAAGGTTTAAAAGTACTATCATGTATAGGTAACGGCTATTGGATATGAGATATGAGCTACGAGTATATGAATTAAAGAAATAACTACGGAAAACAATAAGGGACATGGACATTAACTTATAAATAAACAGAGACAGGCATGGTCACGAACAGACCAAAAATATACAGCACTTGGCAATACGGCCAATGTATACTTGACCCTGTGACACAGTATACAAATAACTACAATAATGAAAAATTTTCATATTGTGACACGTCCGTTAAACTGATCTGATATAATAATAGGAAGCAAGCGAGATAACAGTCTATTCTTCCTAAACTGATAACCAAACTTTGTTCATTTTAACATTGAAATTTTAGTCAAAGACAAACCAATATTATTTTTTGCTAAATCTAATAATAATATCCGGAAAATACACTGTCCGAAATCAAGACTCTCACAATATGCAATTTTTCATTTGAAACTGAATAATTTGAGTTATTAATAATAGTTAGAACAGCAGGGAGTTTTGAACTAAGTATCTAAATGTAAGAAAGTAAATGTCACCTAAGTCCTAAAGCAAAGCAATGCTGACTTTTTTGCGGGAACTGGGTTACTTTTAATTAACAATTTTTCCAAACGAAAAATTTGTTTCACTATTTCAAAATAAGTTTCAATTTCATTATGATGACAATATTAAACATGCATATAGAAAAGTTTAGGTCAAAATAAAATAAAATAGATTTTGATTCCACGGCTATTATTTTCTACGTGTTTTTGACATTTTTATTTTGATAAAATTTCGTTCAAAACGATGCGTGATTTCTAATCAATGTCAACAGAATTGAAGGGAATTCCAGATTTATTCATGAGTAATTTAACCCAAATCTATAGAACGATCTGCTGTTAAAAATATGAGATTTGTGTTGAAATCCATCAAACCACTTTGCAGGAATCATTCGCGACAACTGTCATTTATTTCTGTAGTAGAGAAACCATTGCAATTCACTTGTCAACATGAGCTTATTTCAAAACCATTTACCAAGTCTGAGAGCCTACAATTTAAATGTCTCAAAGATAACTTTAGATACAGGATGAATACAGATTTTAATCAAGTAAGATGTTGCAGTTCAGATACGTCATCCAATGATCTTCATAAAATGTTACCTGCTGAATTCCAGGAAAAGTTGAAAGACAAAAAGATATCCCGCTGTTACATAATAAGTGAGGAAGGCAATGTGAAATATTCACATGATGAGTTGAAAGAGCTGATTCCAGAGTCTGAATTAAAGTCTCTTGACTTTGAACATGAGGCAATATTCTTTTACTCTGGGACAAGGTCAGATTGTCTGATGTCTGTGTTTCTGTGGAGGACGGATAGGGGTCAAGGGGTAAGTATGGACCTTTCCGGTGTTTACAGTTTTATGTAAATTGGCTAACTTGTTATCCAATCGCTACTCTGAGATAATACATAGTCACTGGTTGACCTGGTTTGCACAAAAGAGCACGTGCTTATGTTTGTGATACTGTTTGTGAGCAGTTGACCTAGCAATGAATGGAAAAGGTGTGGCTAAAGGTTCCGCTACGAAAAACCGGAAAGGTCCATTGCTGACAGGTCAACCGGAGTTAATCATACATGCCATAATGTCTTGGACCTCCATTATTGCTCTTGAAATCAAGTAACTTTATGTACGTCATAATGCTTCCTATGTACATCATACCGCTTCAAAATCATTGCAGCAAGGTACTTTTATTGGAGGTGTCCCAGGGATAACTTATGTCTAGTCCAACTAATTGTACTATGCGGCAAGATATTGTGCTATAACACATCAATATATTTTGACTAAATTAATTTATGTCCTGATGAAAAAGGAAATCTGAAACAGTATCTCCTTTTCAAGATTTATTACAATTTTATGACATCTTTTTTTCAAGTTAATATGAAATTACCTTAATTGTAGATGTTGTGTTTTCAATTGTCCCAAGAGGTTATAGTAATAAACAGGAATTTATGACACTAATCCTTCTATTGGTAAATCTACATGTATGTTGCAAATCAGCAATAATTAAAATCAGTGAAGAGATTAATTATTTACATGAACCCCTGCGGCTTGAGATTAATTATTTACATGAACCCCTGTATCTTGCTGAGCAAAAAATATTAACAACAACTAGCCAGCAAAAATTGATCAGGCATCTATTGACGCCAATTATTGCCAGAACACTATGAAATTTACCACTGAACATGAGGTAATCAATAATCAGTAATTGGAAATGTTTTTAGCAAAAGAAAAGGCAGAATTGTCTATACTTAACATACATGTAGCCTTATCATATTCTGTGACTGATAGAATATATCAACATTAATTATTTCTAAAGTAGATATACAATGTAGATAAACTGTTGATATTTTTGAGATTTTGTGAAACCGTTTATGACCACTTATTCTATACCATCTGCTCATACATGTATGTTCAACACATAATGAAATATCTTCATTAATGATATTATATATTTGTTTATTTATTTCTGATTTCATTAGGTGGGTGGTGTTGATTACAGAGCAATTAGTTCCATGGCAGAATTAATCTTAGATGGAAATAAATTTTCTAAAGGACTTGGTATAAAGTCTGCCCTCGCAGGAATGTGGTAGGTATCAATGCTTCTCAAGCCCACTTTCAATTTTATGCTAGCTTGACATCATTACTTGGTATTTAAAGTGTTGTGTGTTAGCCAGCTAGTGTTAGTCCAAACAAACAGGGTTAGGGAGCCATCTTACTGTAAATAGAACAAAAGAGAACATAAGAGTTTATTCTGTTGAAAAAGAATAAGGGGCCATTGGCCCCCTATTAAACAAAAAAAAATAATAAAAGAAATGGCCCCTTATTGCATTTCGGCTGAACATCTGTGCATCTGTCCAATAATGTCTGAAGTGTAATTTTGCCATTTGCAAAAAATTTAATGTCAACTCCAAATAGAAGATTAGTCACATGAAAAAACCAGAATTTTAAAACATACGCCAATGTCACATTTAGAGACAGCATAGATATTTGTCTTCTAAAGACTGTGCTAGCTTTTATGATTTAGCTAGCTAAAGCCTGTCTTATTTACAGAATGGCCCTAATTTTAAATCGATTAATTAAAATCCAGTTTATTCACAGAATGTTCTTATTTTTAAGTTACTTAAAATTTGTCTTATTAATAAATGATAATTTTATGAGTGCATAAAATCAGTCTTATTGACAGAAAAGTCTGAATTTTATGCTACTTAGAATATAATTTACATTGTAGTCTTGATTTTAAGTTACTTAAACTCTGTCTTTTGACACAATAGTCATAATTTCGAGTTTAAATCTACATGTATCTAATTGAAAGAATGGTCTTAATTTTGAGTTGTTGAAAATTTTATCTTATTGACAGAAAAGTCTTAGTTCTAAGTGATTTAAAGTAACAATTCTACTGTATAGATACATGTATTTAACATAAACATTGTAATTTCAGGGCAGGTGGAGGTAAAGGATTTGTATTAGCTCCTGTAAGCAGACAGTTTGATCCAGAATTTAGGAGGAAAGTTTTCTTGGATTTTGGTGATTTTCTGACCTCACTCAATGGCTGCATGGGTAATCAAGTTCTAAAAGATAATTTTTATAACAATTTCCAGTAATTATTTTATGTTGTAGTGGGTTTTTTTGTAATGAAAGAAAACATACCTACCCTGCTTAATTTTATTTAGATGATATGGCATCCGATACTCTGCTGTGAATTTGGAGCAGTCTAAAAGACTTTCTCCGGAATGAAACTTATTTTGGGTTTACCCAGCTAATTTGGGTTTACCCAGCTAATTTGGGGGTTCAAACAAACTTTTACTAAATAAGCATTACACGTTGATAAATTCATTGTGAACAGTAGTGCACCTTTAAACTATAATGGTGAAAAGTTTGTTTGTACCGGGGGATTAGTTTGGAAAAACCCTGATTTGCTGAGTTCCAGAATTACAACTATTGAAAATTAAGCATTTTTCAACTGAGTCTGTTCAGGTAGCGACAAAGGCTCTTTAAGCTACTGCAGGTTTAGGTAACATTTCTTTGACTTAAAGAAGTTGTTGCAAAAGTTCTTTAAATGTACATAACTTCTAAATTGAACAAATAGAAAACAAATAGCAAAAATCTGGATGTTTTAATGACTATACATGTAAAGCTATATCTAGGGGCAGAATCAATGTTACATTTTAAGAAATGATATTTTCTGAAAACAATAGGAGTGCGTAGTTTTTTTTTGTTTTTTTTTTGTCCTTGTCCATCCATCATGCTGTCACACAGTTGCTCTGTTGACTGGCAAAAGAGTGGAATGTGGGGGCATCTATGTCATATGGACACATTTCCAATTGAAAGTTTTTACTGAATAATTTGCGAGTTATATATAGCTTAACACCACTGAAGGGGATACAAATATCATGGTCTTATGATTAACTGGAAAAGGAAAACAATCGGGATCCAGCTTTTTCCTAACTGATTTGTATAAATTTCAAACAGTCTGTTAAAAACATCAAACATGTGTACATTAAATATAAGGTGACAGTCTGCATTGTTTTTCAGTTGCTGGTGTTGGTATTGGAAGCTCAGTACCAGACATAGATACCATGTTCACACAGAGTAGATATGTTTCCAATGTTACACCATTTTATGGTGGCTCAGTCAACTCATCTGTTTACACTGGATTAGGTGAGTAAATTCCCCCTATCAATACACATACGTCCACACAAAATAGTGTTAGATATGCCTGCTTTATAAGGTCATCAATTTACACTATCTTAACTTCATATCCATTATGTCATTTTCCAAAGACTTAAAGAAAGGGCTGAACAGTTGTGATTACTGTGTTCATTTTGCTGTGTTTGTAAATTCAGTTGTTTTAATTGGATTTAGCATTTACAATTAATAAGTAACTTCCCCTTTTTAGCTTGTCTGTTTACACAAAAAATTGTTGAGTATCACCCTTTGTTCTCATCTTTTTAAAATGGATTTGGCCAGTTATTCCCCAGCATCTCCCCCCAACTCCTTATTTAAACTTGGCTTTTGGCATTGGATTAGGAGATATTTTTCCCGACACAGATAATGATTTACACTCATTTGTTTAAAATGGATTATGTGAGTTACCCAGTCTGTTATTTATTATTGAGACTAATCAGTTTGCTTTAAGTATTTTTGATGATTTACAGTATTCCCCTTGAGGAAAATCATTATTTATTGGTGAAACATTGTAGGTGAGAAATTGTGTATGTTATTTTCAGGTGTCGTGAAAGCAATGGAGGCAGCTATAGAGTTTTTGGAAATGGGATCTTTAGAGGGGAAAACTGTAGCAATACAGGGTGCAGGGAATGTTGGTAAATATTTACAATATTAATACTCTTGTTACTATATATAGTAACAAAATTGCCCATGACTTCAACTGATTATGAGTGTCATGTGACCGATTATGAGTTTTAACCAAACTTGACTGGATTGGAATATAGGTTCACCAATGCAGAGAAATAATCTCTGTACAAATACAGTATCAGTTCCACCCAAAGAAAGACTTCACAGCAGTAGATAACCTCTCTGTAGTAACACCCTCTCAACAACAATCAAACTTTGTTGTCTTCTAAAGGTAGTTACATTGTAGATGTAATTCTGTACATGTCAAAAGTACTTAACATACCCTTGCCTTAATTCAAGAGAAATTATCTTAACCATTTTGTGTATGGAATAATATTGGATATATGAAACAAATATTTAAAAATGTGTCATTTTTTGTATAGAATAATATTTAATAACATTTTAGATTCATGCATAGTATAAGGTATATCATTTTTACAGAACAGAAAATTTATCACTTGGTTTAAGCATAGCAAGCTCATCACTATATGAAATATACAAATACAACATATAATACATAAATGACATATGACATGAATGTATATAACTGAAAAATAATGGTTTATGCAATGTGAGAATGTTTAATGAGACAGGAAATAACTGAAAAAAACATTTGAATATACATATTTAACACTCAAGAATTTGTCTATCTTTACCTAACATTATCAAATTTAGCTACAATACATTTTGAGGCCTATCAGTAGAATCCACAAAAAGAAAACCACAGTTATAGTGTGACAAATGAAGGGGAATAACCTATGTAATTTTACATAACCAATATTTTAGCATTTACTTCCCTTCATTAATTCATGATTAAATATATTTCTGTATGATAAATGAAATATGGTAGAAAGGTTAGTTTATTGATTTCCTACATTTTAATTAACAAATTTGTCTTCTATATCATTCTTATAACATTAAGTGATCTTTCTTCCTTTATAATTTTTATAGGTCAAGTAATTATAGATGAGTTGTTAAGGAAGAATGTTAAACATATCTATGTGACAGAGTGTAACAGTATGACAATATCGGATGTCAAGGACATGTTTGCATCTAAGGTAAAATATATGTCAGTGTGGAATAATTAGTGAAATACTGAGTTTTATTAGTGAGATATAAATGATATCTGTCACTCAAATTAATCAATTTAGAAAAGTTTTTTGGTTTTTTTTGTCAGTGAATGTTACTGGTAGGAGAGATAACTTCGACACTAAATCACACATTTTTTGCAATATCTTAATTAATCATCCTGGTTATTTTATATATTGCACAACCTAAACAAAGTTCAGTTCAAAGACTTTACTGGGCAGGAACCAGTTTCCGGACAATACCAGTTTCCGGACAAGTATTATAACGGCTTAATTTTGGCTTTATCGATGACGATCGGTATTATATGTCATGAAGATGCTTGGTTTGATTGTTTGAGAAATAAACTTCCTTCCAAGTTGATACATCATTAAAATTTAGTGAGGATATCTTACCTGTGTTTTAAAAACAGCCTTATATCCCTTTGGGGCATGTAATTTGTTCTGCGCATGCGCAATATTTTGTTTATTTCGGGATATAATTTGGGGTAGCAATTAATGCACAATGTACTTCATTCGAAGTTTATTGGGTGTAATTCCCCAGAGCTAAATCTGTAACGTATCGGAAAATGGTGTTTAGCTAGGTTTACTCCTCTTTCGCACTTCGTTGCTGCCGTACACACAAAAATTTCCGTTTCACTTTTCAGTCATTCCGAGACCCATCACATGATCGTTATTTTTCCTATCATAAACATTTTTCAGTATATCAGCTTAATTATATAAGAAAGCTAATATGTGAGAAGAAATTTTTTGTTATATTAGAAAAATTATCAGTTAAAAACAGATATGAATAGCAGCTTAATATATGTCCGGAAACTGGTTCTGCAAGAGTGAACAATTTACACTTTTGATGACCTAATTAAACCCTTCAGTTTGTACATTGCTTACGTCACCACTCACCAGACAGTATTAATTGTGTTATTGGACGTAGTTAGAGCTCAGGTTTCTGGTATGTTAGTTTTATTAATGCATGTTTGTTATTAAAAAAAAGACAATTAAAAAAACTCGAATTCTGTCCGGAAACTGGTTCCTGCCCAGTACATTACACTACTAAAATTAAGTATGAAAATGGAATCAGGTACTTTAAGTTCCTGAATGAGGTATACAAAACATGGTCTATTTACACCACAACAGTAGATAAAGTCGACACATAAATTTTTAAGTAAAATATATTATACGTTTTATCTATTTTTTGTTAACATTTAAACAATTTTTCAAAAATCTTTCTTAAGTCAGTGGCCTGCGGTCCATACAATTCTAACTTCCTTATTGTAATTTAGTAAAAAGAACGTTTTGAAGCAGTTTTTGCCTACGAAAAGTTTAGGTTATTTGAAAAACATTAAAAAGTTTACCAAATTATAAAAAATCATCACAATGCTGTCCTATTCCTATACTACTAGGTGACCATGTGCTTGTTTGTTGAAAAACGAAGTTATAACAATTATATTTATTAAGTGTCAGGGTTATCTATGGGTCAGAGTTATCTCTCCGACCATTAAATTGAAAGACGTTTAATGATTTTGATCAATTCAGAAATCATTAAGAGTGATTAATCCATTAAAGTCGTTGGCTTCAACACACTTGCCCATAACCTCTGTAGGTTGGAATCCCACTAGCGACTTTTGATTCTGTCATGTGAGGATGCTATCTAATTACAATACGCTGATGTGGCTTAAAAAGCGCCATTTTTAAAAATACGTTATTTCGGAAATGACATCATGACGTTAAAATGTTACAAGTTGTAGGGCTGTTTTTACAAACTAATATAAAAACTTCATTGATTATCCTTTAAAATGGTGTATTGTTCACTTAAAATCTAAATAGTTGAAACAAAATTATTTAGATTTCAAGGTTGTTTTTTTTGGGGGGGGACACTCTGTAGCTTATGGAACGTCGGTGGGTCTACACATAACTATGTTCTTTTACAATTTGTAACATTCAAATGCAATATGTAGTTTTCAGACTCATTGTTTGAAGATAAACAGGTTTTTCTATGGAATTTCAGGCTGATGGAAGATTAACAATATCAAAAGTATCATTTGAAGATACAAGCATATTCCGTACAAAATGTGATATCTTCTCACCATGTGCTCGTGGAAAAGTAAGTTATAGTATTCTAGTGTTTTATTTTTATGACCTGAAAAACTTAAGAAAAAAACCAAACAAAAAAACAAATATTTTGCAAAAAGTCATAAATTTTTCATCTCAGTTATGGCGCAGCAATGGTTCTACTGTGTCACATAGTATGATAAACACACAGAAATAGTTGATGGGTCAAAGCTGCAGTAAGTGTTAAATGCAAAGGTTCATGAACAATAAAAACAGTGTATTTTTGCCCATGAGTCTATAACTTGAATGATGATTGCTTACTGACCTATGGGTGAAATGTGCTGTTTCACTTGCAGTTGTTCTCTGTATAGTTTGCAATGAAACATACTTTCAAACATACTAACATTTTTTCTTGGACATAAATTTTTAATCATGTGACTACTGGAAATGTTTTGTAATTATAATTGAAAACTTGTTAATATCTTATTGTACAATGTTTGTACACAAATGTAGACAAAATGTTGTTTGTTTTTGCATGAAAATTATACTTGGATAATTATGATTGTAATAATTTCTGTTTTCTATGGTGACTATGCCAAGTACACATTCGATGTAGCGGAATGAAAAGGTGACAAGTATAAAAGATTGTCAAGGTTACTGTAACCCAACGAATATTCGCGACCAATTAATATTCGCTTTATTCGCGGATGGCCGCGAAGCGCGAATATTTGTTTGCGCGAATAAGTCCGCACGATTTCGCGAATAAATTGGAGAGAAATTTTTATTTTAGACCTTGTTCATGCAAAGCTACTTGGCCGGATATATTCGAATTTTACGGGCACCTGTTAGGAAGTAATGAATTGTTATGAATATTGCCACGCATATTTGGCAATCTTTGCTCTCCGTTCACTATCATAATGTCCGTAACTTTCACGTTTACGCTTTACACCCCCCTTTGGTGATAAAATTTCAAATACAGCTTCGTTTGCCGCTTTAGTCATTTTTTTTCTTTTCTGGTGTGCTTTCCAGATCATGATCAGGCAAAAACGATGCCGAAACATCCCTGCAATCTGAGGGAACTACCCTTTTGACGACATGTTTAGAAATGAGGACGAACGATGCGTACATGTACATATATAGAGAAATTGTTTTGCTGAATTGTGATCACAATTCACTTACCAATACAATATAAGGCTAGCGTATTGTTAATCCCATTTAAGACACCAATAATGACCTCAATTATTGAAGATTAATAGTCGGCTAATTGATTTTACGGCCCCATCAGACTTTTCAATCCGCGAATATATTTTTTTCGGAAATCAAGAAAACGCGGAAATTAATATTCGCGAATATGTCCGACCTCGGCAAAACGCGAAAATTTGTATTCGCGAATATTAATTGGGTTACAGTATGCTTGGCTTGTTTAAGTAGTTTCGTAATTCTGCTCTTTTTGCATTACCATAAGAATTATCCAAAGTGACATGATAATTTTCACTTTGCCACATGAAAAATGTGTATAGGGCGCTAACAAGCCACCATAGAATCATAGTTTTCTATCTGTTAATGCAATAACTATTTAGTAGTTGAGCTTTCAATCTGTTGTTATTGTTCTTTGTTTTAAAATTTGCCTCATAGCTCTTTAGGAAAAGCTTAATATACCTCAGACTGTTATGAATGGTCCAGCATACCACATATAAAACAATATGCTGTGCACCATTTGTGTTGCATCTGTTGGTCAGTTAAAATATTTGGAGGAATTGGCTAATTCTTGCATTAAAAAAGATATACAGTCTTACAGAATCTAGATGCGTTCGAAAGTTAAATATTACTAACAAATCAGTGAATTGAGATACTAATAATATAGACTGACTAACAAACAAGTTGCGATATTATTTCTTGCATATCAGACAAGATCATATGAGCCGCCTCACGACAAAACCAACGTATTGGGTTTGCGACCAGCATGGATCCAGACCAGCCTGCGCAGTCTAATCAGGATCCATGCTGTTCGCTGTCAGTTTCTCCACTTGTAATAGAGTTGATAAGCAAACAGCATGGATCCTGATCAGACTGCGCGGATGCGCAGGCTGGTCTGGATCCATGCTTGTCGCAAACCCAATATGTTGGTTTTGTCGTGACACGGCTCATATTATTTTCACCGGTGCTAGAAAAACCTGTCTTACACCCCCAAGTTTTGTGCTTTAAATGACGTCATTCCCTCATGTTTTTATAAATGAATCGCATTCTTTAAATGACATCATTTTGCAGTAATGAAAGAAGTTCAAAAAATAATAAACAAGTAATATGCAAGAAAATGAATCAAACACCGGCTGTCATAACAGACTGGAATATCTATCTCTCTGGTAACTCTTTAAAACTTGGCAGATACCCTGAAGCTCCATATTCTGGTCTGTCCAAGCAGCCAGAGTTCGATCCTTATAAACTTGTTCTGCAAGTTCATTTATTAATGGGCATGTTTCATTGAACTGATAATATATCTGACAATGCTTATACACAGATTTAGTAAATACATGTAGATATTAAGGTAGACCATGGGTAATGGGAACCATAAGGAACTGTAAAATATACAACATAGGACAGCTATATGTCTTCAAGGTCACCTGTATGCAAAATTTAAATAAAATTTACCGTTCGGTTTATGAGTTATGGACATATTTCTGAACTAAGACTTTGCCATTAGAAGGGCTTATTTTCAGAAATAAGGAAACTCTAAATAACCTGTAATATCATCATTATATGTTTTTCTATTGCCCATTGTTAAGAAACAAATAATAACATTCAGGTAACAAGTTACACAAGCAAAATGTTTTTTCTAAACAAAATGTTCTTAATATGTATAAAAATGTTACACTACCCAACCCACTTTAAACACTTATTTTACCATTTCCCTATCTAAAATGCCTTATTCAAAATATTCCTAAAATTTACCATAATGAGGGGCTGCTTTCAAAGTTTGCCTAAATTTTCTTAAAGGTACATTGGTTGGTCATGAGAAATATAAAATACTTTTACCGTGTACTTTTTATTTTATTAAACTTTGAAAATATCTGGTATCATATTTGCTATAAATTTTGTCATTATTTAGCAAATAAATACCTACAATAATTATTTAATTTAAATCAAACCCTTTTTTCTTCCATAAGGGATCAGAGAGATATATAAATAATGTTAAAAAGAAAAAAAAGAAAGAAAAAAAAAGTTGCCCCTCCTTGGGTTTGAACCCACGCCCCACAATTTCAATGTAGTTTGCAAGCAATTGTAGCCTATTTGAATACTCTTCAAAGTGGAGGTAATGAATTACCCATGGTCTACCTTAAGTTATTAACATATATATATGATCCTTAAATAAGTTCAATTCTAATATGCTGATAGAAAAGATTTAATGAAATTGAAACCTACAGAGAATGAAGGTATAATTTTACGGGATATCATAAAATTTTAGATTGTTGATGTCATGGTAAAGAAACTTAATATATTTTTTTCTTTTAATTGATAAATTCCTTTTCAGCTAAAGATTTGTGTTGAAAATTTGTATTATAACCAATCATAAAAACAAAGTGAAATTATACTAGAAATAATTTATATGATTTACATGACTTTATAATTGACAAATTATCATTTTAAGGCATTTGCATGGGGCAAAGATGGTAGCAGTCTCAGAGAGGTTATTATTGTTATATGCTGTGTATGAGTGCTTGGAAACCTGCTTGTGTGTTTTTAAAGGCACATTATACCTCAGTAATGAATAAAAATGTCTTTGTATCTAAGGGGCAAGCTTGTTCTCTATAATGTTGTTATAATGGATTTAGAACATGTTGATCACCTGAAGAAAATGGTGTCAAATGTGAAATAATATGTGATAAAGGTGCTAGTAAAATTAAGCAAAATGATATTTTTTACTTCTATACAAATTACTTTCACTATCAATGTACTAAATGCCAAAACACAGAAGAGACAAGACTAAAGACAGCTGTATAGCCAATTTGTAACTTTTAGAAAGAAGACACCATTTAATAAGCTTATACAAAATAAAAATATTTGCATTTTTTGAGACTTAATAATGTGCCTTTAAAAAACTAGTTCACCAATCACTGCCTCATTACATAACACAGTCATATTACCATAATCTTAATTTGGCTTCCAAAGATAGCTCAGTTTGTAGAGCATTAGGTCTACATACCATAGACTCACGAGTTTGAGCCAAGTGCGCATATGTATATTTCTATGATGGTTTGGTTGATAATAGTTTGTCATATGATTGTCATTGTTATCTACCTTTACTATATGAAGAAGTTGCTTCCAGAAAACTGATTAATATTGGTGCAGAATCCAGGAATGCTCTATAGTGAATAGCTCTTGCTAAGTGTGACCTCCACAATGATCCAAATACTGTTAAACAAAATTTTTGTGCTATACCAAACAATAGATGTATTCGTCATAATAAGATGTTTTTTTACATTGGCAATATATAGCTAGCATGCTAGATTATAAATGTAGAAATACAAAAAATTCACAATGTATTATCACACAATGCTGGCACCAAAATGTCACAGGAGCCAATTGCACGGAAATATCTTACTAACTTTTTTCTTATCTTTGTGTACATGTATATGAAATATAAACAGAAAATTTTCAACCCTGTATTCTCTATTAACATTTCATCAAACATTTTAATGGGCTGACTGTCATTTACACACATTGTCTTCTTGATCCATTATTAACACTTTGGTGCCATTATATGGTGTCATTCTTTAAAACCTGGTGTCAAATTTGATGTCATAATTTGCAATGTTATGCTGTACATGTATTTGATGTCACACTTCACAATGTGGTGCCATTGTGGATGTTATACTCTTGACAGTGTGGTGCCATATTTAATATAATACAATTTGGTGCCATATTTGATATCAGGATTGATGTCATACTTCACAATTGTGTGCCATATTTTATATCATATTTTGAAAGTGTGCCTGACTTCAGAAAACACTGTTTACCACTTTAGGTTCAAAGAAATTACCTAGTTACTGTTTTCCGAAAAACTTCCATGGAAACAATTAATTTTCATTTTTTCATAACGATGGCGTTCTAATAGCGGAGATATATGTTTGCACAATCATAGAGACCACAAAATTCACAAATATAACATTGCTGGGGGTTAAGAGCATTATATATTACTTATGTCACGATTGGGTTTCTGTATTTGTTCACTCCATACTCTCAAGACAAGACAAAGCCATACGAGAAATATTTAAATTTTACCTATAAATAATCTATATATAAAATATAAAATACCATTGTAACATAATTATTTGATATCAGAAAAATGAAAATGCATTCATATGACTTATGCTTTGCAAATAATGATTTTTGCATTTAAAATCATAATGTCAAGTTAAATAATCACGTGATTTATGATTGACCTTACTCAAGGCTTACCGTCTGAGAACAAATTCATTTTTTAAATTATTTAAATTTTAACCGTTAAAAATAAGCAGAAAATGTTTATCCATATAGGTATTATTTGCTATTATACTTGTAACAAACAATAATGCCTTCCTTTTTAATTGGATTTTCATTAATGTTAATATGTCACTTGATATAGAATTTAAAGTTATCACACTAGCTTGGGTAAATGCATGCCCACTTGTGTCTTGAATTTTGCTTGGAGGGGCACCTGAGGTCTTCTTCCACAAGTAAAGCTGGAAAGTCTCTTTTGTAATATCTCTAACATAATAAGTGTCAGTGTGTCTTAAAAAAAACAACCAAACAAAACAGTTTCTTACAGCATGTACTAAATTTGATGTTATTTTTCTTTAGATATTAATAAAATTATAAATGTTTATTCTCTCTCACAGAAAACAGGTCTTGTACTCTTTTTACTTTTATATATCTTCTGTCATTATTGCTGTCCAGATACAAAACAACTACTAAATTGCTATGCTCAAATTTGATATTAGAAAATATTGATAATTGCTACACAGTCTCTTTGTAAATATAAAATAAACGTGTTTTGGCAGCACACAAAGTAGATTTGTTATGTTTATAGTTCTACACACTATACATGTAGGTGGTCACAATATGAATATATAGTGTCATTAAAAAAGCTGACAGTTTTTTTTTAAGTAAAGATCAACTTTAGTTCATATGTAATAGGGAACACAGCTTCCCATACATAGTTAATGATAATTTATTAAGTAACAGGTACAGAGTTGTATGTCAGAAATAAGCATGTCATTTTGTTAAGAATCATGCCCAAGTACCTAGATTTATATTAAGACAATGGTTTGTATATTTCCATAATATAAAAGAGTTGCAGGCCTGAAATCAGAGCTAAGTCCCGTTTGAAATAGCATTGGAATATATGCTTTTCTGTAAGGGATTATTTAAATAATATTCATATGCTTTATTTAACAGAAACACTTTATTACATTCCTTATTAATAAATAACTCAAAGGGTTTCAAGTACCCAGATAATACAATAGTTGAAATATTTTGTCAAATAGTTCACAAGTTGTAAGTTTTGCCTTTGGAAGCTACTTAATTCGAAAATTCTTTCTTGTTTATTTATTTGAATTTTATTTTTATTTATTTATGTTACATGTATTTATATTTTATATATTTATTTATTTATTTTATTGTTATTTATGTATTTACTTATTTATTCTTCATTTATTTATTGATTTCATTGATTAAGTGATTGATTGATTTGTTGTTCTTTTAAAGGTGTTGAATGATACAACAATACCAATGTTAGATACAAAGATAATTTGTGGAGCCAGTAATCTACCTGTTCATACAGATGAGGACCATATTGCAATAATGGAGAGAAAAATCACCTATGTTACTGATGTTGTGCCAAATAGAATGGTAATTTACTAATTTTGATTGTCAAGCTCAAATATGTAATTTACTGATTTTATGTTAAATGATAATGACCTTGACTGTCAAGGTCAAATATTAAATTTTAAATGTTAATGACCTTGACTGTCAAGGTCAAATATTAAATTTTAAATGTTAATGACCTTGACTGTCAAGGTCAAATATGAAATTTGAATTATAGTTTTGTACAGGAAAATGATGTTCTTTACTGCAATATTCGTCCAATGTGAAATAAGAAAAAGTCTAGAATGGTTATAAGAAAGTCTTGTGTGGTCCCAACTTGGCAGTGCTACTTGTATAAAATGATATGTAATGGATTGTATGCTTAATAGAACAGTACTTGATTGAAATTTATAAAACAGAATGATATGTTGCTGATTTTGTAGCAAAGAAATTTTCTTACGTCACCTCTATAGAGTTTGGATATTGTGTACATGACCGTAAATCTGTGCAGCCTCACCAAGTTTTGTTCTGTTGGCTATTCCATTTTGATTTTGAATCTTGAATCCTCTTTAAAAAGCAATTGACTCCTCTGAAGCTTGAAATGTAAGGCCCATGTCTGAAGCTGAAAGGTCAGGGTCATGGGAGCCCAGTTTTCACGTCCTTTTGCAACTTTGGCATTTTCTGACCAATTTTGAAATGATGTAGCACAAATTTTCGCCAGTATGACAGCATATATGTCAGGTATGACCCATTTGCATTGTACAAATGGTAAAGTTACACATAGAATTCATAAGTCATAAATGAAGTCTTCTCATTTTTATGCCCCCACAATGTGGGAGCATATAGCGTTGCACTTGTCCGTCCGTCCGTCCGTCCGTCAGTCCGTCCGTACGTCCAGAAATCTTGTGAACGCAACTCCTCTTAAACCGGATGGCAGATTTTTGCTTAAACTTACAGGGATGAACAACCTTAATGTGTAGATGGTAGTAAAGGAAGGAATTTTTTGCTGCGACCAAATTTAACAGAATTATGGCCCTTTGTTGATTTTTTCACTAGATACTATATAGAAATTTTTGTGAACGCAACTCCTCTTAAACCGGATGGCAGATTTTGCTTAAACTTACAGGGATGAACAACCTTAATGGTGTAGATGGTAGTAAAGGAAAGAATTTTCGCTGTGACTAAATTTTACAGAATTATGGCCCTTTGTTGATTTTTTTCACTATATACTATGGTAGAAATTTTGTGAATGCAACTCCTCTTAAACCGATGGCAGATTTTGCTTAAACTTCCAGGGATGAACAACCTTAATGTGTAGATGGCAGTAAAGGAAGGAATTTTTTGCTGTGACCAAAATTTAACAGAATTATGGCCCTTTGTTTGATTTTTTCACTCTATACTATGTAGAAATTTGTGAACGCAACTCCTCTTAAACCGGATGGCAGATTTTTTGCTTAAACTTACAGGGATGAACAACCTTAATGTGTAGATGCTAGTAAAAGGAAGGAATTTTTGCTGTGACCAAATTTAACAGAATTATGGCCCTTTGTTGATTTTTTCACTCTATACTATGTAGAAATTTTGTGAACGCAACTCCTCTTAAACCGAATGGCAGATTTTGCTTAAACTTACAGGGATGAAACCTTAAGGTGTAGATTGGCAGTAAAGGAAGGAATTTTGCTGCGACCAAAATTTTAACAGAATTATGGCCCTTTGTTGATTTTTTCACTTTATACAATGTAGAAATTTTGTGAACGCAACTCCTCTTAAACCGGATGGTAGATTTTGCTTAAACTTCCAGGGATTAACAACCTTAATGTGTAGATCGTAGTAAAGGAAGGATTTTTTGCTGCGACCAAATTTAACAGAATTATGGCCCTTTGTTGATTTTTTAGTTTTCAAACTTGTGGCACATGTAGTCCAAAAAATATTTGACCTAGAGTCATAAGATTGACAGAACAGTGGCGTGTGGGGGCATCAGTGTCCTATGGACACATTTCTAGTTCATGGTCTTTCTGTAACTTTGGTATTTGTTGATGGATTTAAAAATTATTTTGCACAAATATTCAACATCTAGAACGAACACAGATTCTAATGTCAAGCATTATCCTCACTACAAGGGCATGTGTCACGTTTTAGCTTTGTTGCATGATGAATACATGTATATCATTAAATGCTTTATGATTTGGACTATCAATGATTATAACACAATTTTAATTGGAAATTTTAGGGGCCTTTTTTAACTTTGTTTTAATCTTTGTATATATGTACATTTTGATAGGGAAGACTGGGCTTGTCTAATTATGTTGCCTCTTTAAATATAGTCTTTATTATTATTATTATTTATATTTAAGGGAATTGTGAGTAAGTTGTTGGAACCATATGGTAGAATGGGTGAAGATCCTGATCTAGACCGCCATCTTTCCACCGAGTGGCAGCATTCAGTAAGTATGAGAGTTAGGGCTCCTCTTTATGAGGGTAATAACTTTATTTATTAGAAACCTGTCAGTTTTATGATGAAAATTCACTCCTTTTGAACTGAAGAAATACAATGTAACTGGATCACCTCGCCTATATTCCACATTTATATTGCTTGAGCCTTGCTGTCATGCATAAGCAAATGGCATTATATTCATATTTTATATTCCTAGAAACTTGTGCAATAACAATGATTTGTATATTTCATAACGATGGTGATTTCTTGCTTATAAACACATTCGGAAATGTGCCCACCGCAAAAAAGCCCTAGTAAATTAAAAAGCGCAAATACATGTACTTTCTAGGATTACAAACCTAATTCTTCAAAAAAAAAAAAGTCCTGAAATTCTGTTAAGATTTTCTTTATGCATTTTACAGCAGGTATAATTGATCATTCTACTAAAATCTCCCAGGGTGCCTGTGGCCAAGTGGTTAAGGTCATTGACTTCAAACCACTTGCCCCTCACCATTGTGGGTTCGAATCCCAATATGGACTTTGGATTCTTTCATGTGAGGAAGCTATCCAGCTAGCTTACAGAACATTGATGGTTCTACTCAGGTGCCCGTTTGTGCCTGAAATAATGTACAGAAGGGCATCTGAGGTATTTCTCAACCAGTAAAGCTGGAATGTCGCCATATGACCTATACCAGGTTGATACAATGTAAAACCTAATCAAACAAACTAAAATCTCCCTGGAGGCTTGTGGGATTGTTTGTTACCAATTTTTGATAATTGTTTGGTCATATCTCCGAGGTCAGTTCACTTCTCCAGCTTTCCTGAATAACTTACCAGTAATTACCATCTCTCCACAAGTGACAGACAAGTAAGTAATCCTATATAATATCTGAATCAGAGTTAAGAGGCAAATGACTATTCGACTCCATATCAGAAATCAATTTTTTGGAAATTTTTCAAAACATCTGAGGATCAAATCAGGGACCCCTGTATTGCTCAGGAACATTAGGCTGGTTGGAATAAAATTTTGCACAGTCACAAGCCTTACAACCTATCAAAATAGAAAATTAATGTAAATATTTCCAATATCTGCAGCAGTAATACATGCATGCAAGGTACAAGAAATTTTCCATTAGTCTTAAAATCAGTTAACAAGGAGCAACAAACTATTTTGTTAAATCATTTCCAGTTTTAATTTCAGCAGATTTTCTTTATTATTTATCAGACATTTATTTATATTCCATTTTTTTCCAGATTTATCAAACAACATTAAGAATTCTAAATATGGCTGCAAAATTGAAAATTCATCCAGAAAAAGCTGCTTACATTCTTGGCGAGGAACTGAGTAGAGAGATTCACCCTCTATACCCGCACCGGACTCAAAGAATAATTCAAGGTCTGGTGAAATCCGGTTGGCACGAGGGGAAAGATTTTTGGAACACTCGTTGGGGGTTTAATGGGGACCAGTTGGTTTAGAATATTGCTCAATAAAGTGATCTGTGAGAGTTAATAGTTTACTGGTAGGAAGGAAGTAGTAAATATCTGTCAAGAATCTCAGTTGTATGGCGTCTATTTTTTTCCATTTTTCTTGCTCGAAAATAATTTTGTGTGACTTGGCGGATAGGTGAAAAAGATAAAACACAAATGTAGGCAAGAATTATGAAATATGGAAAGTAACAAAACACAACAGATGTTAATGGTTTCATCCCACCATACGGAATAAGCTCAAAATAAAGTAAACAAACAAGATATAACTTTTTTTTGTCTCGCCACAAGAAATCATGAAGGTTTGCTACACTGAACTGTTCATTGCAAAAATCAGCTGAAGTACAATAGATAGAGATATTTGTTAGAAAAGCTCATTATTTAAGGTAGAGAATACTCTTTTATGAAGCATGTTACAATCAAGTACATGTTGTTGTTGATTTTTTTGTCTTATTTGTAATGTATTTATACACATATCATCACATATGATAAATGCAATAACAGATAAAGTCCTAAATTTAATAGGAGTTAACCATTTATTGCACTAATGTGATAATATGAGAAGCTATAAATTCCTGTAAACATTAATGCCAGAAATATATGCCTTAACTTATGTTTCTTATCATTAATATTGTCTGACACATGTTAAAAATATCTTTATAATGTCCTTTAATTTATGGTGTGATAGCTTTTCTTGTTTGATAAACTTTTTCCTGCATAAAAAATAGCAAATTTAGGAAATTCTTTGTCCAAATACTGTGCTAAATAGCTATTAGTATTTGATCTGGTCAGCCTGACTTGTTGGATAGGGTTTTAATTATGAAAGTGTTTAACTGAAATAGATTAACATTTTTTTTCCAAATTAATTGAAAATAATGCTTTAAATTCATATGTATTTTCTTTGTATATTTACTATGCATTTAGTTACCTAAAACCTTTAGCTACTATATTGGTAAAAAAAAACAAATTTATGATATCAACATAATATGATTTTAACAGCAGGACTGTTTATTGTTTCAAAGCAAGGACAATAGGGTAATTATAGGAGTGTCCTGATCTGGAACTTGAATCGAGTGGACTTTATTAGGCTAAGAACCAGAAGTGCCGAGTTTGACCCATTTTAGCCACGAATGACAAAACCAACATAATGGGTTTGCGACCAGCATGGATCCAGACCAGCCTGCACATCCGTGCAGTCTGATCAGGATCCATGCTGTTCGCTATCAGTTTTTCTACTTGTTATAGAGTTGTAAGCGAACAGCATTGATCCTGATCAGACTGCACGGATGCGCAGACTGGTCTGGATCCATGCTGGTCGCGAACCCATTATGTTGGTGCGGCTCATTTTAGTATAATCTACACAAGACAAATACAAGTAACTGATCTTGGTTGCACTGGTCACATGGGTGATACAAGCTGCTGACAGTAGCTAAAGGTTAATGAATGATTATGAACAATAATTTTTTGATTTATGGACGTTTTATAGTTACATTAAATAAATATGCAAAAATATTTTGCCGTCAGCTTAAAAACCAAGCATTCTACAGTTTCATTAACCTTTTTAACAGCATTTTTGAAAATCGCATCAAATATTGTTCATAAATTAGGATTTTAAACGGAAAATCCCACGGTAACACTAAAGTTCGTATACGAATTTTAACATGCAAATCGAAAAAATTTTTTTTTCTTTTATTTTTTTTTTTTTTTTTTTTTTTTTTTTTTTTTTTTTTTTTTTTTTTTTTTTTTTTTTTTTTTTTTTTTTTTTTTTTTTTTTTTTTTTTTTTTTTTTTTTTTTTTTTTTTTTTTTTTTTTTTTTTTTTTTTTTTTTTTTTTTTTTTTTTTTTTTTTTTTTTTTTTTTTTTTTTTTTTTTTTTTTTTTTTTTTTTTTTTTTTTTTTTTTTTTTTTTTTTTTTTTTTTTTTTTTTTTTTTTTTTTTTTTTTTTTTTTTTTTTTTTTTTTTTTTTTTTTTTTTTTTTTTTTTTTTTTTTTTTTTTTTTTTTTTTTTTTTTTTTTTTTTTTTTTTTTTTTTTTTTTTTTTTTTTTTTTTTTTTTTTTTTTTTTTTTTTTTTTTTTTTTTTTTTTTTTTTTTTTTTTTTTTTTTTTTTTTTTTTTTTTTTTTTTTTTTTTTTTTTTTTTTTTTTTTTTTTTTTTTTTTTTTTTTTTTTTTTTTTTTTTCCCCCCCCCCCCCCCCCCCCCCCCCCCCCCCCCCCCCCCCCCCCCCCCCCCCCCCCCCCCCCCCCCCCCCCCCCCCCCCCCCCCCCCCCCCCCCCCCCCCCCCCCCCCCCCCCCCCCCCCCCCCCCCCCCCCCCCCCCCCCCCCCCCCCCCCCCCCCCCCCCCCCCCCCCCCCCCCCCCCCCCCCCCCCCCCCCCCCCCCCCCCCCCCCCCCCCCCCCCCCCCCCCCCCCCCCCCAAAAAATTATAATTTTGTCCGGTCAGGCCCCTTTAATAGGTTATGGGTCTTTGAAAAAGTTAAATTTTTTCCCAAATAAAAGAAAAAATCCTTTTCCAATTTTTTTCTTGCAAAATACTTGGATTTAACAAAACCTTTATGGGAATATAAACCCCAAATTAGTATCCATTATTTTCGGGCTTGTTCGGCAAAGGGCCCCTTTAATTATAGGATGGCCCTTTTTAATTAATTTAGGTTTCATATTGGAAGAAAAATCATTTGCCCTTACTTTCTCTGCAACCAACTTGGGTGCGAAATTCAACCGAAACTTTTATGGGGAACCTTTCCAATTTTTTTCCAAGAGGAATCGCGCATTATCCGTCAGCTTGCCGGGTCGGGCCACTTTAAACCAAGTTTGGGCCTTCATTAGTTATCAATCCAAAGAAAAAATAATTTTTGGGTTTTCCCGGTTTTATTTTCTCTTTCTCTACTATTTTTGGAATTTTAATGAAATTTTTAAAAAAGGGAATTTAGGAAAACATGTTTTCAATGTTGCCTTTTCCATCAATTTTAATTTAAATTTATTGGGCCCTTGATTGTTTTAATGTTAGTTTTGCTTTCTATTCATTGGCATTTCCAGATTTTTACCTTAATTTTTAAAAAAGTTTTATTGGTTTTAAATTGCCCAAAATTTTAATAAGCTTTTTTATTCTTTTAATGCCATATTTTTTAAATATATAAGTAAAAGCTTTTGTTTTTGTCTTAGTTTGGTTTTTGTTTTAAACACCATTTCGGGGGGTATTTAAATTCTTTAAACCCACTTGAATGTGGTAAAAAACTTGTCCTGTTTTTATTTTGGAATAGTCCATTACAAATTTAAGGGATATCAATGTGAAAGTGATCAAAATGAATGACTTTTTAATTTGGATTGACCTCTTTTCAGCAATTCACATGGATTGTAACTGTCATTTGCAATGTGTAGATTACTTTCCTTGTTCACTTCACAATATTTTTATTTTTAAAAACATTTTGAAAATTTTCATGAAGATTAGCATTAATCTGGAGGCATGTTGCTTTAAAGAATTGAACCTTTTGCATTGAACCTTTTGCATATATATTGTTATAAGCTAATTTCTTGTGATTATTTTCATTGTCAATTTAAAGATGATCTAAAGTTTAACCATATTCTATTTACTGTATAATTATGCAACTTATAAGGTTTAATTGTACTTGTGTTTTCACCTTTAATTCCATTGTTATTTGTACATGTATGATAAATTATAGATATATGTACTGTGAAAGTTTGTTTTGTTTAAACTCATAGGCAGCCTGTTATGCAAATACTTCAATTTATATTTTTTTGTTAAGTTTTATTGTGTACATTGTTTTGGTACATTTGTTTTATATTTTTGAATGCATTTTTTCGTGTAATCATGCTAATTACGTACATATTTTGTGTGTCATATGATTGTATATATATTACTCAGTTTTCATTTATCTATGTAGACTGTTTTATTCCACCAGACCTTGTCATACAAGAAGGTTCAGGATTTATGTTGCATGTCTGTATGACAAAAAAAACACTAAAAGTCTTCATTGAATATGATAATAGATAGAACAGATATTGACTAGTAATCACGAAGTATATATTGATCAGTTATCATGATGGATATATTGATCGGTTATCATGATGAATATATTGATCAGTTATCACAATGGATATATTAATCAGTTATCACTATGGAAATATTAATCGGTTATCATGATGGATATATTGATCGGTTATCACGATGGATATATTGATCGGTTATCATGATGAATATATTGATCAGTTATCACGATGGATATATTAATCAGTTATCACGATGAATATATTGATCAGTTATCACGATGGATATATTGATCGGTTATCACGATGGATATATTGATCAGTTATCATGATGGATATATTGATCAGTTATCACGATGGATATATTGATCAGTTATCATGATGGATATATTGATCAGTTATCACAATGGATATATTGATCGGTTATCACAATGGATATATTGATCAGTTATCATGATGGATATATTGATCTGTTAACATGATGGATATATTGATCAGTTATCACGATGGATATATTGATCAGTTATCACGATGGATATATTGATCAGTTATCATGATGGATATATTGATCAGTTATCACGATGGATATATTGATCAGTTATCACGATGGATATATTGATCAGTTATCACGATGGATATATTGATCAGTTATCACGATGGATATATTGATCAGTTATCACGATGGATATATTGATCAGTTATCACAATGGATATATTGATCAGTTATTACGATGGATATATTGATCAGTTATCACGGTGGATATATTGATCAGTTATTACGATGGAAATATGGATCAGTTATCACAATAGATATATTGATCAGTTATCACGATGAATAGAATGCACAGTTAATAAGACATTTTTTGTGTCAGATTAGGTCAAAACTTGTTGAAAATACCTAAGACTCCACGTAAATCACAAGTAATATGAAAGTAGACTGACTTTTCTTATTCAATATAACGATTAACATAAGGAGTTTAATTGATATAAGTATTTTAATATTTGTTTTCATATAAATTTCTAAAATGAACAAGAAACAAAAACGTGTTATTTGTGTATTTTGAAGATTTATATCCTCCTTACTGTTTCTAATGAGCATGCATATTATTTTGTGAAAAAAGTACTGTTTAAACTAAATCAGGACTTAAAATATATCTTTATCTTAAGTCCCAGAACTTAACAGATATATGCAAAAATATTTTGTAAATTGTATTAATTTTCATAATTGTACAAGCATAGTATATAGTAGGTAAACTGTATTTTTAAGGAGCAGAGATAGGGTAATTCTGAGTAACACCATGAGGAAAATAAAACACACGCTGATATGATAACTCTCCTAGTTCTACATCCATACATATTTTTTGATAAATCGTTTTGTGATAATGAATTCCATTCAACTGTTGTATTCCACCAGTTTATTGTAGATCCCAGTGTTTTTTTTTGTCAAATGTGTGTTTTACATAAATAATAGTTTAGTGGGTAGTTTATTTATTTACCAGAATTAGCATATTAGTTACTGTCCTCCAAATGTAGATGTACTTTTGTTTATTATGAATCAGGGATGGAACACAATAAGTGGTTAATATAGACTTATTGTACATGTATGATCTTTTATATGTTTGGGTACTGTTGATTAATTTGGCTGTTGTATGCAATCAGTATAGGATAAGGTCATGCTCAATCTGACTAAAGTTCAGATCTTGTAGTGTAGCGGTTATCTAGGAGCAGAATTTAATCAGATTGGGCCATACACCATATGAGCCGCGTCACAACAAAACCAACATAGTGCGTTTGCGACAAGCATGGATCCAGACCAGCCTGCGTATCTGCGCAGTCTGATCAGATTCCATGCTGTTCGCTGTCAGTTTCTCCACTTGTAATAGAGTTGGTAAGCGAACAGCATGGGTCCTGATCAGACTGCGCGGATGCGCAGGCTAATCTGGATCCATGCTGGTCGCAAACCAACTATGTTGCTTTTGTGTCATGACGCGGCTCATATCTGTACCGTTTGCCCTTGTAAAGTCACTCTGATGATTGATTTTAGTTTTCTGAATATGAACTCTTCTCATAAGAAAACATTTTGTACCCAGTGCATGAATCAATGATATTAGCCAGAAAAATTTATTAAAAAAGATTCAGAAAATATTTTAGGATCGTAAATGTTTATTTTTGTGGGAAAGTCATAAATTCTTGATTGAGAACAGCATTAGGCAAATATACTGAAATCTGTTACATTCTGCAGGTGAATTTGATTGCTTTCCAAAAAAAAAAAAAATAAAATACTAATTTACTGAAATTTTTTATAAATTTACCACCATAATTTCAGCATTTGTTTGTTGCTACAAGTAATATCAATAAAAGATGGTACATAAGTTGTGGTTTATGTTTTCTCCCACACACCTATTACCATTGTTTATATATAAAACCTGCCTTGTTCAGGGTGCAAGAATGTCAGACTTTACACTCCCACATTACACATATGCCACCTGCAATTAAGCAATTAACTAATTAAGCATGCTTCTAAAAGTTTCTATGTTGTATCAAAATTCATACAAAGTGAGTTTTGTAAACAACTTAAAGTTTTATTCAGGTATTCACTGTACTATTGTCTGAATGACCGATGGTCAGTTATCACCATAACACTAATTAAATAATCAGAAAAAAAATGTTTAAATGTGTGATTCAGTGATGTTGTTGTAAAAAGAATTATGAGCTAGGTTACTACTAGTATATTGTTATGTACAATGCTGAATTATATTGGACGCATTCACAGATGTAAAACTTATAATCACACTAATTTTTAAGGGAAAAAAGAAGAGAAAAAACAACAATAACAACCAAAACAAACAAAACTCAGCAATGTCTTTGTATTACTAATATATTAAAATGAGAATTACATTGAGTACATTATAAAGTGATCATGTTGGCCAAACTTCCACAACTGCAAATTTCCCAACTGCAAAGTCAACTTTTAAAATGTTGATCGTCTGCTACTGAATGATAAAGAATAGTCACTGCACCGGAATGAGGTTAGAGTCGTTACTGGCTCTTTTGACAATGTATCAGTGGACTTCCATCTGTTTTTGGCCTTGAAACATATTAGCATAGTTTTCAAGTCATTCCTAAAATCAGATCCAGTACAACAGTACAGGAAAAAGTTGACACTGTTGTTTATGTAAAAGCACGTGTAAGATAACATCCTGAAGGTGTAATAAGGAACGGTATTAAATTTGATGACGCTGATGATTTTGAACAGATTTAATGAATGAATTGTCAAAGGAAGTGTTGAAATACAATATAGAGTCCCAATACAAATACACAATTTGGTAAACGAGACAGCGATAATTTGACGCTTAATTGAAACGTGCCTCATTTTGCGCATCATGAAGATTTTGACTATCGTGATACTGTTGCAGACGGTGACTAAAACAAACGGTAGAATTCCTAGAAACCACATAAAAGACACCATATTAATTATCTTATAATTCTTCGTTATCGCAGTCACACAAAAAGTCTTAGTTTTTGTTTCCGTAACATTATTTACGTCAGTGTGATTGTACTTATATGTATACATTATGCGGTTTACCAATTCCATACAGTTCAAACCAATTGCAACAAGCACAATAATTACTGCACAAATATATGCCCGCCTTCTGGCCCCTTTTGTTCTAAATTTCAAAGGAAAGCATAGACTAAGCATTCTCTCAAATGTCAGACACACAACAAGCCACGCGGATATTTGTGATCCAAATAGTTCCGTAAATCCATAAAATTTACAAAATATGATGTGCACCTGTGAAAGTGGAATCTTACACAGATCCAGTAAAAACTTAAGTGCCGGAACGAGTAAAACAAACAAGTCCGCTATAGCGAGGAGTTTCAAATACGTGGAACAGGCGGATTTGCTACACTTCCGGCCGTTACTCCAGACAATCAATGACGTCACGTTTCCCGCCGTTCCAAAAATGATCTCTGCTGCTAGAATTATGATGCTTGTTAGAGATAGATAGTGTAGATCTTTAGTATCCATTATTATAAAGTCTTTACTGAATTACTTTGTTCTTACAGAAAATTTACGTGAGATCTGTAATTTCTTCCGTGTGGATGACTCAATATTCTTTTTGTTTTACTATAATATTCTTAAATCCAGAACAAACTTTGGTTATGCGCTCATACCTTATATAGTCATTTTTTCTTCTACATTTCTTCATTTCGTATTGAAATGTTCACAAAATATTACAATAACTGCACAACTAGTTTTAAGATAGTGCTACATATAATATTGAAGGTTTCACATAATACATATACTTTCCATAATATTCATCAAGTCACGTTACATCATTTTTTTAAAGCGTGCATCAAAATCAAAGATAGAATTAGTTGTCTTAATTTCTTCACATTATATAATTATAATTTTAACACAAATCACTTTATTTCTAAGTTTCGCCTACTTTAATACAAGAAGTCCCACTGTCTACATGCTTTCCTGGAGATTCACCACTGAATGAAGTGACAAGTTTTTATTAACATCATTCGTTATTTCTAAATGGAATTAAGCCAGGTGAAATTCAATCTGTCGCAATAGATAAACGACTTTACCCGTTGTTAAAAGCAGGAAAATATATTACTTAGGCCTAAAGGTAAATGAAAATGTTTCATAAATGATTGCCCTCATTTGATAAAATGTGGAAATAATAGAATTAAAGTCAGAAGAATAAGCCCCATGGCGTAGTAATAGCTGATCTGATGTTAACAGACTGATAAATGTGTGATTAAACTAAATATAGCCACTATTGAATAATAGTGAAATTGGGAAAAATTGAAAGAATGATAAATTGCCCAATTAGTAAATTACAAATATGGTAGATATTTTATGGTATGAGATTAATCTTGATAATTTATTTATTATCATTATATATTTCCATAATTTTATTCAGAAACAGAAAACATAGATTATTATCAAGAGACATATGACACTATGTACAATCTCTCAAAAACAGTTGCAGTTGTGTAAATTCCACAGTTTTGTAAGTTTAAGGATGGATGAGGTTGTCCAAAGTTGGGAAAATACACAGTAGTTTGGTTTGAACAATATTTATTTCTTCTTCAATATTTACAGACAAAATTACAATATAGATTTTGCAGTCAGGATTGAGAAGAAAGCTTAAAGCTTATATGAATTTCCCTCTACACAGTAGTTTGAAATGCATAGAGAAAAAAAACTTTGTAGATCTCAGTTTGCATAAACATTAGGTGTTTCAGTTCAGATGTGGAAGTGTAAATATTCTAGCAGAAATACTTTTGAACATACACGAAATACCATATTTTTCTTAATAAGGGGACATAACTCTGCAGGACTCTTCATTAAATTTGTGTCAAAAACACAGGTGGGTAATTTCACATGCTGAAAATTATCATGGCTCTAGCACTTAAAGAATTATACAGGACACAAGCCCGACAATGTGCGAACGGCATGATTGATGGACTGTCGAGAGCAAATCCATGTGATGGGGCATAAACAAAGAAAATAACATCGTTAGCAATTAATTTATTTGATCATCCTTATTAATTTTGTAGCACACAATTAAGACTAGAGTGAATAATTTAAAACACTGGCAAACTTATGTCAATATGAAGTAAAACTATAATCTAAACTTTCATCATTTCATTGCCGATTATTTCACCTACATCATTATATATGAAAAACAATTAAATAAAAAACATGAATATCTTGTTGTTATGTCATTAAAGTATCACACCTAAAGATTTATGCAATGTCAACTTTCTTTTTGATGGAACAAAATTGAGACATAAGCATATAACACAGCGATTACATTTCAGAAGTTGACATGTACAGAGAATTTACTCAGTAAAATGTGGGTAGAAATACAAGATAAAACGAGATAATCAGCCATATTTGCCATAATACATGCAAAACTTTCCTCTCTGTTCTGGATTTAATTCAAACCAACACTGTAATGGTCATATGGCGACTTTCAAGCTTGGTTGATGCCCCTCTGTGCATTAGTACCCTATGTAGAACCACAGACATTCTGTAAGGTAGCTGGATAACTAATACAAATGTAAGAACTGAATTTAAAGGGATTCAAACCAAGAGTGATGGGGGACCAATTATTATGTAGACTGCAAATATTTGTACATTTTTCAAACTCTAAATATATTTGTTAATGATTTGATCCTATGACAGTGTGTTTCTCATCTTTAAGCATGCCGCTTTAATGAACTCAATTTTATATTCATTACTGAGAAACATGATAGCTAGTCAAGCTCAGGGTAGTAATAGCAATGACAGAATTATATGAAACAAAAATCAAATTATTAATACTAGACAAATTTTTTTCACTGATAGCTCAAATAAGACTAAAATGGCTTCAAACCAAATGTTCACAAAGAAAAATCAGGACCACATGATCCTAACTGTGCTTTCATTGCTGTATGAAATATAACATAGATCAGGATTAATTAAGTATAGGTTAAAGTTTATTTGAACATATTTACAAAATCAAATTGGTCAGGGCAACCAATTTAATTTTGTAAATACCCCATGCGACCAATTTGATTTTGTAAATACGTACTAATAAACTTTAATCGGCTTAGTGTTTTAAATTTTTTTATAAACAGTTGATTTACTAGACTGATTAACTGTTTGCCGATTTACCAAGGTAAATGTGTTACGATTCATTTGAAAAACTGCAATCCTATTGGACAAAAAATAATTTCAAACACTAATACAGTTTGGTACATACATGTTATTTGGAACATAATCAAAGTGTGCAGTAAATGCTATACATGCAGACGTCAAATCGTTGTTTGCTTATACCCAAATCATAATAATTGTTAACAGATTTGTGTCATTTGCTTAATTTGTTTATACACATATATATTAGGGGTGTCACGGTTAGCAAAAATGCGTACTTTTCATACAGTGACTTAATAACCGTGTTAAACTTTTAAACGACCATATTAAAATAATTATTAGATTTAAAACATTAACTAAGATAACACATTTTGTTTGTATTTTGTTATACTCGACAACAATTACAAAACATATCTGATTATGGAGAATTGTTGTCTTTTAGGATCGGTACCATAAGATAGCATTCAGTCAGAAAAATACATTTGAAATACAGATAAAATGTCACATCTTGTCATAAAGAAACAAAGGTAATGTAAAAACCCAATCTAAAGTTTCTTCATCTGTTGGTCATGTACTAACCTTGGTTTCTGGTCATTTAATTCAGTAACAGATTTTTGTTTAAAAAAAAACGACCGAACCTGTTACACCCCTAATATATTGATATCAAACAGACAAAACCATTTAATATGTCAAGAACAAAATCAACATTAATGGCAACAATATGTAAAATAGAAAATACTTTCACAATACAAATAACAACACAATAGAAAAAAATGGATTTTGTACAGTACAAATTCTCCCCTTTAAAATATTTTCAAACAAGAGCTGTCGGTAGGACAGCACGCTCGACTATTCTAAGTGCTTGATAGTAAAAGAGCCTTGATAATGTTAAATTTTTTAAGATCACAAAAGGTATAATTTTTTTTTAATAAATTCATGTTATAGGCCTTAGAGAGAGTCTAATCATACAATATTGGCTTGACTATTCGGAAGGTAATGTCACAAGGTTGTTTTATTGAGTATAATAATACTAATTACCTATGAATACATAAATTTTGACAGAAAAGGTACATAGGCTTCTAATTAAGATGTTTTATCAAGTAAATCACTGCTTTATTATTATGAATGCATAAAATTGTCCAAAAAAAGGCACAAACCCTTCAGTAGTAATTGAGATAACAGCTTACAAGCAAAACTTTACCATGAATTTCTAAGTTGAAAAAGGGGAGAAAAATCAGCCTAAATGCAAGATAGAATTATGGATCTTTGTCAGTGACCTAAAATTATGACCCTTAATGCAAATGTGAAGATTTAAATAAATATCTTTAATAGTTATTGAGATATGTAAAACTTGCATGTAAACATTAACCAAGAGACTAAGTAGAAAAGGGGATATGAATCAACCTTAATGCAAGATAGAGTTATGGAACTTGGTCAGTGACATACAATTATGACCCTCCAATTATGACCCTAAGTGCATGTGTAAAGTCTCAAGTAAATATCTTTGAAGACCTTTAACCAAAATTTCTAAGTTTCAAAGGGGCAAATAATTCTTCAAATTTTGCAGGCAGAGTTATGCAATTTTGCAACTGATGTACATTGTTACTATAAAAAAGTATTTTAAAATTTCATTTGAATATCTCAAGCAATAATTGAGATATTTGACTTTACAAAAAAACTTTAACCAAAATTTCTAAGTTCCAAAGGGGCATAATTCTGTTAATATTGTAGGCAGAGTTATCCAACTTGTCAATCTGATGTACCTTGTTACTATAAATAAGTATTGTAAGTTTCAATTGAATATCTCAAGCAATAATTGACAAAAAACTTTAACCAAAATTTCTAAGTTAAAAGGGGCATAATTCTGTCAATATTGTAGGCAGAGTTATCTAACTTGTCAATATGATGTACCTTGTTACTATAAATAAGTATTGTAAGTTTCAATTGAATATCTCAAGTAATTATTGAGATATTTGACTTTACAAAAAACTTTAACCAAAATTTCTAAGTTAAAAAGGGGCATAATTCTGTCAATATTGTAGACAGAGTTATCCAACTTGTCAATATGATGTACCTTGTTACTATAAATAAGTATTGTAAGTTTCAATTGAATATCTCAAGTAATTATTGAGATATTTGACTTTACAAAAAACTTTAACCAAAATTTCTAAGTTAAAAAGGGGCATAATTCTGTCAATATTGTAGACAGAGTTATCCAACTTGTCAATATGATGTACCTTGTTACTATAAGTAAGTATTGTAAGTTTCAATTGAATATCTCAAGTAATTATTGAGATATTTGACTTTACAAAAAACTTTAACCAAAATTTCTAAGTTAAAAAGGGGCATAATTCTGTCAATATTGTAGACAGAGTTATCCAACTTGTCAATATGATGTACCTTGTTACTATAAATAAGTATTGTAAGTTTCAATTGAATATCTCAAGTAATGATTGAGATATTTGACTTTAAAAAAAACTTTAACCAACGCAGACGCCGACGCGGACGCAGACGCCGACGCGGACGCTGGGGCGACTACAATAGCTCTCATATTCTTCGAATAGTCGAGCTAAAAACTAACAAATACATTCTGATGTTTCCTGAATTAAAAAAAATGCCTGGATAATTTAACACTCAAATTTAATATCATTATAAAATTGGAGTATCTTGTGTACAAGTATACATATAAATTAAGATGTTATTGTTAAACACACAGACAGACTATACAAAAAATATTAAGCCACTACGAGTCACAAGTGGGCATAGCAATAATCAAAACAGAATAAATACATAATTTGCTAATCTTTTATTAAATTACAAATCAAGAAATAATCCCAATTATTATGTTAAATAATAATCCACTTGTAAATTAGCTTATTTACCCATAAAGTTGTCATATTATTCCAGCCCTGATAGGTTTGCCTGAAAATCATCTAATATTTGAAATATTTTAATCTAAATTTGAAATCATCTAATGTTCCTGATATCATATAGGCTATTTTACCCTACAAAAATATTTAAGTAACATGATCCTGACAGAAAATATGATTGTTACAGAAAAATCACAATCCTGATATAAAATAGGATCATTTTAGAAGTAACATGATCCTGATAATAAGATTATTACAGAAGTAACATGATACTGATATAAAATAGGTTTATTGAAGAAGTAACATGATCCTGATATAAAAAGGTTTATTACAGAAGTAACATAATCCTGATAACAGGATTATTACAGAAGTATCATGATCCTGATATAAAATAGGTTTATTACAGAAGTAACATGATCCTGATAATAGGATTATTACAGAAGTAACATGGTCCTGATATAAAAAAGGATTATTACAAGAGTATCAGTGTGGAGAGAAAAATCATTACAAAATGAGCATTATTTTTATAATGTAAAGGAAGGTAATAAACTGAAAGAAAATGTATGCACATAAAAACAGACTTTACCAATCAGTGTTATCTTCTGGAGTATTATAAAATGTGCTATAACTTAAACAAAACTGTAATTTCCTGGGTCCAACAGGAATGGTCAAACTTATACTCTATAACTCTAAAGTAATGTTGAATGAATCGCTAATGAATACTGCTAGTACCAATATTATTTCTTACATCATTCCTGTTCTAATATATCTTATTTTATGCAACCCTCCGTTACAGAATAAGTATTATATCTGCTAATTCTCTCTAGACTGAATTTTACAATAAAACGTAAATACAAACAAGAGGCCCTGAAATCACTCACCTGTATATAGGCCCCTGGAGAGGGCCAATTTTAACCCAAGGGCTTTTATTTGAACAAACTTCGTAGAAACCCGTTAAAAGATGTTTCATGTTTAATATCTAAGCTCTAGCTACTTGGGTTTTTTAAAAGATGATTTTTCAAGTTTTTACTATATACAAATAAGGAAAATCAATGACCCCAAGGGGAGGGGGCAATTTTGACCCCAGAGCTTTTATTTGAACAAACTTGGTAGACACTGACTAGCTGATGTTTCATGCCAAATATTTAATCTCTAGCTCTTTCTATTTTTAAAAGAAGTTTATTTTAAAGTTTTTTCTTCTTGTTGCCATGGCAACTAGAGTTCTGCTTGGAATAAAATTCTTTGAACAATTTTTAAAGTTGACTACCAAAGGAACATTCCTGTGAAGTTTGGATGAAATTGGCTTAGTGGTTTATGAGGATATGTTGTTTAAAGTAAAAGTTTACGAACGGACGCCTGACGAAAAGGGATCACAAAAGCTCACCATGTCACTTTGTGACAGGTGAGCTAAAAAGATATGTTAAAAAAGCATAGTTATACATAGCTATAACAATCATTCAATTGAAAAAAAGGACTAACAAAATTCAGAAACATCAATAAATTCTATGACATCACTGTTTCATAAACATTGCTTGCACTATAGGCTGAAATTATTTTTTTCCATTTCCATATAAAAATCATTTTAACATTGGAATGTACAAAATTCAAACCAGGGCAATACTTTTGTATAAATTTTCTAGGATGGAGGCAAACAGTAACAAGAAGGGGCAAACAATAGTATTTTTTGTCTATGCAAAAATAATTAAAAACCTTAAAAAGAGGCATTAAAATTTAAAAAGTTCTGGAGACAGAATCATGTCAAATTTAAAGCCCATTATAAATTTTGATTTTTAATTAATAAAGGGTTTTTGAGCACTTAAAATTACTTTATGTCTACAATTTGAAGAATATATAACTACACTACTATATAATCACATGGAAGGTTTGTGCAAAATACTATAAATAGGATAAGTAGTCTTCTAAATATAGCTAGACTTGTTACTATAAATAGCACAATCTAAATATAGAACCATCATCAACTTTTAGTCTCTTCCTCCAGCCTTTCTTGATCAAGTTCCTGTTGAAGTGTTTCAAGGTCATTGAAACTACCGTGTTTATTCAGGAGTACGGAATCTTCTCCAAGCATCGTGCAGAGCTCGGATAGACGCTGTTGCATCTTGGGAATGCCCGCTAACTGTGTCTCAAGTTTCTGTTTCTCCTCATTCAGGGAGAGGCGAGTTGTGTTGTCAAACTTTTCTAGCCTCCAACCACCTTCCCCATCAAACTGTAGCAGGTGGGAATGGAACTTCCTAGAAAATGAAATTGGAAATTGTTAATATATCAGAATTTTAAGATACAACTGAACAATGCTAATGTTAAGTCAGAATTTTTTTTCAACTCTTTCATTTCCTTTATAAAGATAATGGGAAAAAGTTAAAACTCAAAAGAACAGTATCACTATTTCAGTCATACAATAACTTTCACGAGATATATTCATTTTATTCAATTTTCAAATGATTCATTAGCTTGAATTTAATTCATAATACATCTCCATAAAGTTCCTAGAAGGATTCAGAACCAAAGTGATGATATGCAAGTGGTGAGAAATCTGTGACTAAAAAACTTTGTAACTGGTGATGTGAAGATAATAACTTACCAGAGTGATGGTCTGTGGGTAATTGTAAGTAAGGTAATTCCTCTGTCTTTAATGGTCTGATATATCTTACTCTCCACATCTATTGATACTGCACTCGTACACTCATCTAACAATGCAAACTGTGGCCTAGAAAACATATAACAAACATTACTCAAATAAAGTATTCATATTTATACAAAATTTGATGTAAAAATGTGTAACCAAGTATTATTTTAGAAATGACATATCAACATCATTTTATAAGTACTCTTAGATCTAAAGATACTGCACAAATGTAAAAAAAAACATTACTTTTGTGAAATACATTGACATCCCCCACCAATATAGTAATTATCTGTAAACAAACATTCCCAAAGCCAAAACATGTTCTTTTCCAAATAAAAAGCATAAATTTCTCAATCATTTGTCTGCATTTATATTGTGTTAATTTTCTTTAAAATAACAAAAGAAGCTATACGTTTATTCACATGTGTTCAGAGTTTCTTTAGTTACTCTCAAATTTTCAAGTTTGATTTCGGTAAACAAAACCAGAGTGATCAGCGATCACATGTGTCCCCTCATGACAGTCAACTGAACGTTGCAGCTACTGTGTAACAGGAGACACAACATGAGCTGTCACTCAAGTGACGAATTCCCCCGAAAAAGGTTTCTTAAAGAACCAGGTATTATGAAAAGAAAAGAGAATGAAAGTAACTAATTGCTGAATATTGTTCTTTGTATTATTGTACCTTCAAAATATAAGTGTGACCTTGACCTTTGAAGAAGGGACGTGGTTCCTGAATGAGACAAAATGTTGTTATGAGATAGACATTTGTGCCAAATTATTTCAAAATCCCTCAAAGCATGATAAAGTTACAGTCTGGACATGATTGTTGTGTAAGTGGGGACAAAAGGACAGACGGACATGAGCTTTAGCCGCGACACATTGTCTTTATGTGGTAGAAATTTGTGCCAAGTAATTTTAAAATCCTTCCATACATGACAAGGTTACAATCTGGACATGAATGTGTCTTCAAACTCTTTCAAGAAAATGAGTAGCTTCAAACTATAAGTAAGACCTTGACTTTGAAGGTAGGGACATAAGTCTTTGTCGCGACACATCTCCTTGATGTGGTTGACATTTATGCTTAGTTATTTTAAAATCCTTCGATGCATGACAAAGTTACAGCCCGGACACGAATGTGTGTATCTATAAACTCTAATTGTGATAAAGTCAACTTCAAAATGGTAGTGTGACCTTGACCTTTGAGGTAGGGACCAGATTATTGGATGTGACACATTGTCTTGATGTTGTAGACATTTATTTATGCCTAGTTATTTTAAAATCCTTCCATGCATGACAAAATTACAGCCCAGACACAGTTGTGTGTACCTATTAATTCTTATTGTGATAATGTGAAAATTCAAAATGTTAGTGTAACCTTGACCTTTGAGGTAGAGACATAATTCTTGATTGCGACACATCGTCTTGATGTGGTCGACATTTATGCTTGTTATTTCAAAATCCCTCAATGTATGACAGAGTTAGTCAAGACACGAATGTGTGTACCTATCTACTCTAATTGCAAAAATGTGAAACTTCAAAATGATAGTGTGACCTTGACCTTTGAGGTAGGAACGTGGTTCTTGGATGCGACACATCGTCTTGATGTGGTAGACATTTGTGCCAAGTTATTTTAAAATCCCTCAATGTATGACAAAGTTACAGTCCAGACAAGAATTAAGTGGGGACGGAGGGACAGATGGTGGGATTATATTATGCCACCCTTCAGGGGGCAAAAAATAATTAACAGGGCAAAATGCGCTTGTTATTCAAGGGTCACTACTCTATAGAGGTGACACAAAAATCTGGCAATTAAAAAATCTTCAATCATCTATGGATGTAATAGTTACCTATGGTAGAAAATCCTGGCCATGCCCATTCTTTGTTTCTCCCCACCGGACAATACATCCTTCCAGTCACTTTCAGCATCCCAACCTGATATTATACATGTAAATAATTCAACCTTAACCCTACCATACTTCTTTCCTTGAATTGTCTTATTCTAAACATGAAACTGTCCATTATCATGTGTAGACTACAATATCTATGAATGAGAGTTCCTTTTTTTACTTTGAATTTAGAAATTCTACAAATGCAAGTTCCTTAGTTTTCTTTGAATTTAGAGGGTTTTTTTTACAAGATTTTAATTTCAATATCAAAATACAAACAACATGTACTATCGGTAACTATCATGTATACAACAGTAAAAGAGTCTTGTCTGACAGTATGGCTCCCCTAGTTCTATAATAATTTTAGAATTTTAATATGGTGTAGAATTTGAATAAACTGCTATCGATGAAAATGCAAAATATTTGCACCTTCCCAAATTCATATTCAATATGTAATTTATATGTCTTTTTATGAATTGGGAATAATCCCTTGTAAATGTTAATATCAGAATACTAAATTTTTTATGTTTAATAGATCATAATGTGGTCACACTGCAAAGATCTGCAGAATATGATTGGCAAGTATCAACATGATCAAGAAGATTTAAATCACATTTAAATTTCAAATTAAGTACATTTCATTGATTCCATAAAAATGCATGAGCAGACAGACTTACTTCAAAATTAAGAATATTTGGGTTTTTCCCAGCTAATCCAGGGTAAGAAACAAACTTTTACAGTCACAGCTTCAAAATTAAGCACAACAGTTTGACTAATCTATTGTTCACCCTGAAGCTATAATGGTAAAAGTTTGTTTGTACTGGGGGATTAGCATGGAAATACCTACATTTGCCGAGTTACGGACAACATCTATTTAGTGCATCTCCTATTTCATACACAGCTGACAAATTTCATTAATTATAATTGAACACAATTATTTTCAGATTAACTGAAAAACATGACACAAATAGTTTATTATTTATTATTATATGAACTGACCTCCTTCCCTCTCTACAACATAATGTAGATTGACAACATTTAGAATGCCCTGTAGATCTTCCTCAGAGAATCCCTTACACTTCATATCCTCTACTGTGTCCGGGTATATCACTTGATCTCTTAATGTTCCTATTGACATGTATGGTCTGTAAATACAGGATATTGAAGGAGTGTAAGTTCAATACTGAATTTATTGAACGAGCTGTAAAGTCATATTATGTGAGCCTCCAGCGAGCATAATATTATTTAATTCATAGAGTTCAATAAATTCAGTATTGAACTTACACCAATATTATATTCTATTTATCACCTAACCCTAAATAACGATTGTTTAAAGTGAAAAGTTACATTTTTCAATGACACACCTATACATTTAGCGCGTCTTTACACTATTTTTTATAATGCAAATGATGTCATGTCAAAATATATGCACAAACGTATAATACCATTTTTACAGAGTCGCAAAATCGGCATGGGTATGTGATAAATAATAATATTAAACAATGATAACTGAATTGCTAAACAGACTGTGTTACGCTTAATATAAACAAAGTCTGCAATTTTCAAGTAACTTTGTAGTGATTAATGCTTCTGAGGGATCACTTTTCTTCCAGATTTTCTTATCTATATCATATCCAAAACATTTCTTACTGGTAAAATTTCATTGATGTATTAAAAGCAAGTATGAACAAGCCGAGGGCATTTTATTATTCATATACATGTAAAACAAACTTCATAATTATATTATACATGGCAGTGTATTCCACCAAATGTATGAGCAGAAGTCTACAAAGGAAAAAAAAATCTTCTTAACAGCTTGTTAATATGGAAATATTAAGATGTTACATAAAACCATCACAAATCTAGTACAAAAACACCTTTTAGGACTCTAACTACATTATAGGGGATGGGACTAGGGCACTTAGGTTGCAGAATATTGCAATGAATTTTGCTTGTCAATACTTACTATGTTTTTTATTACAAATATAATTTTGCAAATAGCATATCTGAATATGAAATTGCATTCCTTTATTTGCAGTCATGGAAATTGTTAAGGGTCTTTTATTTTGGCAGGTAAAATGAAAAAAAAAAATTTTTGTCAAAGGTAAATTTTTAAAAAATAAGGAGAAATAAATATAAACTTGGAAAGGGAAAAGGGCCAAATATCGAACCCTACATTCATGTATTAAGGGCCCTGCCATTTGAAACATATGTTCATGAATAGCCTTGGTTAGCTCAATATGTAGTGTTGGACTGGAATCGGGTGACCTGACTTTGTTTCCCGGATGATACAGGTCAGTTTCGTTTGTGATTGATCATGAAATCTTTTCTACAGCATGTGCACTATACGCTGCGGCATGTACAGAAGTTTCAGTTCCTTGCAGAAGTGAAGGCAATTAGTACTGGTAAACTGCTTGACAGCCTGCCCACGAACGATACGGTGTTGAACTGTGCTCTGGTAAATTCAATGTGGTTTACTGTCATGACCCGGAGTGAAAACTACCAACACCACCATCAAATATATAAATGACTCACATACCTTTGTGGGATATAGAACATAGAGGAAGTTGGTGGTCTATGAAGCTTGCCATCATATACTGGCCATAAGCCACTGAGTATTCTAAACAAGGAAGATTTTCCACAACCATTTGGTCCTGTGATCAACAAATGCATGCCGGGCTCCATCTGTATATAAATATAATGATATAATAAGCAAATCATAGAATTCTATTACCTGATGTGGCAATAGAACTTACCCTAAAACAATATGAGTGAGATTAAAAAAGGATTGGAGCACCAAACTAAATATGGTATTCCTGTATATACTGGACATGGCACTTGAATGATTAAATGCTTAAATCTCGCCTTTTTATCCAACAAATAAACTTTAAAATATCTAATTCATCTCTTCACACCAATTTATATAAGATAAGGAATGAAAAATGTAAGAATCTGCAGAAAAAAATATGCCTATTTTGTGATAATCATTATTGCAAGCGTCTGCTCCAATCCTGTATTGAGTTAAATCCAAAAATGTATATAGTCTGCAAATGTCTAAGTTTGCAAAGGGGGATAACACAGTAAAATAGTGCAACAGTGAATGGTTTAAGTTATGAACCTGTCCACATGTGTGAAATTTCAAGTTAATCCTTCTATGGAGAAAGAACTTGTATGCAAAAACTTGAAAATGATTCACTAATGGGCATAATACAGTAAACATCCATTCTTGATTCATGAATTTTATAATTATGATCCTGAAGACATAAATAAACTTTCAAGTAAATACCTGTAATAGGTGTTGAGAAATAATGTTTTTTTTTTCATGAGAAAGTTGCAAAACCAGAAAATGCCACATTATCTTTGTTAAAAGCATGGGTTTTATACCAAATTTTCAAGAAATCACTTTAAATACTTAATTTAAGAAACAATGTTTATTTCAGAAACATTTTATATAGGGCAAGTAAGCATATATTAAAGTATACACCTGGTTCAAAGTAAGTCAACAATGTAAAATTTGAGAATTTACTTTACCTGAATGGAAAGACTTTTAACAATGATGTCTCCATTAGGTGTAATAATTGGCATATTTTCCACCAGTATATTTCCCTCTGTTATAGTAACTTCTCCTAATTTAGAAATAAAGAGTAAAAAATAAATACATTATAATTCTTGTATCACACCAAACATCATAAATGAATATAAAAATACAATGTATTTCTATAGAAAAAAATATTTTTCATTTTCTAAGAAATACAACAAGAGGGTCACGTTGGAACTTATATTGCTCACCTTAGTGAGTGTTGCATCCAAAGACTAAGTATTACTCAATTTACCAAATGAAAAGATCAACAACTTTCCTGTAATCTTATACAGTTGCAGTTTATTTCTAGTAATATAGGTCTCTGGCCCAAAATACAAAGTATACAACAATACAAACAATAGTGTGATAAATTGCAAATACATTTGTAGCTAAATGTAATGTAATGGATTGAATTATTATATGATTATATAGTATTAAGCTCTTCCTTTCTTATACTCATTGCATGATATAAATATCTAGTGATTGATATTACTTTATCTGTTATTGTTGATGACATGAGGGAAAAGAAAATAATGATTGGAATAGTGATGTAACTATGAATCAATAAATCAATAAACAAAAGAATATAAATCAATAAAATTAAAGAATATAAATCAATAAACAAAAGAATATAAATCAATAAACTTAAGAGTATAAATGAATTAACGACAGAGTATAAATGAATTAACTAAAGAGTATAAATGAATTAACTAAAGAGTATAAATGAATTAACTACAGAGTATAAATGAATTAACTAAAGAGTATAAATGAATTAACTAAAGAGTATAAATGAATTAACTACAGAGTATAAATGAATTAACTACAGAGTATAAATGAATTAACTAAAGAGTATAAATGAATTAACTAAAGAGTATAAATGAATTAACTAAAGAGTATAAATGAATTAACTACAGAGTATAAATGAATTAACTAAAGAGTATAAATGAATTAACTAAAGAGTATAAATGAATTAACTAAAGAGTATAAATGAATTAACTAAAGAGTATAAATCAAACAAGATTACCATGAGCTTCAACAGGTCCTTCAATTTTCTCCAAGTTAGATTTTTCCAATTTAGGCTGATTATCTTTAACAACCACTGTGCGCCTATATTTGCCTTGCAATACATCATCAAATACTGTAAACATGTTATAAACCCTGGATGTGTAACCAGCCAGTTCTGTTATCTGTAAACATAAACCAGTTAACAACTATAATTTCATAAACCCTGGAGTTAACAACTATAATTTCATAAACCCTGGATGTACACAAAAATGTATAGCCAGCAAGTTCTGTTATATGTAAACATAAACCAGTTAACAACTATAATTTCATAAACCTGGAGTTAACAACTATAATTTCATAAACCCTGGATGTATAGCCAGCCAGTTCTGTTATATGTAAACATAAACCAGTTAACAACTATAATTTCATAAACCCTGGAGTTAACAACTATAATTTCATAAACTCTGGATGTATAGCCAGCCAGTTCTGTTATATGTAAACATAAACCAGTTTAACAACTATAATTTCATAAACCTGGAGTTAACAACTATAATTTCATAAAACCCTGGATGTGTAACCAGCCAGTTCTGTTATCTGTAAACATAAACCAGTTAACAACTATAATTTCATAAACCCTGGAGTTAACAACTATAATTTCATAAACTCTGGATGTATAGCCAGCAAGTTCTGTTATATGTAAACATAAACCAGTTAACAACTATAATTTCATAAACCCTGGAGTTAACAACTATAATTTCATAAACCCTGGATGTGTAACCAGCCAGTTCTGTTATATGTAAACATAAACCAGTTAACAACTATAATTTCATAAACCCTGGAGTTAACAACTATAATTTCATAAACCCTGGATGTGTAACCAGCCAGTTCTGTTATATGTAAACATAAACCAGTTAACAACTATAATTTCATAAACCCTGGAGTTAACAACTATAATTTCATAAACCCTGGATGTGTAGCTAGCAAGTTCTGTTATATGTAAACATAAACCAGTTAACAACTATAATTTAATAAACTCTGGAGTTAACAACTATAATTTCATAAACCCTGGATGTGTGGCTAGCAAGTTCTGTTATCTGTAAACATAACCAGTTAACAATTATAATTTCATAAACCCTGGATGTGTAGCTAGCAAGTTCTGTTATATGTAAACATAAACCAGTTAACAACTATAATTTCATAAACCCTGGACATGTAGACTGCAAGTTCTATTATTTGTAAACATAAACAAGTGAACAACAATAATTTCATAAACCCTGGTTATGTAGACAACAAGTTCTATTATGTGCAAACATAAACCAGTTAACAATTGTAAACTAAAAATTGCAAATACTCCATAAACTCTGGATACATGACCAACAAGTTTTGGTATCTGTAAACACAAACAAGTTTACAGCTGCAAAATTTTTTAAACCTGTATTTTTTATTTGCTGTTTAACCTTTCATAAAGAAAAACATGCAATATCTCAGCTTGCAAGAACAGAGTTTAATGTATCACAATATGCCATGAACTAGAAGTATATGTACATGTTAAAATTTCACAAAAAACGAACATAACATCACCTCTTTGTATGATGATATAAGTCTTTCTGTAGCATCAGCTGAATTGATCAACAGGTTTCTAGCTGTTGTAAAAGCTCGCGTTCTCTCACTCACACCGCCATCAGGATCATCATCCACCTTGCTACCTATAAAATGTACAGAGCAAAACTACTTGTCAAAACTACAAATAGACTGATCTCAATTCCTTTTTATTTGGATAAAATTTCATAAAAAAAAACCCCAACAGAATGTCATAAACAATATCTGTTTTTCTTTATCATATCATCACCTGAGTACAGTAATCAGTAACTGGTTAACTTCAAGTAAATCATTTAAGGAGTTAACCTGTTACTGCACTAAGGTGACGACGACATGAGGAATCTTATATTATGTTGGCAAAGATAATTCAAGGAAAACCTTCAGTACTGTTGCAATGCATCTATAACTGACAATCTTTATTGGCAACATTTTCAAATATGAAACTGAAAAACATTATATATGGGGTTTATGCCTGCTTGAAATTCCAAGACATATGCTACACCTTAAGACAATATGGTTCAATCACTTACTTGTGAATCTTCAAATGAAACATAGTGAGGTTATTTCCCAGTGTCCAACTTAACACAAATTTGTTCAAACCAAAATAAGTAAAACAAGAGGGCCATGATTGCCCTGAAATTGCTCACCTGTATATAGGGCCAAGGCCAATTTTAAACCAGGGGCTTTTATTTGAACAAACTTGGTAGACACCCATTAGAAGATGTTTCATGATAAATATCTAAGCTCTAGCTATTTGGGGTTTTTGTAAGAAGATTTTTAAGTTTCTACTATAAACATACATGTAAACGGACAGTGTTCCCACTTCTATTTTTCATTGGGGGTATTTTTACCCCTTACCTTTGAAAACTGGGGGTAAAATAAAAATTCAGGGGGTACATATATTTGTACAATAATTATATGAAATTAAAAGATGATTCCAAAACCATACATCAGACAATTATGCTGTTTTCTTCAAGATTCACTCCACCCCCCCCATAGGTAAAATTCATTGTGACCAACACATACTGGCATATATCTCCATCTCAATTAATATAACCATAATTTAAGTTCATAAACAGCATATAAATTGTTACTACACACCTTTGAACAAAACAAAGCTTCCTTTTTGTTGATGTTTTAATTAACAAAATCGGCATCGCGAAAATATGTGACAAATGAAAATGTGTCTGTTTTCTGCAGAAACATTCATAATTCCAGTTGTTGCCGATTACAATTATATTAGAATTAATATTTTTATAATATTTTAAGATTGTTTTTCATCAATGTCAATGCACTTTAAGTGATTTTTGTTTGAGAAATTGCTCTAAAGAATAATTTTTGAATTATACATGATTAAGTTTCCGACTTTCTGTGCGTATTTTTACCCTCTTGCCTAAATTTCTGTACGTGAATTTTGGCATTTATACGTAAAATACGCACATGTGTGCGTAAATGGGAACACTGAACGGAAAAACAATGACCCCCGGGGGTGGGCCAATTTTTTACCCCAGGGCTTTTATTTAAACAAACTTGGTAGACACCCACTAGAAGATGTTTCATGCTTTATATCTAAGCTGAAGCTATTTAGGTTTTTTAGAAGAAGATTTTTAAGTTTTTACTATACAAATAAGGAAAATCAATGACCCCCTGGGGCAGGGCCAATTTTTACCCCAGGGCTTTTATTTAAACAAACTTGGTAGACACCAACTAGAAGATGTGATATGCTTAATATCTAAGCTCTAGCTATTTGGGTTTTTTTAAAAGGAGATTTTTTAAGTTTTTGCTATATACAAATTAGAAAAATCAATGACTCCCTGGGGCGCGGCCAATTTTAACCCCAGGGCATTTATTTGAACAAACTTGGTAGACACTGACAGATGATGTTTCATGCCAAATATTTAAGCTCTAGCTCTTTTGGTTTTCTAAAAGAAGATGTTTTAAGTTTTTTCTTTCGGTTGCCATGGCAACCAGAGTTCTGCTTGGAATTAAATTCTTTGAACAATTTTTAAATAAAGTTGACTACCAAAGGAACATTCCTGTGAAGTTTGGATGAAATTGGCTTAGAGGTTTATGAGGAGATGCCGTTTAAAGTAAAAGTTAACGGACAGACGGATCCCGGACGGATAGACGCCGGACCAAAAGCGATCACAAAAGCTCACCATGTCACTTTGTAACAGGCGAGCTAAAAAGGGACTTTAAATGCGGACCAACACAGTAAAACAAAAAAATGTTGCAGTTTGAATGAGTCTGTTTATAGACAGAGGTGGTTTTCTACCAAAAAAATGGAAGAAGATATAATAAAAACACACTAATTACAATAATCTGTAATAGGTCTAGCTTTGCAAGGCCTACAACATGATTTTGTTGCAATGCAGATTTCAATGTACAAATTTATAAGAACTTTCAAGAAAGATTTTTTAATAATTCTGGTTAAACGAAAGAGATGTTTTGTGTTCATATTTTGCAGCATGATACAGGCTGTTTCCCTAGCCAAAAATTGCTATCATTGATGTATCCTTGATATTTTAAGTTAGTTTAGCTTTTCTCCTTTTTTTTTTTTGCTTGATTTACTGTGCTATATTTTCTACTTCAGAAAGCCATTTAAAAAAAAAAAGTCACTTAACGACTACAATTTAAAACATCAAACTCTTTAATGCAAATTCATAATCACGTTCAAATGTACCTTAAAACTATACATGTTCTTTTATGTAATAAATCTTTCTTCACACTGATATTGCCTATTAAAAATGTTTATCAATTTTTGCTAACAATTTGACTTTATCTTGTAATATCAATGTCAACTTATCTACATGATGTCACAATGAATATGATATATTAGTTAAACTGAATGACCCCAGTTCATACAAAAATATTGCTCAGTAAAAAATGGAAACATTAAATCAACCCTAATATATACATTTTATATTAACAGAGACCCTGATCTTTCTTGTAAATGTGACACAGTGTACTTATACTTTACACTTGAATGAAGTTATGAACTAATTTTACACAAATTTGTTTTAGTTTGATTGTGTTGGAAGCTATAAGCTTACTGAAACACACTCATAAGCTTAATGTACATGCCTGGAACCAACCTGTTCTAAGCAATGAGTGTAAAGTTTCTGTCTTATGGAAACAATGGCTTGTGCTTGACAAGGTTTGAAACCATGTGGCCAGTAATCCTTAGATTACTAGTTGTTTTAAACATATTTATTTAAGCTTGATTTCGAAACAAGTTCTTGCAACTTTCGAGTCGGCTTCCTGGAAGCACCCAGTACTAGTGTCATATGAAGAAACATGATCGTGACCCGATTAGGGCTCAAACCCATGATCCCTGGGTTGAGAGGCTGACACCTTAACCATTAGGCCACTGCTCCCCTTTTACTTAGATTACCTCTTACTTAGATTACTAGTTGAATGTGTTAACCACTGGGCTAGCGGCCAATCATTGTATTTACATCTACTTGTAAAATATTTTGTCCTTTCAAAACCCAACACATAGAATCTTTAATTTTATGCTACATGTACATGTAGCTCAGGGGCACTTATACACTAAAGGATGTACACCAATTAAAAAGTTTTGCATTAATAGAACAGCCTTCTACATTACTGTATACAATGTTTGTTTGCTTGGTTTTATGACGTACCAACACAGAACTGATCATATGATGCCGAAACAGTAAAAATTAATTTGGCTAACCTCGGGTGTTACAAACTTCAAAGCAACACCTGGCAGGGGTCAAAACAACCTCAATCTATATAATAAATTATTATTAAGAGTCATTTTAATGGTCAAACGGACACCCTGGCCTGTACATGTAGCAGTTCATTATATAAGTATCTGCATCATAAAGTATGGTATGTAGCATGATCATTACATACTATAAATATATGCCAAAATATATGTTATTATTATACAAAACATCTTGACAATAAATACAGTGGCTAGTTAATATAATCTGCCTCTCAATAATTAATTTCATTAAAGATTGAAGTTTATAAATCTTTTGACACCAGTAGATCTGGTACAGTAAAAGACTTCTAAGTTCCAATATGATAAGCATATGTTGAAAAATCAAACTTCTTGAATTGGAGCATTATTAAATATTGTTAAACTATATGAAGTTTATGTATGATGTTCAAAAACAACACAAAACAAAAACAATCAGTATAAAGCTTACCATCTGACCGTGTACCTCCAGTGCTTATGATGGGTATAGCTACCATGATGAGGCCACTTGCACTCCAAACATACTTCATCAAAAACTGTTCCAACATAACATACCAAAGACGTTGACAGAAAATAACTTCCATTTGACGCTTCAGTCTTAAATAACTTTTTTGAAGAAGGTTGAGCTCAACCTGAAATAAAATAAGAGACACACCTGGACTATACACACAATAAATGATATTACATTACATGTATAGTATGAGTTTTTATGAAAAGCAACTTTGCACGCCTAACTTAAGTCCATCAAAGGAAGAGCAAGGTAAATTATGTATATTATATAGATATGTTGTTTACAATTGCACAACATGCTGTCATGTACAATTCAGGTTTGCTTAATGAAATATTCACCTATTTAAATTTGAGTTTGAACAATAACATGAGGTAGATTTTGTATTTCATCTGGTAGTGCTTTTATCATTACATTTTCTTAAAGTGCATGCAACATCTTATCCTTAAAATCTTATTAATTCTGGTAATAAAATTTAAGCGTACCTTGTGTCCACCATAGAATGCAATTTCTTCTGCATTTGTAATGATTCTTGACTGCATGTATCTTAAGTAACCCCTTCTATTTGCCTCCTCGGCAACCAGTTTGCCAAATCTGGGTGAAACTGCTCGTAAAATCTCCGCTGTTACAAAGAGCACTGTTGAAGCAACAATAGTTGGGACTGATGAACTAGCACCTCTACTTGATGCTAGTGAGTATAAAGTGAAAGACATCAGGGCAACATCCAGCAACGGTTTTGTTATGTGCGAATATAAATGAGCCAATGATGATGTAAATAGGGTTATATCTTCAGTCAAACACTGGTCAACATTTTGCAATCTATTGTCTAGGTTACTAACCCGATAGTAAGTCTGATCTTCAAAATAAGCTTTATATGCATGGTCAACTAATCGAGTCCTGAACACAAGAGCTAACTGACTTTCCAAGAAACGTATTAAACTATTGACAAAAGTTGCTGGAATTGCAATTCCAATCCATTGCATTAAAAGAAGAAGGAATGCTTTAACATCACGCCTCACAATCGTCTTAACAATACGCCCATCTAACTTAGCAACATAGATCGAAAGAAAAGTACGAACAACTAAAGTGCACGTATGCAATGACAGAACGGCTAATTCTTTGCTCCAAATTTTTGGTATAATTATTTTCAACAAGTATTTTAATTGCTTGTAGAATCGTTTATCTACACCTGGAGAGTCTTTCTTTGGAGACGATTTGGCATTAGTTCTTTTGGCATAGCTCTTTAAAAGTCTTGGGTACAACCTCCTCGACGCATAAGTCGTAAAAATACACACTGCGGCTCCAAATATAAGCTTCTCTCTAGTGTATTTGTTAGAGATTGCTGCCCTAAGTAATTTCACAAGAGTCTTCCAAACTTTAGTCATGTTTATGGACTAACGTGCTTCAAAATACATATCTGTCAAAATAAATTCCTCCCTTGTCCTCCATGATGATTTCACGTGGGAACTTTGACCCTTGCACCGGTTTGATAAAAGACTCTACTAATCGACAGACACCGGTCTTCGGTCTCCGTCGAAATATATTGGTATATATAAATAAAACTCTTAAACCTGTGGTATACATTTATTATTTGAATAGAAGAGAGTAAACAACTTAAGATATTATAATTTTTCAAAATTACTGTCCAAAATCAGTTTCAAATAAAAATGAATAAATGAAAAAAGAAAGAAAAAGACTATTTTTATAGATACATATTAAGGTGTCATTAAATTTTATCAAAAATTCATCATGTTAACTTTAGAAATATATCTATATTTAAACGTTATCTGCACCTGTTTTACCACAACGTACATGTATGCAAGTACAAAATGAACAAGCTGAACAAAGTTGATGTCTGGAAGTTGCATGTAGAAAGCAGCTTGTACGTAACACAGTGACTGTATTCACTTGAGTGGGGACATTTCAACTTCATAAGTTCGTTATAATCCTTGAGGTAGAAAGAAGAATCTTATAAAGATGAAATGGAAAACTCATGAAGTTGTTCCCATCATTCTTTTGTATGTTTAGCCTACATGCCACAAAAAAGTCCCCCAAAAATCAAAATAACCAAAAACAACAACAAGAAAAAGCCCCCGGAAGCTTCTTGATTTTCACCATTTAGAGATGTTTAAATTATGTATTTCCAAGGCCATTTAAGGTCCATAAAATTATCATAAATAACTTTTTTCTTAATTCAAATATCGTTACTATAACTAAATACTAAAAATGTTATCAGTTACAACGCATTAATCGATGACTAAATATCTTAAATTTCTTTTGTTTGCCCAATAGTCGCGTAGCAGTAGAATGTCTGACATTATCTTCCGCACGTAATTCTGTTTCTCGTGCTTTAGTTTAAACAATATTTTTATTGATAATCCACACATTTACATAATAAATTACATAAAATAAAATTTACGGATTGAGTAGGAAGCTTGTAAAGCTTTTTTTTGAAAACTCTCTCTCGTGCTTTGATGAAAATGGCCGTACGTGGCTGTCATTTACTTATACGGCGCACAACAAGAAAACTTATTTGTTTTGGACTAATTTGCTATATATCACACTGAAAAGTGTGCTTCGTTTTTGTGAAAATATTGCATTTTTTCATTTCTCAGTGTGATATTCAGCATATTCAATCAAACATTTATTATATTTACAATTTGGTAAAGCAGTATTTTTTCGTTATTTTGATTTTTTAATTTATTAAAGAGATGACTATACATAAATCCATTACAATAAAATGCACAGAAAATTATTGTTTTATTACATGTATTATGATAATTATTATATACATGTATACTGGTGTTCCATGTTTAGCATCTTTTTCCCGCCAAAGAAGCCTTGTCCCTAGATCCATCTAGTTTGAATTATTATTTGGATTGGTTAGTCTTACGGTTGCGTAATCTGTAAGTTTCTTTTGTCTAGTTGATATTTATATGTTTTAAAGAAAGAGCCAATCCCTTTGAATAAAAACTTTAAATCTTTAACTCATACATGCATAATATAAATAAGCAAGCTCAATAAACTCATTTTCCCAAAGTTCAGTTTCCGCTGTAAATAATACCACGGATTTATATTGTATTACATCCGTCATAATACATTGATTATTATGAAGTAATTAAACTGACCCTTGTACAACGTCAAATAACAATTGTATGTAAATCAAAATCAGGAAATCCTTATGACTGAATTATAAGTTTTTGATAAATTTATTAATGTTATTTTATCATATTGATACCATATTTACCGGAATAGATCGTTTAGATAGATATATTCGTGTTAAGTTTTGGAAATTACAGTTAAAAATCGGTTATTAGATTGATACATCTACTTTAAAATGTAACGAGATCGGTCCTTACGTTCGGCCATTTTTTTTTGAAACTGGGGTTTTTATAATTTTGTTTTAAACATTACGTATAAGTATATCACTTTCAATTATTTTAATAGACCACGTTGACAGCATATCAAATGGGGACATAACTATTAGATGGACACATTTCTAGTTTTAATCACTCTTAATGAAAGAGTTGTTTTAAACAATAGGTTTTATTGTGTTTTCTTTCATTAATTTATTATACAATATAACGTAAGTGCCTAAAAGGTGGTGCCAGTTATAATCACAGGTCACAGGAGCATGGTTATCTTATGTGTCTATTGCAGTGACAACATTGACAAAACAACATACGAAATATCTAATCTTACATCCTTTCAAAGAAGATTTCTATCATTTTCCTATCAAACTTATGTAAAATGTGATCCGCCAAATGCAGGTCCATTGCAGACTCCCCGCTGCTGTTTCTTTACCTCATTAGTACATGTTAACGTAACCGATGCGAGAAGTTTAGTCAAATTAATGTTGTAAAAAGAGGCACGGTTAATAAACCTTTTGTGGAGGATCTCTGATTACTTCATGAATAAATGTTTTAAGTGTTTTGCCGTGAAAATATATAATATTTATATTTTCTCAATACATCAATATTTTCACGGCACAGCACAGTGATCTGCCTTTAAAATACAGATATTATTATGAAAATATAAATATTAAGAGGATATTTTTTCGTTTGCGTGAAATATGGTATATATTTTCACGAAACATGATAAAATGCCACATATTTTCACGAGCAGGTACGGCGAGTGAAAATATGTGGCATTTTATCATGTTGAGTGAAAATATATACCATATTTCACGAAAAACGAAAAAATAACCTTTTTATTTAATTTCATTATCAAAGAAAATGGTAACGAATCCCCTTGCTTGCTACCAACTGCAATTGTACAGCGCGCAGTAATTCATACGTAAGCACGCGCTGTTTGGCGCTTCATTGTGACGTCATGTAAACAACTCTTTAAACGTCTGTACAGCGTTAATTACTGAATTAAAGATATTGGTGTTCGGATTAATTTTCTTAGTTAGACCATTTTCTATCATGCTAGATAGTTTTCAAAACAAAATTCAAGAAAAAGTTTTTTTGTATTTATCAAATTTTTCAAACAAAACGGCGAAAGAAGTCCCTTAAAATAAATATGAGTTTTGACTCCGCCCACTTTCATATTTATATTTCATATTTATTTTTAAAAAATATGAATTATATTTGACTGATATAGCACCATATTTCATGGGTAAAATTAAATAATATAATTTATTTTTTCATAAAAATATTCATGTTTTCACGGCAGGACTTTGCACAAGATAAATACCATTTATGTAACATTTAAAAAGAATCATCTAAAGATTTAAATATGAATTATATTTGACTGATATAGCACCATATTTCATGGGTAAAATTAAATAATATAATTTATTTTTTCATAAAAATATTCATGTTTTCACGGCAGGACTTTGCACAAGATAAATACCATTTATGTAACATTTAAAAAGAATCATCTAAAGATTATTCCTGTGAAATTTAGTCAAAATCAGCACAATGTTTTTCGAAGGAATTGTTTTTATTAAAGAAGTATAAATAATAATAGACGTCTATGACGAACGACTTACGGCGATAATCAGAAGAAAAAAAATCCTTTACATTTAGGAACTGATTTTTCAGGCGTGCTAAATACACGGGATATCATCAAACACCTGTTACTTGTATCACCAAGCAATAAAAGAAATAAAAAGTAATGACGAAGTGAAAGTTTATTATTTCATGTCACAGTCAAGTTTCTGTACGAACATCAAAGCAACTGCACTCAGTTATGTTACCCACATGAAAGAAGGGAAAGGCATTGCAAGAGTATGTCTATATGTCAGTAAAGGAATTGATATTTTGATATATATGCAATTGATAAAAGTTTGCTATGATTTTAAAAGTCAATTAAAGGAACACTGAAAAATCGTATTTGCACGTGTCTATATGGTATCATTTTCATTCTGCCTGAAAACTCCTTTTTTCATTTTGCTCCTTTGTTCTTGTTTCTGAAAAAAAGACAGAACAGACCATAAGTTAAAAGATATTTGATACAGCAAAATTAAAATTGATGCAAGCTCAACTTAGCCAATTATTTTTATGTATGGCGGCAATGTTAAAATTCACTTCAATTATCATCGGGTTTAGCAGAATTGAAAGTTAAGAATAAACTATGGTGTTATTGAAAATTTAAAAAACACCATGAAAGCACGAAGGTTTTAAAATTATTGGCAATTATGCAAAGTAATGTCCTACTGTATTAGAAACGTAAGTATCTTGTGTTGTACTTTAATGCACACATAGTTTCTTTTGTAAATAAGATAATTTACTGATAGCAAATTAACCTATACTTACCGAATTGGAAACCTAAGGCTGCACCGATTACGTCGGTCAAGGTGTTAAAGCCATTGACAGCATACCCACCACATCCTCCCATGTGCATCTCAAACTGGAAAAAGTATTTGCATGGAAGGAATTCCGAAGTTCTTTTGCCCACGTTTATCCAGTCCCTCATCAGTTTAGTGTAGCAGCAGCGTTTGTAATAACCGTTCGGGTCGTTGTGTTTGGGGTTGACAAAGAGAGCTAAATAGCTGTTTGGATTTGCATCACAATTCCGAAACGTAAAATCCTGACCATTGGCTCTATACCCCTGTATACTATGGCTTCGTGCGATGTATTTCGGTAAGAAACCAAGATATAAATAAGGACCCATTGTCGCATGGTTTATCGGAGTGGCATAACCAGTGTTTTTGTTGTACTGGACACTCAACGGTATAGAGGAACGGGAAGATATTTGATCCATCATAGTATCATATTGCTTGCCGTTTGAGCGCAAATGTCGTACTAATACCTTTGAATGACATCGTCGAAGGCGTCTCATGTCGGCTTTTCGAATTTCATCTTTGGAAACAAATGTATAGCCATAGCCGCGGTGAAATTCACAGTAGACTTTGTATCTCTGACCTCTTCTATTGTAGACGAAATATTCCCCGCTTTTTATGTTTCTATGTTTGTATTGCAAATCCTCACATGAACCTAAAAAATAGACAAAAAACTCATCAAAATTTAAATTTTCGCTTGTGTAAAATATGTGTTATTATTGTCCATATGTAATTTTTCCAAAATTCCAATCTTTTTTTTAAAATTGATATTAATCATTGTTTCGAGTGAATAAAAAAAGTTACATGTATTGTGCCAGAGACATAGATAATAGTTATCTATGTCTCTGATTGTACGTGAGATAATGATTATGAAAACAACACCCTCTCTCCCAAATTAAAAAGCAACAAAAACAAATAACGCAGAGGGTTTTCAATAAAGCTTTTCAAGCTTCCTACTCAATCCCTAAATTTTATTTCATGTACCTTATTATGTAAATGTATTGATTATAAATAAATATTGTTTTTATTAAACAAATAAACAAAAACAACAAAAAAACAACAAAATCAAACAACAAAAATTAATGAATTATAAATGTAAAAAATACTTTTTATATTTATCTAGTCTATCACGCGCGCACACAGAGGTTAGAAATTCAAAAGCATTGACTTAAGATAACATGTAATTTAAAAAGATGTTAGCGGACTTACGTGAGCGGCGGCAGCCGTAGCTAGTTTCGGCAATCCAGCACAAAAACAGCGCTCCAAAGATACATTTTAAGAGCATCATTTTCCCATCCATTTGTTATCAAAACAGTGGCGATACTAATTTCACACGAGTTGTATCTTAAGTGGTATGTAATATCTCTTTTGTTTGTTTTGATTGGTTTATTTAGCCAATACTTATTATTAATCTCAAGTATATAAAATGAAATCTTTCTTTTTAATTGGTTAAATATTTCTTTGTGAACATATTTCATACACTTTTATTTTATTTTTCAATAGAATGGTAATGTTCAATGAATGTTTATTATCAAGGTTTTTTTAAAAAAATATAAAATCAACACTTTTAACCCACGTGGATGACTTTAAAAAATAATGGTCACTACAGTTGTGTTTGAAATTATTTTTTGTCCAATAGGATTGCAGTAAATCAAATGAACTTTGGTAAATCGGCAAACTATAAATCATTGTAGTGAATCGTCTGCTTATAAAAATAAATTTTGAACACTAGAATGGTTAGTGTTCAAATTAAATTGGTCGAACGACTGTGCACAGCGCCTTGACCAATTTGATTTTGTAAATGCTTAAAACACTAACCTATGCTAATTTACATTGACGTCTGTAACTCATCGGAACAGGACAGAACATGATGCTATATTAGAACTCAGAGTTTATATTATTGTAAATAAAAATATATTTCTAAAATGTGTATACATTCATGAAAAAAGACATGGGTACAATAGATCTTTATTGACAAAATATGCTTCAAAACGTTCTTTTAATCAAACTACCAGTCCTGGACAAAACCAGTAACTTGGGTTATAATTTGAAGGGAAACAATATTGGTGTTTGGCAGCTCCTTTAGAACCACATATGAAAGTACATGTTTAGATGCATACGTTTCATTTTTGATAAATGATTTTTGCTATGTCGCATGCTTTATTTGGTTTGATTAGGCGGGTCTGAATTCTAAATTCGTACATGTAGACCTACAAGACAAGCATTATTTTGGGGGAGTGGTAAAGTAGTGGTTAAGGTGTCTGCCTCTCAACCCAGGGGTCATGGGTTTTTAAAACTATTTCAGTCATTACCATGTTTCTTCACGTGACACCAGTACTGGATGGTTTGAGGAAGCGGACTCAGTTTCAAAAGTGATTTTAAATTAAGTTGCGCAATCGAGCTTGAATAATTAACTGACATTATCCGCTCTTGATCCGTCATCTTCCCGAAATAACCGAAACGGAAAATATACAAGTTTGTAAAGGGAAGTCATCCATACTGCGTCGTCTGCAAAATTAAAAAAAAAAATGAATTGGATGGGAGGCGCTAGAAATCGTATAAGATATCAAGGTGAAAGGCGCATTCAGCAGGTATTTTGAATAAAACATGTTAAGTTAATGTTTAAAGAAATAAGACAACAAAAGACATTGTAAAACCAATTTCGCGACACCTTTAATTTCGACATGATGATGTTCGAAGCCACCATTACAGAATGCCATAGCTTTAATGACCATTTTCCCGAACGAAAAAGTAATTTTAATTTGTTTATCAATCATCAAAACCATAAAACAACGTTTTTTGTGTTATTTAGTTAGTAGTTTTCAGCAAGGAACAAGGAAAGAAAAAGTGCATAACCAGGAGACTTCAAACACCCTTTCATTTTCACTTTCATATCCTGGTGTACGTAGTTCCGACGCACCTAAGAAACAATCACTATTTACCGTAACAAAATAAGATGACAACTAACAAATTACCTAAGCAGTGAAAAATTTATTCATTTCTTCATCTTTTACAACTTTTTTCATTAGCTAAAAACTATCGTTGAAACAAAAATAATCAAAATATGACAAGCGGTGATTTCCAATATGGCGGATATGAGAGTAATTGATACCATACAACTAAGTTTGTTTGTTTGTTTGTTTCATTTTACGCCTTTTCCCAACAGTATTTCAGTCACGTAGGCAGGTAGTTTCCTAACCATTGTTCCTGGATAGTTATAGTGGAACCCCATTGTATCTTGCTATTCATTGTATCGATCTATTTACAAATCTGTCGATTTTTTTGCAAAATGCACTAGCTACTGATTGCTAACATTTACAACAGTGTCACGAAATTTTTTCCGCATTTGTTTCGAGCCGAAAAAATGACCAAAAACATGTTTCCAGTACCGTCAGACTTTGTAGATAATAAATAGACTTATAAATAGTGTGTTCTTATTAAAAGCACATTTCTGTCTGTTGAAAGTTCCTAAATTTATGCTGACATTTTAAAACAGACAACTTTGATTCTAATTGACTGAAAAATCTAGCACAAAGATGGGTCAGGCTTTCCAAACTTTGACTAACTGAGCGATTCTCACAATGCATCGATATAATGGCGTGACCTAATTCTTCAAACTGTTTGACATGTCTGTAAATATCCGTATATTCCAAAGCTATAAACTATATATCAGTGATGTTTGTCATGTAAATATTATGGCAAAAGGATCAAAATAAATGATACAAAATAAATATTCAGGGAGATTTGAATTTTTTAAATGCAGTTGTGATTTATGGGTTAATAGATCGATACAAAGTAAATTTACTGTGATGTTTAAAAATATCCAACTGTTTTCTCTCTTAACAACAATTTTTGAGACTTTCTGACCAATCTCATTAAAATCAGATAATCATATTGATAATTCGCTAAGTTACTCTCCGCTACGTGGGAAGTGAACAACTGGTAGTGAAGTGACAGTTAGGATATTATTTTAATGAGATTGCTTTCTGACATACACAGTATAGGTGTCGACTTTAGGACAGGGACAAATTTAGGACAACCGACGATAATTGACAGGGTTTACCTACAATATTAAAGGTTATTTATCGGATATTATTCTTCTAAATTTTGTTGTCTTTTAAAACATTTATGCTTTATTCTCATTGATTTGTGAAATTGTGACTTCCCATTAATTCGAGACCTAAAAAAAATTCAAGTAAATGAATAAATACTCTGGCGCCTGCAAGGACATACACAATATGAAAAGTACACAAGTTTTAGCCATCACTTGATAAACAATTTTATCCAATAAAAATGAATAATTAAATAGGTGTAAATGTGCTTACCCTGAGCTAATTACTTTATCAGGGCCAAAACACCATTTTTGGGGAAGGGGCCTCAGCCTTTTTCTTGGGGAAAATATGTGTAATTTTGGCATACTTTGGGAAAAGGGGTCTCAAATTTAATACAAACTTTTAACAAGTTTTTCAAAATAGAAAAGCAAATTGCACTGGGAAATACTAATAAGGCAGTAAAAGACCTTAATTCAACACCATCATATAATTTTTTTCTTAATTATTTAGCACAATAAATTTAATCCTCGCCTTCGGGCATATCTTTTAACCATTGAAATTTACTGCCCAAAATTTACTGCAATTAACACAGTCATTTATGTGACATGATATGCAGTTGCCGATGTTCATCTACAGCATCGTAATTATTTGATCATAATTTATATGACACCTTCCACTTAACAACATTATAAATTTATATATCTACTGTCACTACTATAGTTAAATTAGTGATCTGCAATACTAAGTTCTCATTAATATTTTGACCTGTTGACTAGTACTAATATTGACTGCCATAAAGTTGTCTTATACAAACATTGACTGTCACAAAGTAGTATCAGGTATTTGAGTTGTTTGTTTTGTATTCAAAGAGTAAATCTTACTTTAATCTTGGAGACAAGAGCTTATTTATTCTCAAAATGTAGTCACTACTATATAAAAAATACATACAAGGACTGGTACCTTAAAAGAAAAAGGACAGTAAAAAAATGCAAAACTCGATTATACTATCGGCAGACAATCGATTGTGGTGGTCCAATTATCGATAGTGATATTTGAGTCCGATACCCAACACTACTACCAAGATTGTTACAACTGTAAAGGACGGTTTGATTGCATGGCTAAAAAAAGCTTTCTTGGGTAATTAAAATCGCAATGAAGGCAAAACAAATACTGTGGCTTAAATACTTAACTTTATTTTAAATGACCAAAAGATAAAATTATTCAATATATGAATGACTGTGTGACTGCCAGTACTACATTACACTAATAGTTATTTAAAGTTAAATAGGCAAAAATAAATGAAATAATTAATTAATAGAATTAATGTTGGAATGTGATTTGGTTTATTATTAAAATGCCAGGATTTAACATAGATTTTGAAATATTTTATAGGAATTCTTTGAAAGACAAAAGTTGGCAGCTGCTCAATCTTTCTCAAGTAAAACATCATCAAAGAAAAGGAAAGGTCTTAGTCAAGATTTAGTTGCACTCCATACTGTGAGCAGAGTTCATTCAGGAATTCCTAAGAGTAAAGTTTAATAGGCTGTCATGCCTTTTAAATAAGCAATTTATATATGAATTAATGTTTTTTCTGTAATCTTACTTACTGGTAGATATTGCCATATTTTCATCCAGTGAATGGATTTGTTAAATAAAAGCATCTACATGTACATGTATTTCATGTAAAATGTGTTCATGAAATGATAAAACTAATTCTGCATATAATTTAAAATGTGTTTATTGTTGTACTTTTTAGAAAATGTAAATAATTCATTACATTTCGCAAATGAGGTTGAATACCAAATAAATTTTTTAGGTTTCCATTTCTCTTATATTCTTAACCATTAATCAGACTTCATCAAAGCCTTCTTTCACACAGTTTTAAAAAAACTTAAAAGTCTGATACATATTCAATGTTTCATGACTATCATATTAAATCTACAGTTAAGTTAAATCATATGTGACTGGGAATAAATTTTTACTGTTACACATTGCATTCTGTTTTTTATTATGCCACCGCAGCATCTGCGATGCGGTGGCATATAGCGATTCACCTGTGTGTGTGTTTGTGTGTGTGTTATATAGATAATATAGTGAACTTAAAAAATCTTCTTGTGAAAAACCACTAGTCCAATTTCAACCAAACTTGGCAGGATTGTTCCTTGGGTGAAGGGCTTCCAAAGTTGTTCAAAGAATTTCATTCCATGCAGAAATCTGGTTGCCATGGCAACCAAAAAGAATTATAAGAATAAATTTAAAAAATCTTCTTGTAAAGACCCAAAAGGCCTAGAGCTTAGATATTTTGCATAAGGCATTGTTCAAATTATAGCCCTGGGGTCAAAATATGCCCTGCCCTGGGGGTCATTGATTTTCACTATGTACATATAGTAAAAACTTAAAATACCTTCTTGTAAAAACCCAAAAGGCCTAGAGCTTAGATATTTTGCATAAGGCATTGTCTGGTAGACCTCTACCCAGATTGTTCAAATTATAGCCCTGGGCACAAAATTGGCCCCGCCCTGGGGGTCATTGATTTCAATATATACATATAGTTAAAAATAAAAAAAAATCTTATTGTCTGAAGGGACAAGGCTTAGAGCTTTAATATTTTTTAAATAATATCATCTAAAGGTACTCTTCAAAAGTTATTCAAATTTTGTCCTAGTGTCCAAATTAGCCCCGCCCCCTGGGGCCATAGGTATTCCTTATATGTATATAGTAAAAACTTAAAAAATCATCTTCTCTAAATTTACAAAGGCTAGAGTTAAGATGTTTTGCATGAAACATTGTGTAGTGAACCTCTTGCAAGATTGTTCAAATTATAGCCCTGGGGTCAAAATTGGTCCCGCCCCGGGGGTCATTGATTTTCATTATGTACATATAGTGAAAAAGTAAAAAAATATTTTTGTCTGAAGGTACAAGGCATAGAGCTTTGATGTTTGATATATAATATCATTTATAGGTCCTCTACCAAAGTTGTTCAAATTTTTCGGCTGGTGTCAAAATTGGCCCTGCCCGGGGGCAGTGATTCTCATTATACACATAGTAAAAACAGAAAATAAAACAAATGTTTTCTGAATGGGAGAAAGCTACAGCTTAGATATTTGACTTGAAATGTTGTTTGGTGGACCTGTATCAAGATTGTTTTGAATAAAATCCTTGGGTCAAAATAATGCCTTGCGCAAGGGGACAGTGACCTACTTCCTTGTCCTTTGATGAACAGCAATGACATTTTGACCATGAGCACAGTTTTAGTTGTAAAATTGAACTTTGATATCAGGTGACCTAGATTTGATGATGTGACCTACTTTCTTGTCCTTTGATGTACAGCTATGAAATTTGAACCATGCGGTGGCATAGCATTTTTCTCAAATGCAATCTTGTTGAATTTGTAACACTGTGAAGAACAAGGTTGGGGAAACAAGGCCTTAGGCCTTATAAAAAAGGAAAACAACTTTAACAACATTTAACATGATTACTTTTATTAAGATTTAAGTTTTTAAATGATAAAATGTTGATTATTAACTAACAGTTGCAAATAAGAGACGGCTTATACAGAAGCTTGATCTTGAGAAGTTCCGTTCCTGTACACGCAAAATAGATGAGGTTGATTTGGGACCTTGTTCACCATCGGAAACACCATCAAAACTTTTACTCAATGATGGGAAACTTGATAAGTATGATAACACTTATTTTTATTTTAACAGTCTTCATATGTTGTATATTTTGTTTCTAGGTTTCAATGTGCACACAGTAAGATTTTACTGTTTTCCACAATTTGTTTTGTTGTCCGTTTTTTTTGTTTTGTTTATCAGACAGGTCACTCCCTTTTATCAAAATCTCCAAAATTTCAAGTATTATTTAAGCCACATGTATAAGTTATAACTAAGCAAATGGCAAATTACCTGGTGTGAATAGAAATGAAAGGCTGATTGATTACCTTTTATCAAAATATTTTCCTTGTGAATTTTGATTAATCTGCAAGAACAAAAATTACCTTCTTTGTTCACTTCACCATATATTACTTTCAAATAAATTTTCATGAAAATAAGCATGAATCTAGAGGCATGTTGCTTTAAGGAATATATTCTCCAAGCCAAGACAGACAAGAACATGAGTTATGGTTCTTGTTGAGTGATTAGTTATCATGAAATAACATCCTAAATTACAGTGAAGACACAACTTATCATCTTAGTAATGCTCAAAAGTCTCCAATATATAACAGACTGTCCTGTTAAATTCAATTAATTTTAATCAAATTTATAAGATGTATTTTAGCTAATGAAACTTTGAGCTTGACCAATATTGTGGAGTGCTGAAGTGATATTATTTATCAGTTGAGTTATTGTGTTGTAGGGACTCTGGCAGTGTTAAGTTGACAGCAAAAGATGTAAAGCCTTCCAGAGAACTTTTCCCCAGACCTTCACACTATCAGAGATGTTACAACAACAATAATAATACCAGTACTGGGCAGGTAAATATGATTGAAGCCAGGGTTTAATTTTCTACCTATTTTTTTATAAGGCCCCATGGCTTAAATTAGGAAAAATAATCTGGCATTTTGGGAAATTTTTTTTTTTAGCTGTTGGGAATTAATAAACTTTAGGTATTGGTAAGGATATTTTTCCCTTTCAATAATCGTCATAGATATTCATATCAAACATTAAACATTTGTTCACAAACAAGGGCAGGGAAGTCTGCCAAGCACTTTTGAGGAATTATGAATTGTTTAAAATGTTATTTAGTATAAATAGTACCAAACTAAGAAATGAACTGATTTTAAAAGCTAAAATAAGGCAAATATTACTTAAAATATGTGAAAATATGCACAATTTTTTCATAATTCAGTATTCTGCTAATTACAGAGTAACTTATTTGAAAATGTTAAAAAGTAGTCAACCTAAATTTACATAAAACCTGTAAAGCTGTTAAATTAATTATATGGATTGAGATTACCTGAGTGTTTATTAATTTCTTAACCTCTTAATACATTTTTTTATTCATATTTTTTTAGTCATATTTGCTCATCTGGAATCATGCATTTTAAAGATATGGATAACTATTTGCTAGTTTGATTTTAGGAAGAGCAAAGTTTGATGAAAAGTACAGTCACACCTATGTTCCATGTTGAAAGTAAAGGAATGCCAAATGAAGTTTCCAACAAACTACCAAATACATTTGCTAAAAATAAACCATCAAATGAGTTCATGTTCTCTAAACCTAAACAAGATTTAGATGGATTTACCACAAGAAGAACAATGAAGGGTATGTTAGATCCATATGTGTCTGAAGATTTTCAAGTCACACCTCTGATAAAATACACAAAGAAAAGGTCACCTTGTAATACTCTATTTGAAAATTCAAAGAAAAGAAAATGTTCGGATCAACCGTTTCCAAAAACTGACAAACTTTATGATGAGCTTGAGAATTATAGAAGCAGCAGTTTTAAAAAGCCTTATTTCTCTTCAACACCAATTACATCCCTTCATCCAGCAGAGAGGGATAAAAACAACTATAATGAACAATTTGGTGGAATATCTCCAATTAATACTGGTGAAGTCTTTAATAAAGATGTAGATAATGGCTTTAGATTTAAACCACGACCTATGTATTTGACTCCAGTGAAAAATCAAAATCATAGAATTGAAAACCTAGGAGTGTCACAAGGTGAAACTGTAAAGGAACCACAGCTTGATTCTTCTTCTTGTGTATACAAGCAATCCCTGGAAAAGTCACACAGTTTACACAGTCAATCAAACTATCAATGTGATAGATATCAATTAAAGTCTAAAGAAGTTGGTAAATATTGTAAAGACTTCAATAACTCAGAGGTGATTTGTGAGGACATAACACAGAATAAATGCACACCATTTGAATCCGAATGCATACCAAGAAGTCATTTACAAGGAACACAAAAAGTACCTGGGTCTTTAGGAAAGTACAGGAATATTTTCAGACACAAGAATGAACTGGAAAGTCCTTTTCTGTTTGGGAAAACTGTCTTTCTTAAGGAACAAGGCCTAACTAAAGATGCAGTTGAAGAGGGTAATATAAAATATGAAACTGGAATGTCAAAACCAAAGTTTACTGACTTTGACGAAGAATTTCATTACAAGCCTTTGAAGTGTATGAAAAGTGACTCAGTGAAAACAGCACCGGAGACGATGGGTATGTACAAGAAATTTAAAGATATTAAAAGGCTAGAAGATCATGGGAATGTACAGGATGACAGTGTACAGATTACCAAGACAACAGTTAATAGGGACATTGCAGGTGGCGCATTGTAAGTCTCATACCTCAATGTAATTAATATGGTATATTAATAGTATGAAAATATGTGTTAACAGTTTGTCACCAGGGTGAGGAAAATGTGCAGCCTGACTTGGACTCGAAATAGAACCTTGGAATACCGTACTGTGGCTCTACTGTTTGAGTTAACCAGCTGCTTATATGCAATTCTTTGTATATAAATATAAATCAGATAAATAATGCTGGGCATATGGTTTATGAACATTGCTTTTAAAAACCATCTTAATACTATTTCGTTTGAGGTGATGATTACAAATATTGCTGGAAAACCAACTCATGATTTAAAAATGAATAAGCTTGAGTGTATTTGTGTTTTCATTTATCATTCTCATGAATACATGTACCTTGTTCAATTTAAGTATAGTCATAGTCCAAAATAAGTATACCATATTCCAATGTAAATGTATCATGTTATTTCAGACAGAATATTAAACACAAGGGAAAAAATTCGGAATCATGAAAAATGTCTGGTTTAGTAAGGATTCTGATTTAGTGAATATCCAGATTTTGCACATTTTTTTGTTACTGTATATCATGTTGTGTTGTTTTTTTTTTCAGACAGAATATAAAAAGTCCTCTGCCAGGAGATGAGTTTCCTAAGTATTTGCTTTCTCCCTCTGAACAGGTATATACAAATTTTATGAAATGTATCAAATAAAAAATTACCTTGTGTTTGAACCCTAAGGCAGTAAATAATGCCTGTACATGTTTGAAAAAATTCTTATTAGACAAACTCCTGGCTTTGAATGTCTCTCATAATTTTAGGTCTTGAAATTCTCTTAAATTGATTTTATCATTTATGTATATAAATGGAAACAATTAGCTTCACTAATTTACTCTCAAAGTGAAAATTAATATTTTATTCATATATTTAAAGCAGCATCAATCAATGTCCTAACCAGAGTAAATATTATATGTTTGTATTTTTTTAGATTCAAGATGAAATTGACAGACAGTTGACAAAGATAATAGTCGAGGAGAACAAGAGTATGTAGAACAAATTTGACATTGATAACTTCCCTTGATTTTCATTTTGTAAGCTTGCATGCTTTTATATACTATTAATTATTGCTTATTATCCCCCGCCGAAAAAGGCGGCGGAGGATATAGAAATAGTCTCCGTCCGTCCGACCTTCCGTCCGTCCTTCCGTCCGTCCGCACTCACAGGAGAGTAATTATGTGGCTAGAGGGACAATAGGTTCTCTTTGATGTCATTCATTCCGTAATGCTTTTATGTGGCTATTTTCTTTTGCGTGGCTAAAAAGAACAATAGAGAGAACAATAGAGTAGCCACATAATTACTGTCCTGTGAGAACGTCCGTCCGTCCGTCCTTCCGTCCGACATTTTTGTCCGGAGCATATCTCTAAAAGTATTTGAGTTATCAACTTGAAACTTCATAGGTAGATAGACCTCATTGAGGAGGAGTGCAGTGCACAAGAATGATAACTCTACCTTGCATGATTTTTGAGTTATTGCCCTTTGTTATTTTTGAAAATTGATTTTTGTCCAGAGCATAACTCCAAAAGCCTATGAGATATTAACATGAAATTTCATAGGTGCATAGATCTCACTCAGGAGGTGTGCAGTGCACAAGAATGATAACTCTACCTTTCATAATTTTTGAGTTATTGCCCTTTGTTATTTTTTATACCTAATTTTTCACCTGAATGGAGCATAACTCAAAAAGTGTTTGAGATATCAACATGAAATGTCATACGTGGATAGATCTTATTGGGGAGGAATGTTGTGTGCAAGAATGATAACTCTTCCCTATACAATTTTTGAGTTATTGCCCTTTGTTTTTTTTTTCATGCTATTTTGTCCAGAGCTTATCTCAAAAAGTATTTGAGGTATTAACTTGAAACTTCAAAGGTGGATGGATCTCATTGAGGAGGAGTGCACTGCACAAGAATGATAACTCTACCTTGCATAATTTTTGAGTTATTGCCTTTTGTTCTTTTTCATACTTAATTTTTCAATTCAATTTTTTTCTCAAAAAAGTATTTGAGGTATCAACTTGAAACTTCATAGGTGGATAGATTTTACTGAGGAGGGATGCAGCACACAAGAATGATAACCTACCCTGCATTATTTTTCAGTAATTGCCCTTTGTTATTTTCAGCCATCAGTATTCACATAGGTTTCAAATCTGTAATCACTATAGCCATCAGTTTTCATTACCAAAAGACCTCTTAAAATGGAATTATTCCGCTCTACTACATATACATTCTTCCAATGAGCAAACACATTCGGCGGGGGATGGCCATGTTGACATGGCTCTTGTTGTATTTGGAAGAATTCATAATGAATTAGAATATCTCATGTCATTGTACAGTGTCTTATTAGAGCAAAATTGTGATAATGCTGATTTTTGAGTTAACACAATGTTTAATAGTGATATGTTTTAATGGTTAAAGAAGTGGCCTGTCTGTGCACTGAATAGATTTGTTAACATTTATGATTGAAATGAATATTGTTAACAAAAAGTCAGTCCTTATATACATAATGAAAGTGTCTGTCAATCATACACAATAGTTAACCAAATTGATGAAATTGTTTCGTATTGATATTTCAGAAGCTTTAAATCAAAACAGTTCACAAAACACAAGGTAAGTAATGTAATATTGAACCTGAAAAATGAAGTTTCAGAAAGAAAATAGAAGTCTTCAAATTTGAATTAATGATGAACTTGGATATATACGAGTAATATATCTCAACCAGGCGTTAACATGTTGTTCCTTCTTTTGTTTATTCTTTATAATTCATACAATAAATTTTATTATTTATGAATAAATATATATAGATGATCCAGAGCTATCACATTGTTTGACCTATAATATTCAGAATAGTGAGAATACTCATACCGAACTGTGCATAATAAATATGGTGATTTAAAGGAATATTTTTTTCATTTTGTGATATTTGGTTTAAACATATTTATTTAAGCTCGATTGCGAAACAAGTTCTTGCAACTTATATTAATCACTTTCGAGTCCGCTTCCTGGAACCAACCAGTACTGGTGTCATATTTTGTGATATTTAACAGTTTCATTTAGAGTAAACTAGTTTATAAAGATGACCACACTTACACAGTGTAGTTAAGGTGTGTTGACCATTAACAGTGGTTCATATTGCCAACAGCGTTGTTTTTTTTAAACATGCAGAAAGTGTTGTGATACTTTGAAAGCATCTGTACTGAAATTCTTTCAGAAAACAATCTTGCCTTGTGAAAAACTTAAAAATTTCTGTTAATATCAACAATCTTAAACTCAACCACTAAGTCTTATGGTTTAACAATTTCAATGACATTAAAATTGTTTTTCTTGTGAAATTCTTTCCATATCTATATCTTTCATGATGAATTGATGTATATTATGAAAATAATCTGTTCACTGCTAGTTTGATAGGTTTAAAGAGGTTTATCTTCTTTATGCTTACTACTTGTAACACATGTTATCTGTGCAACATACATTTTTTTTAAAGAACTAGACATTATTTATTTGATTTTTTAAATAGTTTTTCCAATAGATTTAAACAGATTTTAACATAGGACCTTGTTTTATAGTTCTATGTGTACTTATTTCAGATTGGGTGTGTACAAACCATTAAAAACTAAAATAGATGATGTTCTTTGTGAGGTAAGCTATATTAAATGATATTTACCGGAATTAGCCTTTGCCACCAGTATAGAGCCAGGTCAGCTTGCACATCTGTGTCCTCTAACCAGGCTCTATGCTGTAGGTTATTCAACTTAATGATTGATCTTAGAAATATTTTACAGTCTGTTTATAAGAAATTGCCTGTTTTTAAGAAGATTATTTGTGGCAATTTTTTTTTTTTTTTACTTTTGAAAGTATGTAAGCAAGTGCTGTTAATTCTTACTTATGTTTACATGTTGTATATATATTTAAAGAACTGAATTTATCTCTTGTAATTTGTGAAGAGTCATTAGTGTGAATAATTGTATTTTAAGAAAATTTTTTAAATTGATAGCTTATTATTATATTTGATAATCATAAACATTCACTATGATTTAAATTACTGGATGCAGATCAGTTAATTAATATTGCTTTCTAGATCATTAAGAATGACTCTGTCTTCTAAAGATAAGATGGCTATATTTGCTTGGGCACTTCATACCAACAAGTCAAGTTATTTTACTGTTAAATACATTGGAAAAAAGAACAAGAACAATAAAACACCAAATTTTATTTTCATAATGTCACGGATTTATATTACAGGGATCGAACACTTCCAGTTAACCCTATATAAATGCTTAAATATCTTGTCGTGCACCCGATAAAGGTACATCGATCGATATATTACCGGCGCGAAGCGTAAATGCCCGTTCGCAACAGATACCTACTTTACAAAATACCATACAGCTTTTCCATTTATTATCCGATTTTGGAAATTTTAAGTATATTTGGAGAAAAATACTTTTTTAATTCAAATATCTAACTTATTTTTTAAAGGTACAGTTTATCTGTCCGCAATGACGGTTAAAAAATTAACTTGACGAAATCCGCGGTAAATTTACATTTTTTTATATAAAAAGCAGGTATTTGAAATTTATTATTATGGTACCATAATAATTTCAGTTTCAAAATAAAAAAGAAGCCGATGTAAGTTATTCACAGATGATCAAAGATGCAATATTTAAGATTTATTGGGTTATGTAGTCAAATTTATTAACGCACAATTGTTTTACGGGTAATGTATTGCGGCCTTTACAATTCGCTCAACACGTGAAGAAAATTTACTCATTTTTTAGTACAAAATATTGCCGAGATTGTCAATATTGCCATATTCATAGAATATTTAAATTTCATTCATCATTTATACCATTATTATTTTTTGTAAATCTGTTTTCAAATGTCGGTGCAGTGAAGTAAACAATCATTGTAACAGTAAAGTTCTCTCTTGTGGCTGTCTCGATTCCGGCCTTTTTAATGTCACTCGTATATTTAAATTCGTATATTTTAATTATTCTTTTTATTTGAAAGCCTGTAGAAAGTTATTTATGATACTTTTTAATGTAACGCTAGAAAAACAATAAAAATCTTTACAGTTTGAGTCAGTATTTTGCGAAATAAAAGTAACTGTTGATTATTTTTTACACATCGCTTAAATTTCTTTCAAGTTTAATTACTTTTGAAGGGGGGTAAGTGATAATTAAAAAACTTTATTTTCAAACTTTCATTACCAGGTTACATGTGATAATTGCAACACTCAATCTTCAAAAACAAATAGAATTTGAATGTATATTTTGTATGTGCGCGGTCTTTACTACAGTCCATGGCATATGTGGTAAGAAAATGATTCTGAAGAGGATATATATAAATACAATGTAAATCTATTTTCTTTATTAACATTTATAAATGAAATTGAAGATATACAACTAAAAAGTTGTATAGTCCTTTCTTTGAAAAATAATGAAAATAAACATGTGATAAATAAATCATTTGACGTGAATTGTTGAGGATAACTATGAAAAAAATCTGTTTCAAAATAAAAAATAATATTATTAAACAGCTGTTCTATATGCCAATAAAAGTTTCTTCCTTGCCAATCTAATGAATTCATCTATATAGGAATGCTTGTCAAGAATGATCTGAAAATATATTTAATACACTTATTGGTAGAATATTTACTATATTTATACTAATATACAGGTAATCAAATAAAAAATTAAAAATCATTTGGAAATAATTCACAGAAATAAAGACACATTTCAAACCTGAATTTCTTTAAAAGTTTTTTAGCAATCAAGAAACATTTTTTTGCAATGCCATCATTAAACCATGTTAAAAATCATTATCTTATTCTGAATTGCGGTAATAATTCGTGCTTGAAGTAAAAGGGCGGCAAAGTGTAGAGAGTATGCCTAAACAATAGGCGAATATTTTTTAAATTAGGTACTTTTTAACTAAGCGTTGCAGCGTTCTATCGGCATATTTTCATATATTAATACTTTAGCGACACAAAATAATACTGTATCAATACATTCATATGTGTATAATTTTTCACAAAGCTGCAATAACACCACATACTCCTGTGAAAATCTGTCATTTTTCGTACTCCGCGCGTTCCGCCATCTCATTCTGTCCATTCCGCGCATGCGCGCGACGGGACTTTAAGCTAAACGGAAGTGTCCGATCCTTGTAATATAAATCCGTGATAATGTGCTCAATTTTATTTGACATACATTGTATTTATTACAAAAATCATGAATGAAACAATTTACTTAGTATTATAATTCATTATTAATTTAAAGGCTATGATTTTATTTTACAGATGAAAGAATTAGAAGAGCAGAACATTGTATCACCAGAATCTGTACTTGATAAAGATAACAAGTCTGATGAGTATACTGGTATATGTCCAGTTTTTTTTGCTTATTTTATAGCCATGTTTGGTCATTTTATAGCCATATTTGGTCATTTTATAGCTGATATTCAGTCATTTTATAGCTGATATTCGGTCATATTTCCAATAGAAAATAGTGTATTATTTTCCCAATCCACTGGAAAAAGTTCCCAATTGAAAGTTACAAATGAAAAACATTAAGTAACAAATTCTAAAATCTTTGAAAATAAGGGCTTCTTCCTGTTATAGTGCTTAAATGTTTGAAGATGCCAGGATAGGCATTCATTTAATCAAAATTTCAGTCGAGCATTTTCCCCCCAATTTTTAACAAAAGTGAAACATCACTGAAATTCCCAATTTCATGGCTATGGGTCATGTTCCCAAAATCCTTAAAAAACAAGAATGGGGCTTTAATAATCATGTGCAATTTATTGGAAGCTCTTATGATAGAAGATTTAACAATTTCCATTCATCTTTATGTTTCTGAAAACAAAAAAATATTTGGTTAATTGTTTTTCTAGTATATTGTTGTAATTGTACAAGGTTTTTTCACCTTTATCATTTATGTTTTCTTTTATTTCAAGATAGTTTTCATAACTTTAATTTAAGATGGAATATAATTTTTGTACTGCAGAGAAATAATTGTTACTTACATTTGTACCTTACTTGTTTTAAAAAGTTGTTGAATTACTTCATAAAATTTAAACTTTAATTTTAATTTTATCAATGAATACATATTTTTTTTGTCAGATGTTTGCACAGCAAGTTTTGAAGCTGATGCTTTCCTAGAGAGTGAAGAAATAGTCATGGTATATGTTGTTAAAATATATCATAATTATATTGACATATGTTATATCATTTCATTAGTGAACGATTTAATGTAATGTAATGAATTGATTTTAAGTTGCATACTGTACTTTATAATTTGTTGATGACACATTACATACTTACATGCATTAAATGAAAGTAATATTTTTATCTTCCTATTCTAATGTTTATAAATGCACATTGTATAAATATTATATTTAAATGTTTTTCAAAACTTTTACAAATAATCAATTCATTTATATGGATTTGTTTCTGTACAGGAAACTATTAGGCAGCACCAGACAGAAACAGAAACTGGGCAAAACAAAGAATCCACATCTGAAGACAAGACAGATTTAGATATGACTGACATGATAATGATAAATAATGAAATAACTAATGATGTAGAAATACTTGCTGATAAGGACACTCATTATGTAGAAATACTTGCTGATAAGGACACTGATGATGTAGAAATACTTGCTGATAAGGACACTGATGATGTAGAAATACTTGCTGATAAGGACACTGATGATGTAGAAATTCTAGCTGATAAGGACACTGATGATGTAGAAAAACTTGCTGATAAGGACACTGATGATGTAGAAATTCTAGCTGATAAGGACACTGATGATGTAGAAAAACTAGCTGATAAGGACACTGATGATGTAGAAATTCTAGCTGATAAGGACACTGATGATGTAGAAATACTTGCTGATAAAGACACTCATTTAGATAAGCAATCAGTCACTGTAGAAATAGTTACTGATGATACTGAAAAGGAAACTGAGGTTTTGTTAAACAAGGGTAAAACAGATTCTGAGGGTGACAGTTTATCTCAGAATTCATCTACAAGTCAAATAGTTAAGCAATGTCAATCTCAGGACGTTGAAACTAAAGAATTAAATACATCTGGGTGTAAAGAAATGAAAGATGAAGGTAAACACGTTGAAACTGATATGGAACCTTGTTTAGACACTAGTGAAAAGAAAGATGCCTGCAGAAGCAAAGATATTGAAATGTCTGAAACAAGTGGTAAGCTACAAGTATTCAGAAACACTGTAAAAGATGGCAAGAATTTGAATGTTTTTGACAAAGCAGTAAAGGAAGAGCCTGTTTTTAGGCAAGTGCAAGTTCAAGAAATCTCCAGTGGTAAGGACCAGTCCACTCAGACAGATCTGGAATTAGAAACAGTAAAAGCAGTGAATGATATTGGAGTGCAATGTGATATTCCAGTGTTTCCATCTCTGGCAAGTTTAGCAGGAAAGTGTTACAAGGTCAAACCTCTCAAAAGTTCTGTATCACTTAAACTTATTGATGGTAAAGATAAGGAATAGAAAGGAAACCAAGACTGAACACTATATTTAGATAAATGAACAGAGAAATTTTGTATCATGTATTGACGAAAGTTTCATGAAAAATTCATATCCAACTTCAAAAAATCCAACATTGAGATGCAAATATTTATGTATATATCATTTTTGATTTTTTAAAATCATTGTTAGGAAAAGACTTTGTTTCTTGATCTTGTTTTCAAAAAAGTAAAATGAGTCTTATTTTTGAAAATACTAATATTATATGTCCAAATTGTCAGTCATGCATCTATATGAAATATTCAGATGTTTTATCTAACTTGTTGTAAATAAATGTAACTGAATTTGTCACAAATTGTTATACTATCAATGAATAGCTTATGAGTGTAAGAATGATAATTATATAATTTAGACCAATTTTAAAATCAGAAGAATATCAGAAGAAAATTTTAATGAGATTTAAGAATTCATTTAATACAGTGTATGTACATGAATTTGATACACTATTTAAGCATCTTTTTTCAACAACTGTACATATTTAACAAATATCAATTTTTTTTAGAGAGAAAACCAATTTATTGTTGTTTTTTTTGTTATTTAGATATGGCATAACTCAGAAGAATAAAGCCTGTGACATCGGCATTTATATTTACTGAAATAATCAGCTGTGAAGTCATGTGAAATACTTTCATCATTCTGTTACTATTGTATTGATGTTTCTCTATTGAAGATAACAAATTCTTAAGTAAACATAATAATAATTATTACATTTAAGATATTGAAGATTTATGGTGTTTCTAAATCTAATGATGAGCCACGCTATGACAAAACCAACATAATGGGTTTGCGACCAGCATGGATCCTGATCAGACTCTGCATCCGCGTGGTCTGATCAGGATCCATGCTGTTCGCTGTCAGTTTCTCTACTTGTTATAGGGTTTGTAATCGAACAGCATGGATCCTGATCAGACTGCGCAGATGCGCATGCTGGTCTGGATCCATGCTGATCGCAAATGTCATGGCAGGGCTCAATTATTTTAATTAAATCTCTCGCAATCTTCAAACAATCTTAGAATGTTATATAAGATGTTGTGACAATTATAATATGATCCTTGAAATAATGATATTTATGTAACAACCACTAATTTTGTCAGTCATACTTGCATTGTGTATCTTTGATATTCATGCAAAATCAAATATATTTATTAAGTGATATTATGCCCATCCAAGGGTATATAGTGAGTGAACGGGTGAAGATCAAAATAAGTTTTCATTTTGCCATAATTCCTTTTAATTTAATAATTAAGTTCGCATAAACAATAAATAATGCACAGATCCAAACGAAATTTCTGTAAATATCCATTAGAATTTACCTATAACGCTTAGTTTATAAAAAGAGTGGGGCAGTCTTTTTAAATTTTAGGCAGATTTATAATTTTATCCTAAACATTTTCCAATATCAACTGTTGGTCAAACACCATTTTGACAGTCAATCTTTTGAAATATAAAGTCAATTCAGCTCAACTTGACTATGAAAATATGAGCATAATGTCACTTCATATATTAAATGATTTTCTAAAATAAATGTTTTAATTCGAAATATTTATTTATTCTATATGTTGATAAAAGCTAGTCCTTTTTAGCTCACCTGTCACAAAGTGACAGGGTGAGCTTTTGTGATCGCTTTTCGTCCGGCGTCCGTCCGTCCGTCCGTCCGTCGTCCGTCCGTCGTCCGTCCGTCCGTAAACTTTTACTTTAAATGACATCTCCTCATAAACCACTAAGCCAATTTCATCCAAACTTCACAGGAATGTTCCTTTGGTGGTCACCTTTAAAAATTGTTCAAAGAATTTAATTCCATGCAAAACTCTGGTTGCCATGGCAACCAAAAGAAAAAACTTTAAATATCTTCTTTTAAAAAACCATAAGAGCTAGAGCTTAGATATTTGGCATGAAACATCTTCTAGTGAGTGTCTACCAAGTTTGTTCAAATAAAAGCCCTGGGGTCAAAATTGGCCCCGCCCCGGGGGGTCATTGATTTTCCCTATATGCATATAGTAAAAACTTAAAATATCTTCTTTTAAAGAACCCAAAGAGCTAGAGCTAAGATATTTAGCATGAAACATGTTCTAATGGGTGTCTACCAAGTTTGTTCAAATAAAAGCCCTGGGGTGAAAATTGGCCCCGCCCCGGGGGTCATTGATTTTCCCTATATGCATATAGTAAAAACTTAAAAAATCTTCTTTTAAAGAACTCAAAGAGCTAGAGCTTAGATATTTGGCATGAAACATCTTCTAGTGAGTGTCTACCAAGTTTGTTCAAATAAAAGCCCTGGGGTCAAAATTGGCCCCGCCCCGGGGGGTCATTGATTTTCCCTATATGCATATAGTAAAAACTTAAAAAATCTTCTTTTAAAGAACTCAAAGAGCTAGAGCTTAGATATTTGGCATGAAACATCTTCTAGTGAGTGTCTACCAAGTTTGTTCAAATAAAAGCCCTGGGGTCAAAATTGGCCCCGCCCCGGGGGGTCATTGATTTTCCCTATATGCATATAGTAAAAACTTAAAAAATCTTCTTTTAAAGAACCCAAAGAGCTAGAGCTAAGATATTTAGCATGAAACATGTTCTAATGGGTGTCTACCAAGTTTGTTCAAATAAAAGCCCTGGGGTGAAAATTGGCCCTGCCCCGGGGGTCATTGATTTTCCCTATATGCATATAGTAAAATCTTAAAAATCTCCTTTTAAATAACTGAAAGAGCTAGAGCTTAGATATTTGGCATGAAACATCTTCTAGTGTGTGTCTACCAAGTTTGTTCAAATAAAAGCCCTGGGGTCAAAATTGGCCCCGCCCCGGGGGGTCATTGATTTTCCCTATATGCATATAGTAAAAACTTAAAAAATCTTCTTTTAAAGAACCCAAAGAGCTAGAGCTAAGATATTTAGCATGAAACATGTTCTAATGGGTGTCTACCAAGTTTGTTCAAATAAAAGCCCTGGGGTGAAAATTGGCCCGGCCCCGGGGGGTCATTGATTTTCCCTATATGCATATAGTAAAAACTTAAAAAAATCTTCTTTTAAAGAACTCAAAGAGCTATGGCTAAGATATTGAGCATCAAACATGTTCTAATAGGTGTCTACCAAGTTTGTTCAAATAAAAGCCCTGGGGTCAAAATTGGCCCCGCCCCAGGGGTCATTGATTTTCTTTATATGTGTTTTAAGCAAAAACTTTAAATCTTCTTTGAAAAAACCCAAATAGCTAGAGTTTAGATATTAAGCATGAAACATCTTCTAGTAAGTGTCTACAAAGTTTGTTCAAATAAAAGCCCTGGGGTCAAAACTGGCCCGGCCCCAGGGGTGTCATTGTTTTTAACTATATGTGTATAGTAAAAACTTAAAAAAATCTTCTTTTAAAAAGCCCAATGAGCTAGAGCTTAAATGTTTAGCATGAAACATCTTCTTATGGGTGTCTACCAAGTTTGTGCAAATAAAAGCCCTTGGGTTAAATTGGCTCTGCAACGTTTGGGGGGGTGGGGGTTGGGGGGCCTATATACAGGTGAGCGACCTCAGGGCCATCATGGCCCTCTTGTTTAAAATATTTACTGCAATAAGACCATGGTAAATGATATATGTCAAAATAACAAATATTGCTGGAGTTGTTTTCCTTTAACTGTTATTGTCACTTAATTGTGGTTGTATAATTGCATCACGTTTTGAATTCTGGAGCAATTAATGATTATTTCTGTCTACAAAAACTGGCTATTACTTTTTATAACATGAAATAAACAGCATACTGTTATTTGAAATCAAACTATTTCGGTTTTGTTTTCTATATGCCCAATCTTGTAGGTCCTTTTTATAACAGTTTAGACTTTTGGAAGGACAAAATCTTTTCTCTTTTTTTGTTCCAAAACACTTTGTCTAATAGTGTCTTTTTTGTTTATCTTTTTAGCTCACCTGTCACAAAGTGACAGGGCGTCCGGCCGTCCGTCCGTAAACTTTTACTTTAAATGACATCTCCTTATAAACCACTAGGCGAATTTCATCCAAACTTCACAGGAATGTTCCTTTGGTGGTCACCTTTAAAAATTGTTCAAAGAAATTAATTCCATGCAGAACTCTGGTTGCCATGGCAACCGAAAGAAAAAACTTTAAATATCTTCTTTTAAAAAACCCAAAGAGCTAGAGCTTAGATATTTGGCATGAAACATCTTCTAGTGAGTGTCTACCAAGTTTGTTCAAATAAAAGCCCTGGGGTCAAAATTGGCCTGCCCCAGGGGGTCATTGATTTTCCCTTTATGCATATACATGTAGTAAACTTAAAAAAAATTCTTTTAAACAACCCAAAGAGCTAGAGCTAAGATATTTAGCATGAAACATGTTCTAATGGGTGTCTACCAAGTTTGTTTAAATAAAAGCCCTAGGGTCAAAATTGGCCCCGCCCCAGGGGGTCATTGATTTTCCGTATATGCATATAGCAAAAACTTAAAAAACTTCTTTGAAAAAAAACCAAATAGCTAGAGTTTAGATATTAAGCATGAAACATCTTCTAGTAAGTGTCTACAAAGTTTGTTCAGTTAAAAGCCCTGGGGTCAAAATTGGCCCTGCCCCGGGGGTCATTGATTTTCCATATATGTGTATAGCAAAAACTTAAAAATCTTCCTTGAAAAAACCCAAATAGCTAGAGTTTAGATATTAAGCATGAAACATCTTCTAGCAAGTGTCTACAAAGTTTGTTCAAATTAAAGCCCTGGGGTCAAAACTGGCCCCGCCCTGGGGTGTCATTGTTTTTAAACTATATGTGTATAGTAAACTTAAAAAATCTTCTTTTAAAAAACCCAATGAGCTAGAGCTTAGATGTTTGCCATGAAATATCTTCTTATGGGTGTCTACCAAGTTTGTTCAAATAAAAGCCCTTGTGTTAAAATTTGCCCTGTGGGGGGGGGGGAATAATTATTTTTCATTATATGTGTGTAGGTAAAACTTAACATCATGAAACATCTTCTAATGGGTGTCTTCCAAGTTTGTTAAAATAAAAGCCCTGGGGTTTAAACTGGCCCTGCTCCAGGGGGGCTATATACAGGTGAGCGACCTCAGGGCCCTCTTGTTTTTTAATGATACATATCGGAAAAAGTATGACTTAAAGTCAATAGTTAAAGTGATTACAAACATTTATTTAAGCTTGATTGCGATACAAGTTCTTGCAACATATATTATTCCCTTTCAAGTCCGCTTCATGGAACCAACCAATACTGGTGTCATGTAAAGAAACGTGGTCATAACCCGATTAGGGCTCGCACCCATGAACCCTGGTTTGATAGGCAGACACCTTAACCACTAGGCCACCGCTCCCCCTAAGATTTGTGATTATGTTTACCTTCTACGTCAAGATCGCTCACCCGCTGTTGATTTTAATTCTGCAAGTGATCACTTAGAACTTGCAAGTTCGGTGGTTATACTCGAGGACCTGTTCGTGCCTGAAATACTTGCAGAAAGGGGAATCTTTTTTTCACCAGTGAAGGTAGAATCTAAGAATGTCGCCTTTTGACTTAATAGTATCGGTGACTTAAACTCTTTAAGCAACAAAACAAAAGCAAATAAACCGGGAAACAACTTCATTAAGTCAATGTTACCACTAATGGAAAAAATAACATTATAGGATGCGCAGGCTGGTCTGGATCCATGCTGGTCGCAAACGCACTATGTTGGTTTTGTCATGACGCGGCTCAAATGTCAATTTTATTCTTTTTATTAATCCTATTTTATTATCACACACCATCCATGTAACATATTTTAAGTTTTTTTAACACACGCCGTCAATGTTATATACTCCAAATTTGTTATAGCATCATGGTTGGATTTGAACTCGAAATGGGTTTGTTATAAAACCTTGCAAAACATTTTGCATTTGTCCATCGGGCAGTTTTAATACGGAGATTAACGGAATTGCTTGTAGACATGCTCTTGATACAGATGCAGCTCTGATGCTACGGTATGTGGTCCAAAATGATTGGCGTCACCTTATTATTTACTGTATGAACATGCTCGTATAGTATCATCACGTCTGCACTCACATGGGTATGGAATGCAATGGAAATGTGTCTGCACTCACATGGGTATGGAATGCAATGGAAATGCATAGTACAGTAGTATTTTTGGTGATATTAATGTACATTACAAATTTGTTTAAAGTACATAATAGCATAAATTTTAGACATAATGATAACTATTTAAGGATTGGATTTATTTATACTAAGGATGATCTTAGAAAATGACAAAAGCTTAACAAATTTGGGTTTTACACAGCTCGTTTACGAGTTATCTGCCTTTAAATTTCTTAAAAGGTTAATAATTCACAGCCACTTGATTTTTCTGCTTTACACGCATGATGAGTCTGTAGGGACTCGTATCTATGTGCAATGTTTTCTTCAGACTGTAGCAGGTCTAGGTCTGGGAATAATAGATATTTACAATTATCTTCGTTTAATTTGTTGCAAGTTTATACTTGAAGTATTAAGGAATTTATACGAGATACTTAGATCTTCTCTTGCTTGTGAAATTCACCTTGTTATTTTTTTTATTTTAAATATGTAGAATATGTTAGAAAAAGTATCTGATATACGTTTGCGGTACCGCCCATCGG